AATTACATAGTCCAGTAACAACTTCTATATATTGGATCAGCAGCAGCAATCTAGGAGCCTCAAATATATATATCAAAATAAGACTTATACTCAAAAAACTAATTTAAAATTGATTAGTATTATAAGCAGTGTTGACTACCTATTAGATCTAATAGTAAGCATTAAAAACATTAACCTCTTAAGTGATAACAATAAAAGTAGTGTAGCCTCTTCATTACTTTAGTTCAAGAGATCAGACAAAAAATTCAAGAGCTAATCAAATACTATTCCTTTACTCTGAAATGAGCTGAGTACAGATAGATACTCTGATTACAGTCCTGATAGAATATTATGAACTTATAGTTATTATGAAGATAGGAGGAAGAAAGTATATTGTGGATGGTTCTCTTTATACCAAATGAAAATGTAATAATATCTCATTTTATTGTATTGCTTAAAAAGAGTAGTATATAAAAATTATTGCTGTTTGACTGTAATGCCATAATTACTCTTGCTCCAAAAACATATTATATAATGCTCAGATTTCTTTTATTCAGGCTGAATATTGTTTATTTAGGAGATTGACTCTATACAAATGCTGATATTGCCTTTTATAGCTACTTATTAATATTTGATAATTTCCTAGTATTCCTTCTTGGATAAAAGTTTAATGGAATGTAAATAAATCTTATGATATTATTGATTTTTATCACAATTATATTAGCAAGTGGAAAGTTCTGACAAAGCAATTTAGCAAGATAATTATATAAATTACTCTCTTATCTACCACCATATATTTGTAATATCAAAGCCTTTTATCAAGCCATTGAATATTAAGATCAAAATCTTACTAATATTAGATATCAACAAACTATCCAGAGATTGAAATCTATATTATCTCTATCTACTCTATTGCCACAAAGCAGTCTTTAAGTAGGCTGGTATGTACTTTGAAATAATATCTAGATACTAAAAAAAAACACATGCTTACAATATTAATCTATAAAGCAAAAAAAGATTAAAGATGATGTCATGTATCATAGCTTTTACCTAGGATATAGATAGATCTAACATTTGATCTATAGTAATATATGTTTAGGCAGGTATGTGGACTTATAGTCAATAACTAGATAACGGGGTATAGGGGTTAATATTAAAAAAATTCTTACAAACACTAATGATATAGTATCTTTCCAAGAAGTAAAGATAAAACAGAAGTATTATCTAAAAAAAACTATATGACATAATCCATAGTAAAAATATCTATAATATTCTACTATAATCTATATGAATGACATAGATTTCATGATCTATTACACTAAAAAGCCTTATAGTGTCCCTTGTGATATATGTTCTTGTGATAACCTAATGTAATAATTTACTACAGAGGCCATTTAGACTTATTTCAAATATATTTCTGTGTAGGATAGTATCTTCAATAACACTACTAATGTTTTGCAAATTATATCTCTTGTATTTATGTCATTAGATTATCAAAGACATCAGTATAAGTTTAACAGTCAGTATCTTATTGTCTTCCATTAAATTTATAATTCTATGTAGGTCCTATATCTGTATCTATCTACACCTACCTAAGCACTATTCTAAGGCAGTACTGAGATGTATGATGACTTCAGCTTATAGATAGCCTTATTTCAAGCTCTAGTTCTTGATAGATCAAAAAACAATAACTCCTTCATAGTATAACTTTATTCTGTCTGCTGTCTGACTCATCATGACTATGCTTCCTTTGGGGTGAAGCTACAATCTTTTGAAAAAAGGAATTCATATATCAATGATTTTCTGTGTATGGAACATGATGCAAAAATAAGTTATATTATGTCAAATGAAAATCAGCCAAGTTCAAAACATTTGGAATCAGATATACCTGTGGAACTGGAGCTTTTGCCTTACAAACTTGCATCAGATGCTTTGGAGCTTCTTCTTCAGACTTTTCGTGAGTTTGTGCAGCTACATCATAAACCTGTCATAATCACCACAGTCATGTTTATATTCCAATCTACACTTAGTAATATTTAAGTACTTCAAGGTTAATAACTTATAATTATAGTCTTAACTTTGTTATCCATAGTTATAGACCTAAGATGTAAGTATGCTATCTTACTCAACATTCTTTGTAGAGAATCCAAAGATATGGCCAAATCATACTTCATATGGATTTATAGCCTAAGATCTGATGAGTGTATTATATATAAGCTTAATTCTGTAATTGCTTGCTCATATCAATGACTATGGCAGTCACTATTACCAGCTTGAGGTCAACATTATAAAGCCAGTCTGATTTCATTAGTAGGATGGCTCTTATAAACATATTGTTTAGATAGATAATAACTCTTCACATTCATGTAAATTTTAATTTTAATATATGTTTAACATAAAACAGGTAAGTGTTAGCAAAAAATCAACTTACTATGCTAATTTCTGTATTATAGATTTTTACATCTTTTGATTTAGCTATTAAGAACACAGATTATTAGCAAACTACTATTTTACTACTACAGCTAACCCTTTTATAGCTTTGAATAAGCCACATAAAGAACAGTATCATATTTAGAAACATTATGCAGAACTATTTATTAGCAGATAAAACTCATATATCTAAGGTAGCTGTTAACTGTATATTCATAGTATGTATGATAAGGGAAGATATTGATAGTAGATCTGTGCTTCAATGACCCACATATCCTTCATAGTCTATGTCTACATGATTTCTGCTAATATCTTTATTGCTTTTGAAAAATATGACTGTAAATAGTTTTATTACCTATAATCATATTTTATGTTTTATGTGAATGATTCAGGCTTACATGCTCACTCCTTTCCAGTTTAGTGATACTCTATATGATGAGGATGCATTAAAACTTAGCTTTTATACTCAACACTATAGAGGATATCTATGAAACAATAACTATATCTCAAGTGTAATATTTTACAATAGCTAATTCTGAATATTACTTAGGGTACTTTTGGATCTTCAGACGAGCCATATATAATATGAATGTAATCTATTTCCATATAATTATACTAACTCAGTTTGATAGACAATATTGCAGCTATATAAAGTATTATATAGGTCAAACAACCATCAACCTTATTACTTTCTAGTAGGTCTTATACAACATCTCATTTTCCAATCGCCTTGCTACCACCATTATCTAGACAATTATGTGAAGATCTTAAAAGATAAATGCTCAACCTATTTTTGTAATGATGGTTATCTTGCCCAGTAGATGACCATAGATATTTCATAAAGTCAACCCTTCCAATGTATTTATAGAGAGTTTTTAAACTTAGTTTCTTATTCAAATACTATATATATTATTATAATGCAGCCTTCTCTAATCATAAAATAGAAATAGAAAAAATTAGCATGCTATGTGAGCTTTTTTTAACAGAAAGATACTATTTGCTGGCATTATGTTCAAGTCTATATTTTACATATAAAACAACCTAGGATTTTACAAGTTAATAATAAAAGAGAGTAACATAAGAGTATTACTAGCAACCTACAATGACTTCTTAGTATCAATAGTCTAATATTTCACTAACACTGGAAGATACAATAATCTGATAGATGTATTCATTTGGTTTTGTATTGGAGTTAAGAAAGTCAATTTTAAGTTTTTTAATTGATATAAAAGAATGAGAACAGAGCCAGACATGAGTCTGTCTTTTTTATCTTTGTATCTTTTTATCTGAGGTAGTTCTAGGCATTGATAGGATACTGTGCACATTTTGATAAACCTATTCATATTTTCAATATCCTATGTATTCTCTGACTAGCTATAGCATGAAAAGATGATGTATTCATAAATGTAACAGTAACAGAGGTTTTAAACTACATAGGAAATACTTTGTAAATGAGTAAGCTAATAATAGATAAGATAGCCCATGGATTGAAACATGTGAAACTATTTTATCTTCTTTGAATCCTTTTTGATAATAAGTGAGCTTGAACTTCTGTGACACTTTGTGATAAAGTTAATATCTCTACTTTTTCATATATCAGTAGCATTCAGACCATAATCATCAAGACTTCCCATAGAGAATGATATTAATACATCATCATCAGGTTCCTACTTAATAGTAATATGGCTGAAATGAGTGTCTTTAATTATGTTCATGTTTTCTATTTAAAAAAAGTTTGATACATTGGTGTTACTTGTACCAAAGTCCTAGCAGCTTACCATCACTTCACAAGCTTTATCCTCTGTTATTGTATTCAGAAATATTTTCACTATATGGATACTAACTAAGCTTTTCTCTAATTCCAAAGTATTGGAGAATAAGAATGCTTTGATGTTGTGCACTATTTCTGTCACTCATAAAAATTACAAAAGGACAGTCAATATGATTTCAAAGACTTTTTTATAAGATACCAATAAGATACCAATAAAGCTACAAAATAATATATAGGCAAAGAGGATAGACAGTGAGATGTTGTATCATATCCCGCATTCTAGACCTACATCTGACAATGTTCACATGCCTTATCTGGACCTCCAGACCCCCTGTATATATCTTCAGATCTTCAGACTTTTATCTGTCTAGATCTCTGTACACCTGGATCTCTGCACCTCCACACATCTATTCTCAGATTCCTGTATCTCTTTATGTCAGACCTCCATACCTCTGCATACTCTGTCCACTCTGGCTCCTGCCCTATGATTGTCTGGAGGTTGGAAACTATCTCAATATCATCATCTAACCCCTCTAGACTCCACTGACATAATTTACCCTTGCCCTTATCTAGTATTATGAATCCCATGAGAGGCTTAAATGTAATACATGTAGTTTGGCACTTCATTATAGAAAATGTCACATTTATATTTATAAGTCTTACTCGATTGCATTTGTGCACAGTGAGTTACGTTTCTTATATATGTATGTACAGACTTTGACTATTTCTTGCTAGATGTGCTGTATTGACTGCTTGGTACACTCAGAAGCAGTTGGACTGAGTTCTCTGAAGGTGATATTCTCAACTACTGTTGCACTGCATGTCCAGTCCTCATTTATCTCAACAGACCCTGCCCTCGTGGTCTGCTCATTCACATAGCGCTATCTTCAGCCATTACTTGGTGCCCTCCATTACATTGCATGCTAGCTGCAATTTTTGGTTCTCCGCAACCTTGAAGGATTCCTGCAATCACAGCCCTGTTCCCATATATCAATGTGCTTCATCGACTCTGAATATTGAGGTGAGTCCTCAAATTTGCCCTCCAGTCTCTGCACTCTCTCTGAATTCTAGTGATCGCACAGAGGGTGGTACCCAATTAGCACTCTGGGATGCACAACAGGCAACAAAGTGCATGCATCCACTTTCAGGACCTGCAATAGCTGTGACATCTGTTGGCCAAGATACACAAGTGGATCTCGATGCTGCTGATGGTTTCCAGGACACATATCTCAAACCCCTCAGGATATTTGATGCTGTCATTGGAGAGATTGTGAATGTATGAACCCTCCTCTGAATCAGAACTAAGGTAATCTAGTTTCACAGGTACGTCTGTGTACAAAGATGACACTGGGCACATTGTCATGCACAACCAAAGTATATCTTCTTTTTCTACCTTTCTATCTCCATTGATGTGTCCCATGTGAATATGCAATTTGGCAATATTAACTTCCTGTTGTCTTTAGGTCCACCAATGCCCCCACCGAAATAGAAGAAATTGAACCATTACAGTGTCCATTCATCTATATCAACCAATGTTTATATTCTTCATCTAATGTCATGTAATTTCATCATTATCTGCACCTTTAGCCGTCAGTCTCACATAAGATCATCATCCTGCTGTTATGATTATAACTGATCAAGATTTTCTCAGCCTCATTGAAGATATTGATGGTGTGTTTAACACGCTGAAAGAGCTATTCCAATACCAAAAGAGACTACGCCTCCAGCACTCAAAAATTCTGTTATTTGATCTCCCTCTAATCCACTGATCGCCCTCCAAGTCAGGTATGATCATATGTTCTGCTGTGATATATGTATTCATTTCAAAACATAGTATGTGTTTTGAGTAATTCGCTTGCATTGGTGTCCCAGATCTTTAGCCCATGTTCACCAGTGGCAATCATCTTGGTATCAGGTGAGTAGCAAATCACCAACATGCATGTCTTCTACTGCTTTAATTGGTCCAATTACAGTTTTTCCAATCTTGACATCCCACACTCGCAACATTCCATCCTGGCATCCATTCACCACTTGCCCTCCGTCTGAACTCCAGCTCACACAACGCACTCTTTTACTATGCCCCATCAGAGTCTGGTTAACCCTGCCCTTGCCAACCCTGGCAATGCATGGACAGGATAAGTTATAAGATATGTCCTCACACAGCCTCGCGTGCCTTGATATCCTGAGCTTAGCACTACAACTATGCTTCAACCTTCACAGCTATGAAGGAGAACATAGAACTCCTTGAGACTCATATGCATGGCTACATTTTCTCATTAAAACAGCTCAGAAACAGCTGAAGTGTGGGTGTTGCTAGGTGCTGCACTATCCCAGATGCTATTATTGCAGTAGATTTAGCTAGGGTAGGCCTTGTCTTTGGGAAATTGAAGTAGGTAAATGAAGGGCTGGAGAAGCGGAAATGGGCCCAGCAGAAAGCAGAATGATAGAGAGGCCCTCGGTTATGGATTTTGTAAACACTCGTCTGGCCTGTAGATTCTCTCTATGCTCCAAAGCCTCTTGCTTTTCTACCTTGGAGAAATAGAACTTGACACTGTACATAAATTGGAATAATAGCAGCCACTAGTCAGAGGTTACAAGTAAACTATGGTGATGGCACAGTACAGCATCAGTTTGCATCAAACTTTAAAGTGCCGCCTACTTGATAAAGGGCCCAACCAGAGGGTTTATATTTCAACACTTCATAAGATGAGTGGGGAAAAAACCAGACATTACTAACCCACCCTGGGGTGATTCCCTCTTCAGAAACTCCCTCCCCAGGGCTCCAATTTCCAATTGCATGATACAATGCGCCTGCTATGAGAATAATGACTTCTCCTGGCCGGTATCTTGATATAAATAAGCCTATGTTAAGACTCTAAGCTTATGACTCACATTAATTTAATCTTCAGGTCAGGAAGGTAGCATTCTCCCCCAGAAAAATACCCCACAGGGAATATGACTGCCAGCCCCTCATCCAATCTATCCTGGTGTAGGAGTGTTACAGTTGACTTTAACATCTGCATGAGTCCCCGCTCTGCTAGACTCACCGATGCAGCGACACACCACCAGAAACTAGAATGATAGCGGTCTGGACTCGCTACGACATCACCATGGCCTAGAAGGCCTGTTCCTGATCTTCAGAGGCTGTCTACCTCATGTACACCTAGACCAGAGTATGTTGCCTCATGCTACCTCATATATACCCAGAGCGCCTCAAGGCACCTCGTTCACTTATGACTCATGGAGGTTGCACGTCTCATGTACTCTTATCTCTGACTCAGATAGATTAGATGACTACTTACAGACAGACCACCATCCTGCCTACCACTTGTAGCCTTGGTCTGTACACCTTTAGATGACTATATAAGTAGACAGATCACTGTTGTATTTCTTCACTTTGATCTACTAGGTTTTCCCCAGAACTAGCTTGTCTAATCAACTTGCTTCTTTGAACCCTTGACTGCACTTCTAAGTCGCTCCCCGCGTCTTAGCCGTATTCTCGCTAGCCCTTCATCTCGACAAGGCCCTCAAACCTTACCGAGATAGATGGAGAGACCTGTTGACATTCATTGACTTGTAAGACACCCTCAGCACATGACAGCACATTCGTGCTCGTGTTGTTAGAACTATCCTAGTTGTAACAGGGAGTACATTAAGTTTCTACACAATAGCCCTGCCCAAGAAGGGTCCTAGGTCCACCATGATTCATTTACTAGCTTTGAAAGCCCTTTCATACTTCAAATAGAATTCAAGGAAGGCTGCATGAAACATAGCTGCCAAGCATAGCGCTAACTCTTCAGTATCCTTGAAGTAATGATAAACATACTGGGAGCCACAGCACCCATGTACCATGTCAGCAGAGGGGTGAATGCCATGCTGGGGCAACATTGGATGAGGTGAAGCATTCATAAGGGAGGGTTAATAAACCTTTGTAGCTGTATACCCCTGGTCAGGCCAGGCATGGACTAAATGCAAGACTCCGGTAGCCTTAGACGTGAACATGTCATCCTGGTATAGATACTCAACACCATTGAGCATAAAGGTCTTTTCACCTTCAGAGGCTGCAATCATGCCGCCAGAGTCCTCCCCATCCTTTTCATACCTCTTTAAAGTGTTGCCTTGGTCATGCCAACCATTGCGCCCAGATTCCTTGACTCCCACCTTACTGAGCAACAGCTAGGTGGCCACCATGGTTTTGGTCAGTCCGTCTGGCTATTCAAATGTTATAGTCAGTACTAATTCAACATAAGTGTGCACTCTCTTACCTTGATTCTGTCAAAATGAACCTTTTTACTGTCCTTTTCAGCCTGGTCTAGACAAGCTGGGGACCGTTCCATGCTAGATGACATTGTCAGTCCAGAAGTATAACATGTAGGCCCATCTGCACTCTGCAAGAGTCATGAGTCAACATATTTTCAAAGGGAATAATTGCTTACCCCAAGGTTGTCATGCAGTCGTCAGACAAAGTAGGCCACTAAGGTATTTCCATCTTCATCCTGGAAAATTCCCTGCAAAACCACTGAAACAGGTGTATCATGAATGCTTAAGGCAAGTTCTGGGAATCTGCTTATTTCCAGCTGGACTAGTACGTCAGATTCATATAAACTCCTCCAGTCGGTGTCGCAATACCTATCTCTCCTGCACCACCTATTGCAGCAATAGCAGAGCAGCGTGCATAGCCTTGAAATCATCATGCGGCAACATGAATTGCTTCAGCTTTTGAAATACCCCAATTTTCATACAACCTCTCACATGCCCAATGCTGATGCATAGCATTTGCAACCCACTCGTTTGCAGACCAACAATGGACGAACAAATGAAGAGTCATTTGCTTTAACTTTCTGGTGTTTCCTCAAGTTCCACGCCACCTAATGATAACACTTTGGAGTCAACACAGCAGCACATATTGCCAGTCAATGTCTAGCCCTGCTTTTCTCTGACAAAAGGATAAATCCAGGATAGTCGCAAAATAATGGATAAACTCACCATTGCCTGTGACCATTTGTTGGCAGACTCATTGCCCAAGACACAGCAGTCGCCCTCCATAAGACAGAAAGGATGATTTTTGGGGTGAGACATAAACCTCTGAGGGGTCAGGGATAGCAGAATTGAGTCTTGCTTCAATTTCATGCCCAGTTTTGGTATCTGGAAGATGCTGAAATAGAAATGTCAGTCAGTGTTATTCAAAAAACAATGAAAGAGGGAAGTCTCAATAGGAACAATTGTATTGTGTCACGTGTGCACCGTACTGAGTATGCAAGACAATGTTTCTTTACTTAAATGGGCTCACCCATGACAGTGTCGGTTCACCATACTGATGTTTCTCATGTTGTCATAGCAAATTGCCTGATCTTGCTTGCAAAGAGTTTGACAAGGGGTAGCCATATTATGTAAGCTTGAATTTAAAGATTTAGTATACCATTGTTTCATTTGTTGTTGTGTCAGGCATTTTGCATTTAATGTTTCTGAATATATAAGGTGATCTAGTGTTTGATCTCTAAATGATGTTCATGAGCGTGGGGCTGGTGAATATCAATATTGCTTACTTTGAATAACAGAATTGCTACCATTCTGGCTGCACGATCACACTCAAGACTGTCAGCGTAGTGAAGCCCTGTTACACTCAAACTACCTAAAACAAATAATGCATTGCAAGCTGGTCATGACAAGTTGGTATCCAAAAGGTACGTGTGTGCATAATCAGACCTAAGCGATGAAATACAAGTCACCAAGTGGAACATATAATCACCAGCTTCAGCTTCCATCATTCCAGTCCAAGTTTGACTTATGTCTCTTCACCAAAGTGACTAGTATCTTGGTGGGGTATGGTGACTTTGTGAAGAATTCCTGTTGCTTGCGTATCTCATCCAGCTCAGACATAGGTTGTGATTGGGGAACCTTGTAAGCAAGCCAACCATCCGCTGCGAGGTGTTCATCATAAATGGCTATGATCTTCAAATGTGACTTCCCATTTCCCATGGCTTTATGCCTTATGTAAGCAGGATTTGCACTTAAGCTCATGAGGTAGAGTTCATGATCAGGAGTGCTCTCTTTTGAGGCCTCCAGGAGCAGGAAAATTTGGTCAAATGCAGCCTGCTGCTCATCTTTGATCACAATGTATCAAAAAGAGAAGACTTTAACAAGTGCAAGGACAAGTTTGTTGAGTGCTGGATGCTCAACAAACAGAGGATCCACGAGTGGCCTTCTTGAGATGAGAAAATTTGATTTCGAGGTTGATCCAACCCTGTCTATGGATTCAGTCTCAAAGACCTGTTTCATGAGTAGCGACTGAGTGGTGACTGTCAAATGGCTCGCTGTATACATCAAGGCGACCGAAAACTGGATGTAAAAACTGGACTCAAGGTCATCCTCGATGGTATGTGCAGCATGTTTTTTTTTGACTAGGTTGGCAGACATGAATTGCCAGGTCCCCTTGGCAACGGAAAAATTTAGCACAAAATATGAATTTTGAGTATGGAATAAACCCACCATGTGTGTGACTTGTTGAGGACCCTGAATTTTGAGTAATTTTGTGAGATTCTAATTTATGAGGAGACCAATGATACCATATATAACAATATTTCCCAGACTGAGGTCTCGATGTAACACACCCGCTTTTGCACATGCATCCTCATGAGCTGTAGAGAAATATAAATATCAGATGTAAGGTAAGTTCCAAAACACATACCAATCAGTGCATCACGAACAGCTTTGACAACTTGACAAGAACTTGTAAAGCGTATCAATGGCTGGCCCACATGATTGAGAACCATACAATAATGAATATGTGGAGTGAGAACATCATAGGGTTGCACCCATGGAGCATTTGCAAACTTGGCAGTCTGTGTGCGTTGCTGAGGGAGAGATGGCACATCATGACAGGCAATGCATGTTGCAATATTGTGAATGTCAGTGTCCTTCAAGTGTTTGTAGATTTCACCCTCTGGTAAAATATCGGGTAACAATACCTGCCAAGAGTCCTTGAACATGACGATCTTGTTGTTGGCAGGGTTGAATGCAGGACATGTGCGTGTCCCATGGCCAACAGACGAAACACTGCAGGCAACAGGTGCGGGAATGATTAATGTGACTGAATCAACACCCCCGACAGCAGGGATGATAACCTTGAACATGGGCATACTAGCATGAAGGGTTAACTTGGATCATGCACGAGTAGCCTCCTTGGCGCTAGCAGGCATCACTGATGTATCAACACCATGCAATGCAGGTGATGCTTGTGAAAAGCAATGGAAAAAGTCAGCTAAGTGTGGACATTTGTTGTAATCAAAGGTGCAAGTAACAATGGCTCCTTCCCTGTCCCATCTGATGATGTGAGCGAAATTGCACACAATCAGGACAGAGAAAGCATGTGTATGGTATTGAGCGCCAAGCTGAGCTGCAGTGTAACTCGTGATTTGTCCTAATGTGTCCATACCCTTCATAGTCTGGTTGATGAAGGAAGATGTATTCTCCATCGAGTTTAAAGGAAGGTCATGAAAGGCATCGTGGATAGGAGCCCACTTTAATTTGACAAGAATTTCTGTGGTAGAAACATTGCAGCCATGTGAAGTTCTATTAGCATATACACTAATGTCCAGCTTGATAGCAAATGAGAATGACTGGGTAAGTTTTGTGTCTGGGTGGCTGGAACTGTTGACGAATGATAGAGCGGGGGCAAATGATTTCATGGAACCAATCTGCAATATTAAAGTATGACTGTCAGCAATCCCAATATGATGGGGATGATCACACTCACAAATGGTTCATAAGCCAGCAGCTCATTTTTAACACAAATTGTACTATTAAATGTGCCATCCTTGAAGGTTAAAGGGGTTCATCTCCTTGCCTATGGCATTGACTGTGAGATTGCAGCAATGTGCATTCATTGTCCAGGAGACCTTTGTTGAGCTACCCTGTTTGAAAGGAGTGTTAGAGATTGCAGGAACAAGCTGCGAGTTTTGTAAGTCTCTCACAGGAGACTGTGGAGATGTCCTTGGTTCTGCAGCATCAATATATGTATAGCAAAGGTTGACCGATAATCTTCCACTTTGCTCCTGCAAAATCTCCACACTGAGATGACGACAGAATGAGAAAGATAAACAAATGAGTGGTTGGAGGCATTAAGTAGTGAATGAAACTTATTTGGTTATTCCCAAATAATGTGGGAATTTGTGAAAATTTATTTGCAATGAGTGGCCAGTATAGGTCACATAATGTGAGCACAGACCTTGAATTAAGTTATCAAAATATGTTCTTGCATTACTGATGACAGCAATGTACTTTCAATATTATGAGACTAAGAAATTGTAGTAACTGTCGCCACACACACCTGATAATCTCAAGATCTTATACCTGAGTACAACATGCTGAATCAATTAAGATCATCTTGATCATAAGCTCCTATGTAGGACAAACTTTAAACAATGAACCATCATATACTTGAGCCATTGTACAACAATAATCACTGCATACTATGACTATCAGGGGTTTGCTGAGAGGGTGCCAGGTGGGGAAAGGAAAGAAAGGCATTTAAAATCATTTCGGGGGTTAAATGGTGAACCAGATATTCCCGGTCGATGGCCAGTCACAACTGTCAATTAGGTAAGCATTCAGATAGATTAGGAGCTGCAATCTCTCAAGATTCCCATATATCTGGATCTCTGCACCTCTGCACATCCACATCTGGACCCCTGTATCTCTGTACATTGAACCTCCATACCTCCACAGCTAGCCTACATCATTCATCCCTTGCTCCCATCTGCCCTGAGTATATTCTGTCTAATTCCCAAATCTGATATCCAGACACCTGATCTAATATCCAGTTCTCAGAATATCTGAATCTGACCTATGCTTCATATCCAAACTCAAACCTTAAATCAGTATCTATCTGCTTATGGTAATCCCCTGGCTCCAGTCTTTGGTTATCTCTGTTTCCATTATACTTATTGATTTTTATATTATGTTTATCTTCAAGTATCATTGATTATGTTTTATTCATACTTATGAATATGTTTCTACATACTTGTACATAGCCTTACCCCTTTTCTTACTTATCTGCTTAGACTTGTCTCCAGTATAGAAACTTCTGTAGAAACTCCTGTATTTCATCAGTCTGAATATCACATTAGTCCTCACACTAGATCTTACACTAAGTTCACATAACTAGTTTCTGTTCCTCCATCTTAGTAAATATCTACCTCAGGCCTAGGGAGGAATTCTCTAGGCCAGAGCTTTGCTCCTCCAATTCTGAACTCCTTCAAATTTCCAGAACTTTCTCACGCTTCTCTGGACCTATTCTGCTTTAGACTTTGTCTCTGTAGCTTTTCCTTTGTTTTCTTCTACTCAGGATATGTCCTGAGTAGCCTTTACACATATCTCTGTCAAGTGGATAAAACTCTATTGTAATTTCTAAAAGTAACTTTCTTGCACTCCTTTGGAAGTTTCTTGCACTTGGCCAAAACAATCCTCTAGAACTTTCCTACACTTCTCCAGAAGTCCTTTGGACTTTATTGGACTTTCTTCAGATTTCATCTGAAATTATGAGCACATACTTAGGTAAGGGGTGTAGGCCACAAGCTAAAGCCAAGCCCCTTGGAATCAGTCCTTTGTACAAAGCTTTACTTCAAACTTATATATATATCTTACTCTTTACACTTTGTATTCTTAACTTGACCTATGCAAACCAGGGCCTACAATCTAGCTTTATCTTTATTAGAATATTAACTTTGACTTAGATCTTTGAATGTCTAGTCATCTTATGACACTGAGCATAATACATTGGGAAAATCCTTCACTACAAACCTAGGCTAAGTATGTGGAGTTTGACAAACTTCTCTCTAATTCCCAATAATTTCACAAAAGTATGCACCTTAGTAAATTAGAGAAAGTTTTTTACTATCCCATCATATTTCACTTGTGTGCACTAATTTAGTATAAATTTACAAAGCTTTATGCAAATTTAAAATGAGTTATCATAGAACATGTTGATGACATTAATGATGGTTTGTTCAGTATTTTAATTTCATTTTATGAAACTTGCCTGGTATGGTCCTTCTTATTTTCTCAAGAAGTTTCACATGAAAAAGTAGATCTCTCTGAATAACTTGCCTATAAAATTGAACTTATATGGAGATCCATTAGCCTTTCACAGAAATACAGCATACACCTGTACTCTCATTGTCAATACATAGACTCAGAATAGATCAAGAAATATACTGAAGTACTAGTTAAGGCCACCATTAGAATTATCACCTCAAGTCATTAAGCCTTTTTGCTTGCAATCTCCTTAAAACAGTCTGAAATTTTCATATCAACTGACATTGACCTATTGAAGTAGCACCCTTTCATCAGATATGACAAGCATCATCTTTCAATTCTGAGTAGAAAATTGAGACTTGGGCTTCTATCTGCACAAGGTTCAATTAACTAGTACTCTAGTAGCTTCAGTAGAGAGTATAATGTACCAATGTAGCAAGGGCTATCACATATGAGTTGTCAGACTTAAGGCAATCCTAGATTGGTAGAAGACTACAGATGCAAGCTACTGTTAAAAGCACATTTCCCATAAACAGACTCTTCCTGGTGAGTTCTGGATATCCATTGACAAATGTAATGTGGACTTTGACCTTCAATATTGCTTTTTAAACCACATAGTATATATCAATATCTTGGTTCATCAACTTTAACTAACTAGTGTTTATCTGTATGAGTCTGGCACTTCCAGAGTAATCATGATGTGTAAGGCCAGTATTATAATAATCTAAGTTGACCTCTGGAGATCCCTCTAAGTTATTACACTTATCTGGCACCATTATTGCTTCAGATTCCTTGTCCAACTTAGTAATGTCATCTGCCCAAACAAGTATCTGCAGTGTCTATAACATCAAACACAGAAATAAGCATAATATAACTCTGGTCTACCTCATTTGCTCATTTGCAATCACATACAGACTGAATTTTTGCCTCTAAGGAGCCACTACATGAGCCCTTAGTTAGGATAATAGTCTGCATCAACTTTTTTGAGGCAGTTATGTGAGGCCAGATTGCTTGAGTCAAAGAAAAGTTAGCCTATTCAGCTTTTAACATTGAAACAAAAATTAGTATCTGAGGAGAAATCAAATAATTGAAGGTATGGTCAGTTATCATAAACAGTAATAATGATATTTACTTTAGCTGATAAGAACTTTATAACAGAATCAATGAGCTCCTCCAACTTATTGTCAATATTCTTTATATTTGAGTCATTACAACTAGGTTAGAAGTTTGAGATCTCATTACTGGATTTGTTTGCTGCTAAATTATCATCAGATATAGAGTTGAAGTTGGACACTACATGTGGTTTAGTGACTGGATGGTAGGTACCTAGGCCAGATGAATCAGTGATAACTATAAAATCATAGTTCATTTTCTTACCTTTCACAGTTAGAGCTCATTATGGCAGTAAGTACTACTTACTTTGACTAGAACCAATGTTATTATATCAGCAAGGAATTCATAAATGCCGAGGTCATTGTACTATATAAAATAAACAATGACATGAAAGATCAAAGGATTGTCCAGGATGCCATCTAGTAAAACTATTCCCATTCTAAAGAAATACAAATTATTACTGTCTATTTGAAACAAAAGTCAAACATACTACATCAACTGTAAACCTATATATGAAGGTCATTGGATTAGCCCTATCATTGATCAACACAGTTATTACATAACCTCAGAATCGATCTGACATACAAACAATTAGAGAAAGGGCAGTAGGTAGAAGATGTAAAACTGTATGGAATGAGATATGAAAGGCTGAATGTTGTCACTAGTGCTACTGGTTAACAGATCATTAGTGCTAAATGGCCCAGATATATGGAAGTTAGATGGCAGATCACTGGTATTTATCATGTTGTGCTGGTTAGTCATATAGAGAAATCGTTCAAGTAGATCCTCATCATCTGCTTGATGCACTATTTGTTAGTTTTATGATCATTCACCTCTATAGTACGCATTTCTATGTCTAATTATGTCATCACACTTACGGTATCACTTCTTACACTTTGCTACCTATTTACATGACTTTCTAATCTCCCTAGGACGTCCCTAAGTTAAGTTATTGCTTACCTTTGGATTATGACTTATCTGTTTATATTTGTTTACCATATATCGCCCATATTCCAGAGTCTAGTACTCCCTACCTCTTTGACAACTTACTCTGGACTCTAGTATGATCTCTTTTGGTCTTTCAGTAGCCTCTAGAAGTGGCCTACTTTGTTCCTATTTTAATACTATTAGCTTGTAACTATTCCCAATCTGAGTCCATCACATTGATTATCATAGTCATGTGCTGGAAACATGCTATAGTGTGATGAATAGACCTCAATATAAGGCAAAAGTATGAAAAAGGAAGCACTATGGGCCCAAAATTGACTGATCTCCTTATCACTGATGATCCAAATGCTCTACAATAACTATAACGTACTCCAGAGGATTTTCAAGGTTGTAGAAAATAATAGTGAAGACTGATAATGCAGTGGGTTATAGGGGAGTGAGGTATGGATGTAAAAAGTTAAAGTTGATAGGAGATATATCTGGATATGAGTTAGATCTCAAGAAGGGAGATTAACTCAACCTCCTGTGAGCTGATTAGGGCTAGGAAGACACAGATGGGGTTTTTTTGAAGCAGTTATAGCATAGGGCTCATAATCTGTTAAGAGGGAAGTGAAGTAGGCTGCTTCTAGAGGCTACTGAGAGACAAGAAGAAATCAGAATAGAGTCCAGAGTAAGTTGCCAAAGAGGCAGGGAACACTGGACTCTAGGATATGAGTAATGTGTGGTAAATAAATGTAAACAGATAAGCCACAATCTAAAGGTAAGTAATAACTCAACCTAGGGATGTTCTAGGGAGATCAGGAAGTCATGTAAATAAATAGCAAAGTGCAAGGAATGATACCATAAGTGTAATGACACAATTAGAGACATAGAAATGTGCACTCACTACAGGCATTTTACTATTTTCCTCCAAAAAACATCCAAAAAATATTGATTGAGAAGATAGAATTTTCCCCTTATTATATCTGTCAAAATATTTACAAAAAACATAATTCATGTTTCAATGATTTTTTGTGTGTGCAACATGATGCAAAAATTAATTATGTTCCTTCAAGGATAATGCTGTATTTTCCATCTACTATCCTTTAAATAGCAGCTTACAATAATGTTAATTTTTTGCTCTGTGTTCTCCAAATATATTATGTTTTTCAAATGTTCTGTGTATATTTGAAAAACACAGAGAAGAAAATTAACACTATTGTAAGCTGCTACTTAAAAGACAATAGATGAAAAATACAGCATTATCTTTGAAGGAACATGATTAATTTTTGCATCATGTCACATACACAAAAAATTATTGAAACATGAATTACTTTTTTTCAATATTTTGACAGGTATAATAAGGGGAAAATTCTATCTTCTCAATTAATGTTTTTTGAAAGTTTGGTGGAGAAAAATAGTAAAATGCCTGTAGTGACTGTAGAGGTGAATGATTATATAACTAACACTCCCCCCTGATTGTGCACCTCTCACAATCAAGATATCCCTTCTAATCAGACAAGTCCCATCATTTAATAAAACAAGTCCATTTTGACTCTCAAGGCAATGCCTTGGTGAGAATATCTGCAGTTTGTTCTGCAGTAGGAGTAAAGGCAGGGGAAATTACATGTCTGTCCACCTTATTGTATAGCCAGTAAAATGACAAGTCCAGCTGCTTTATGCATCTATGATGCTCTGGGTGCTTGGACACAGAGATAGCGAACTGGTTGTTTATCCTGAGGACAGATGAAGCGCCTACTTGGAAATCTAATTCTAATAGCAGTTTGTGTATTCACTTGATCTCCTTACCTGCCTCAACTGCAGTGATGTACTCCACCTTAGTAGTGGACAGAGCAATGACACTTTGAAGCTTGAAGCTCTAAGAGACCGTACTAGTGTCTGTCTTGATAAGATAACCACCAGTGAAGTACCCAGTGTCTTTACAACCACCATAGTCAGCATTAGAAATTGTAGAAAACAATTCGGTAGAATGAGAATTAGGTTTGTGGTTAAGTATTTAGCCTTTGATATAGTAAAGGAGGTGCTTGATAGCCTACTAGTGGGCGATGCTCGGGTTTGAGTTGAATCTGATAAGGACACCAACAATGTAGGCAATGTCAGATCGAGTGGTGGTGGCTAGATACATCAGAGTGCCAATAGCAGCAAAATAGGGCACACTATATATAAATGATACCTCCTTAGCAGTTTGAGGCGATTGGAATTGAGAGAGATGAAGATTGGGCTCCATAGGAGTGGTAACAGGCTTACAATCAGTCATGCCAAAGTATTTGAGTATGTCTAGTGAGTACTTATGCTGTGAGAGTGATTTGGTGCAACTAGGATGGTCTCTGTCTATCTTAATGCCAAAAAGTTGAGTGGTGAGACCAAGGTCACAAAGTTTGAAGTGCTGAGAGAGCTGAGAGATGATTTGGTTGATGGCAGTGGGGGATTTGGATGCAAAGGTCATGTTGTCCACAAAGACAGGCAGAATGATGTGGTCTTCATTTTGAGAATAGACATAGATTGCTGCATCTGAGTATGTCTGCTTAAATTCAAGAGACTTAAGCACAGCTTTCATCTTCTTGTTTTAGCAATTGCCCTCTTGCTTGGTGCCATAGTGAATCATTTATTAATTTGATTTTCTCATGCTTTGTCAGATCAGCACTCCTACAGATGCTGTCACTGAAGATATATGGAATACATCTTTAAAAGTGAGGTGAGGTGGTTTAAGATTGGTGAGTAATAGGAGAATGTGACCCAAAAATGATCAGTGTGAGAAACACAGATGTGTGCAAATGCAAACTGACCTGTAAGGTCCTTAAAACAACAAGCCTCAAGGTTGCCAAGTTCATTGTATTTCCAAGTTACAATTCTAAGATCAGCTGCCCACAAAGACCATAGATGTTTGATATTGAAAGCAGGCTCTTGAAACTGTCAGATAAGGGCTAAATTGAGAATCACAGGAGGATTTTTGTAAGGGATAGCAACAAACAGGATGTAGTTGACTCGAGCTGGGTGTCTGCTGTTGACATAAGCACAGCAAAATCCCTTCCTATAACGATGAAGTGAAGATCCATATTTTGTAGCTCCTATGTTTACTGTAGTATATGATTTGGCACCATGGACTTCAAACAGAATCCCATGCAATGCTTCTCTAGCATCTGAGATTAGATATAGGTGAGGGAACTTCCATTGAATGAAATGCAGGACAATAAGATATACATTGAGAGTAAGGTAACAATCTTAAATTGATTGGAAAGAGTGATCTTGACTACTAGGAACTGGACTTCATTCATATCTACAATTAATAAACAATTCATGGACCTGAGCCTTTTGGTGCAGATAGAAGGGCAAGGTAGTTTAGGAGTGTTCCTCTCTGGTAATCATGTTTTGCACCACCTTTGACTATTTTTAATGACAACTGGACAATTTCCTTATCCTTGTCTGTTTGATTAGGCCAAGCTTGTAGGTGCATCAACTAATAGACAATCGAAGATATAGTAAATTAATAGAAGCTGCCACACTAGTTCCTATATCAAAATGCTCTTCATCAAGCTCTCATAAATGTTCCCTCAACTTTGCCACCTCTATGCCTATTGTGGTTAGTCTTGCTGAGAATACTAATAGCTCGCTCATATGAAATTACCCACCAGGTGTATGCTGGGCCATAGATATTGATATACTTGAGGACATGACTAGCAAAGTGAAAGTTTGGTGTGAGGTGGCAGTTCATTATGGCCCACAACTGTGATGCTTCAGACATAAAATCTGAGGCACGAGTTGCTTCTTGAGGGGTGATGATTGAGAGGCAAAAATCTGTATTGCTGTACAGTAGTGCAGAATATTTTAATAGTGATCATGATAGTTACATCTTGCCTCAATATCTTCAAGAGCAATGTAATCCTCACCCTGTGTATTTTTAAAAATTAAAAAAACAAAAACTTATCATATATTTATCACAAGTATGGTTTTTGATATGACACTTATGTAGCAGCTCTTTTGATATAATGACTGCTTAATGTATCTTTGTACACTTGCATGGAGCTGGCACATCTTTACCCTGTTGACATGTCCACATCTGCCAAGCAACCGCAAGTGCAACTGGATAAACTCGCATAACATTACACCATTCATCTGCTTTCGGAGACTCTCCTCCACTAGCAATCTTGTCATTGTAATTTAGCATCATCAGCCATAGGTTTGAGTTTCTTACCTTGATTTGGAACCATCCAGAATCATTTAGCCACCACAAGGATTCCAGAAACTCAGTAGGTCAATCCATGGATGTGATTTCTCCCCATTTCCAGTCCCTGTGAACATGAAACCTTCGATGAGGATGACCTTGTGAATCTGACCAGAAGCACCTGTAAAAGAGTATTAACTGTGCTCACAATCAACTGAAAAGGTTAAAAACACACCTGGGCCTCAGAAAAGGTGCATAATTTCTGACAGAATGCTCAGTGCTCCATTCTAGGTCAGAGTTCTGATAGCAGAATTCTGCAAAAGCATGAGAACTCAATACATATGAAAAAAACACCTACTTGAGTGATCAAAGCAAAGTGGATCAACCAATGAGGAGAATAGTACATCACAATATGGACACATGCTCTGAGTTTTGTGAGACAAATCTAGCTGTTTTGAGATGAGCAGGTGTATTCATAGTTCCAAATGGAAATGCAACATGAATTTGTTTGAGATCTTGATGTCCAAAAACCTTGAAGAACTCTTCTGTTATTCCAATTATCAATATCAATAGGCTACTAAGTATCATGATGTACATACCTTCACTGAGATCTTCAAGCTCTCAAACAAATGGTTCAAGAAGGCCATTTAACTGCTCTGTATTTGGCTCTGTCAGGCCAAGGATAATGAGCAGAAGGAATGTATTTTCATAAAGACATCAGATTGATTGTGGAAGATTGTCAATGGTGAGCCAAAGTGTTCCAAAAGAGTAGTTGGCACATTTCAAAGCTTGAAACCTAGAGCCAATATTAACAAGAGGTAGAGCTAGAGAGTTTGAACATTACTAATCAATGTTAATATGCACTCCTCATACTAGTTCTTGTTCCTCTACTTCTCCAATCCTGAATTCCTCTGAGTTTCTGGAAGTTCCTCCAGAACTTTCCTACAGTCCTCTGGACCTATTCTGCTTTAGACTTTGTTCCTGCAGCCTTTCCTCTGTTTGCATTCTACTCAGGATCTGTTCTGAATAGCCTTTACCCACATCCTTGTCAAGTGGACAACAAACCTCATTGTAATTCTGGAACTTTCCTGCACCATCATCACTTTTAAAGGTCACTAAGAGCTTGTTCAGAAACACGCTGCTGGCCAACATTTGCTTGTTTGTGTTTTCATAAGGTTCATCAGCATTGTTCTGAAATAAGTTGGAGCTCAAATTTCTTGTTGTATATATATATGGACCAATAGATTATGCTCTACCCCTTCATGGACTATCTTTAGCCAGTAGACTGTTGAAGGTACAACAATTCAGATGGTGAGTTTGAACAATGTTGGGTCTTGCAGAACCTAGCTGCTATTCAACCCTAAAGGGTTTCTGGACCAGGCTCAAGGCTCAGAGGAGAGGAAATGTCATAAAAACTGCTCAAGACTCAGACTCATACTGGTAACTGGTGAAAAGATAACTTCATTATGTAAGCTACAAAGTGCCAACATAAGGTAAGGTAAAGACAGTCTCTACAAGCCTAGCCAGAAATGAATCCCTACACCGTCAATGCCTTATTGTGCTCACAATCAATCCTCGATCAGAGACATGAGACTAATAATTGGCATTGTGATTGCTGCAACATACAGTATACTACAGTCTGTCTATCCTAAAGATCTGGAGTTATATTATACATCAGCCCTATCTGGCCAAGATTGGATTATTAAGTTACTGACTGGTCACCCTGAACATATCAGATGTGAGCTTGGAATGCATGCTGGTGCTGTTGTCGACCTTATTTCTGAGCTTCACACTATGGGCTATTCTGACTTCAAGTTTGTCTCACTCAAGGAACAGCTTGCAATATTTCTCTATACCTCTGCCACTGGCCTGTCAATCAGACATGTTGTAGAAAGATTTTAGTGCTTAAATGAAACAATTTCATGGTAAGTATTCTTTTTTGGGGGGGAGAGCAATATTTGGTTAGTACATAGTTATTTCCACAGGATGCTCATTGTTTTCATGACCAACTCATTCTATTCTAAATATGTTTGTTTTCCAGATGAATCAATCCATTACAAGATTTGAAAGAACCCCAACTTTTGGCCCTTCTTCAAGGATGCCATTGGGGCACTTGATGGCAGCCATATTCAGGTCACACCTAGGGCCATCAAACATCCTGTGTGTCATAATTGGAAGGGCTTTGTATCTTAGAACTGCCTGTTTGCCTGTGATTTTGATCTTAATTTTACATATGCACTCACAGGCTGGGAAGGATCAGCAACAGATGCACCTGTATACAAAGATGCCTGCTCTTCTGACTTTCAAACACCCCTAGGAAAATATTTTCTTAGACATGCATGGTATCCTTTGCATCCTGGACTACTCATGCTCTCTCGAAGTGTGCATTATCACCTTGCTGAATGGGGTTGCACAAATGTCAGGTAAGTTCTTATTTGTGGTGCAGATTTTGTGCTAACTTTTATAGGCCATCAAACAAAGAAGAATTATTTAATCTGTGTCATGTGTCCACATGAAACATCATTGAGCATATATTTGGCGTCCTCAAGCAAAATTTCCGTATCCTTCTTCTTCTACCTGTGTATGCTATAGAAATTCAAGCTCAAATACCTGCTGTGCTATGTGCTATGTACAATTTCATTCAGATACATACCCTAGTGAGGGTGACCCCCCTGCTGATGATGGAGATGATGAGATATTTTTGGAGGATGGTCTTGGTCCTGACAGGGGTTCTGATAATGATGATGATGCAGTGGCCATGGAAGATGATGAGGAGGAGGGTGTTCTCAGCAAGCCACTCAAATACACAATCACATCGCTAGTGATGTGGGATCAGTATCAGTATCTTGTAACACAACAACATTTACATAGGCTTGATCTTATGGTGGAGGAGGAGGAGGAGGAAGTCATTTTGCATACGACAGAAACTTTTGTGGTGAGAGGACACAATTGTCTTCACTGTCTCATTGAGGCTGTTCCAAGCATCACCGAGAGCTGCTTTGAAGCAATGCACATTTTCACAATGACGAGCTGTAAGGGCCACATAGGTCTCTTTACTGAGAGTCACCTTGGGGCGATGAGTAGACTGAGCCTGGACATGTTTGCAAGTTTGCATTGTACAAGGGGAGGTAGCCATTGACCTGGGTATTTCACTTGTCAGTAAACAACCACACAAGCCTATATATATGTGAATGACAAGCACAGTAGTAGTATAGCACAGATATATTAGCATAACTATTTGGAAATGACAATAGTGGCTTTTGCTAGGCACAATCCAGGATCTAACACTAGAAGAAGATACAAAACAAGTAAAGTGTGCACATAAAAACCAGGGTCCCAAGAAATTTGAATATGTCGGTAAGAAATGATGACAGCTGCTAGATGTAATAAAATTTTAATCAGTTAGAATAATAGTAGAAATATAAAATACCTTAGTGTGTGTAGGCATAGCTAGGCTGCTGCAAGCATCAGAATTAAGTGCTCTACTTAGGTTTGATGCTTGTTTATAAGTCAGATTCTATTTCGGTGTTCAAAGCACAGCCTCCCAATGGCTGCTGCGAATGAAGCTGATAAGCTGGTGAAGCTTGGGAAGTATCTGGTCATCTAAACCAAACTGATCGAGTACGGCATCAGTATGTGGACCTATGCTGATCAAGGGTGTCCCTGCTTAAAAAGATGCCACTGTACCAGTGAATTTGATTGTGTTTTTTGTACCAAGAGGCTCTAAGATGGTCATAGTACTAGGTTCAGTGGAATTCAGGAGAAATGTGTCAGCATTGTGATGCTGCCAAATATCAGACTTGTTCTTCCTAGGCGATGCTTTTGATAGGGCTTGACCTATCTGAATAGCAGCTAAGAGCGACTTATTGCTAACTTCAAAATTGTGTTCAAACTGCTTGGTGGGAAGCACTGAATACTGAATCTGTGTGCCAGTGGCCACCAAGGGTCCAGAAAGATTCACCTGACTTGCCGGGTCTTTTAAGTATGAAAAATGTGAACTTATGAAACATGGAAACAAAAAAAGACTTATAGTGCCAGGGAGGGATGACACCCTTGATGCGACAACATTCTGAGAAATACTGCAGATGGGGGATGACAAACTCCTCACTGAAAGCCTGCACTAAAGCTGATGAATCTTCCCCAATGTGCTCTGGTGTTTCACAATATTCCCATGATGTAATGTACAGATCAACAATAAAGTGCTCCAGAGATAGTGTTTCTGAGGCTTCAGAACCAGCACAATGCATAAGGATGGAAATACCACCATCAAGACAATCTTGCATTGTGATCTAATAATTCATTACATTAGTATACAAAGATTATACAAAGATAGAAAACAAAGAAAGCTCACTGCATCAAACATGTCTTGTAATGCTGCCTTAAGGAAGTCTTCTTGCATGATGGATCCTTTGTCTGATGGTGTGTATGAATTGAAAGCAATATATGATGGATGGAGGCCACCAGGCTTTCAGGTATGATAGTGAGTACCATCGACATGAGCTTCATGCCTGAGTAAAGCATGGGCTGCTGTTTGTCATTCTCCATTGCTGAAACCTTGAGTGAACGAGCTTGAGTGCAACACTGCTAAGCTGGACAGTGAGAAGCGAGCCACCTCAGGTATTGTTGCTGGAGATACTGCATGAGGTTTTTCAGTTGAAAGTGTCTCATTTAGAATGGTGAGGAAGGGAGCATTGACAAAACAAATCATGGTTGAAGTGTTAAGGTGAGACGCAAAGAAGCAGTGATGAAATCAAGTTGAGGCCTGTATTGAAACTGATTATGTTAACAGTGTGCTCCTGAGTTGTAAGCAGCAGTAGATGCAGATGCATATGTAGAAGGGTTAAGAAGGGTTACAAAGCAACCTAAGTAGCAGATGATATGTAGAAGGGAATATAATAAACAAAGCTGCCTAAGTAGCAGATGATATGTAGAAAGGAATATGATAGACAAAGCAGCCTAAGTAGCAGATAATATGTAGAAGGGAATATGTTAAGGATTGTCATATATATCTCCCATTCTGAGAGCAGATCAATCACGATGTCATTTGTCATGTCTAAGTAGCAGATGATATGTAGAAGAGAATATGTTAAGGACTATATATATCTCACATTCAATAGCAGAACAATCACAATGACAGTCATCCATTGTGGAATTTGAGTCATTTCAATGAAAATGTAATTACAGACATACTACCGAAAACATAAGATGTATAAACTGCACAGCACAATTCGAAGCAGCAGTAACATTTAATCCACAACAGAAACTAAAAATTCAGCAAAATCTTCTACAATTTGTCCTTGTTCCTCATGCTTAAGAATATCCCCACTGCTCTGTTCGTCAGATGTTAACATAGTCAGAGCTATTGTCCTCAGCTCAAATTGTTTCTAGTGATTGATAGTGTGGATAATTTTAGGTATTTCTGCACATTAGATATATGTAAGCTGCAAATAATGAAGAGCAGGAGGACATACCACAGATGTGTCTTTGAGTCAAGTTCCAAGGTCTCTTCTACCTGAAAAGCTCTCCTATGACATGATTCAATCTAATCTCCATAAATGCACTGCATTGACAGCAGCGTGTCTGCGCCATTGACATTGCAGCTCAAGTCCGACAGGTTCATTTGATATGAGAAGGAAATCAATAGTGGCATTCACAGTGAGTTCCTCATTGTGTATGGCTGTGTGCAGCCGATGAATTTCAACATTCAAGTGTTGAATTTCTTCTTGAGCACATTTAAGTTTGAAGTACTTCACTGTAGCTTCGCAATGAGCAGGTTTGGTCCAATCCAAAGTGTGGATGTCAGAACGAGACTGACACAAAAGATCAAACTCGCCCAGAAAACTGTACTCCACAATATCTTTCCAAGTGAGCTGTGGACATGGAGGCACAAGAGCAGCAGCCTACATATTGTAGTGGTTTAGTGTAGTTCGAATTGCCTCCAAATGTCATTGTAAGGCTTTGCTGATTTGTTGATGTAGTTTGTAGCCTAATATAGATAAAATGAGTACTTATGCGACTGTGCAAAGATAATAATCCCACCTATGCCTGAAAGTAAGAGTTTCAATAACTCAAATAGATGCATGATGATGAGTCGTTCTAAGTCATTGAGTGCTGTGCAATAAGTCAAAAGTGAAGCTTCTTGACGGAATTGACTGTAGGGTTCACTGCTGATCTCCCATTGTTTGTCAATCCCAAGTTGAATTTTTAAGTGTGAGGTCATTGCTTCTGTATTTTGCAGCTTTGAATATGCTCCACCAACTCGGATCCAAGCCTGATTGATGGCAATGTGCATTTCCTGAAAGCTGCCAATATAAATATCCACAAGGGCACAATTAGTGGTGTCTTATATAAAAGTGATCAAAAGGCAATGACACTACAATTACACTTTTGATAAAACTAGATGCTGCCAAACAACCTCAAGTTTGCAGTCTACGACTTTTCTTCTTTTGTGGTAGATAATGTGTTGTTTGTGGGAGGTTACCTGCTTATACAGCCCAGTGGTGTGATTCTACCTAGAACAGTAGATGTTCTACAAGAAAAATCTAACTTTATCTAGCAAGACAGATAATGTAGACTGTTGTAGAGGAATATCTAGCCTTTCCTATGGCTAGATGGAAGATACTTGATACAAATAAGTCTCTCTAGTATTTTTGTTGACTAGACAGACAAATGATGTAATGTGTGTACTGTTGTGCAACTGGTTGCAACTGGATGTAGCAGATATTGCTAGAATTTCCCCCGCCTTAATATGAAAGGACTTATTGATGGGAAATAGAAAGATTTGTATAACCGTGTGATACAAATCAAAGATGCTGGTTTGGACTCCTTTGAAGTAAAGTACAAAGGATGTATCAAAAAATAATAGGATGATAGTGTATAACCAACCGTGTGTTATACAACTACAATAATACAATGGATACATACAACTACGAGTTATATGACTGGAAATATGTATGCAGATAATCCAACAAAGGAATCTGCGGGCGCAGATAAATGGCTTGACTTGATACTTCTAGTCCTCTGAAATGTATGTCAGATGCACACTAGATAGTATAGGTACAGTCAAGAAAAGAGTAAAATAATCTCAGAGCAAGTCTAGATACTTGATCTGCACTTTCTGGCTAACACAAGAGTGTCAATATCAGAGAAAGTGGAAGAATTGTGGGTTCTTTTAAACAGTAAAAGAAGTTCTTGTATTTTTGGGTGGAGATTGGCTTTCCTTTTATACACAAGATGGGAGAAACTGTATAGTACCAAGAAATAAGATTGAAAAGAGAAGTGACATCAGAATTGTATCATAAATGACCTCATTGTGGAGTAATGTGGAGCATTTGTGGAGCCAGGTGGAGCTAGGTGGAGCAGAACATTCTAGCATCCAATGACATCACTATGACATCATAGGTGACATCAGAGAAACCAACAGAATAGGCCAGAACTATCTGTGGAGTCATATGACATCATACCCTGTAGGTACATTTTATGAGGCATCTGGGATGTCAATGAATCATATAGGTAAAGAAATGAAAGAAAAACAAGGTAGGAATAATCATAAAAGAAAACAAAGCAAAACATGGGCTTTTTTGATGGGGTTTTTGTGGGCTTTTAATTTTTCTCCTTGGTTATTTGTAGTCAAGGTAAATAAGCCAAAAGTTAGGTAATAACCTGAGCTTTTATACACCTATTACTTGGACTATGTCAATATATGATTTCTCCATCATATTTGACTTTCCTTCAAAATACCGTACTTTTGTGTGATTGGAGCACACAAAGCTTTCTGTTGCACTTGAGTCTGTACTCAAAGTACATTTTGTGTAGTCTAAGGACAAAGCTAACAGACTATAGACATGTGGGATAATATGTCATGTATGTGTTCTGCATGATTCCCATACCATGCAGGACAGCAGCTTGTTGTGCTGTGTTCCATTCCTCTCTGTGATATATAAAAATTAGGCATGATATAAATACAAATTTAGACTAATGACTTACTGGCAGTTGACAACCTTGTCAAGAGCTTGAACATATCAAATACTGACATGATCCTTGATAGGGGGTTCCTTCAGAATGTCGAGATATGAGCGCTCTTCCTTATGAAAATGAATAAAGTCAGTGTGTATGAGATTAAGCACACCTTCCAGAGAGGAAAGTTCAACAGTGAGAGTTTGACTAGCTGTTAGCGCCTCTTGGTAATTATTGTGTAAAAATGTACCTAGTACATGTTAACTCATTAGCTCATGATTGCATGAAATGTCTAACAAAACTTACTAAGCACTGTGTACTTGTCATTATCCCAAAAGGCAAAGTGCTGCTCGATTGTTTGATGCTGGTGAAATGGAGTAGTGTGGCAAGTGCTGCATGCAAGCTCATTTGATGAAGAGAATACATGTTCACACCCTTCTCCCTCAGTGTAGCCAGTACCTTCTATGTACATTGGATGCCAGTCAATTTGACACCATCAGTTATGAGTGTGGCCATGAAAAGCTCCGACCATCATTCGTAAATTGAGTTCACAAGCACGGGGTCCCAGGTGGCTGTTGTTCAATGTTTTAGAAAATGCACAGCCAATGTCATATGCAACACCACAATTTTTGCCGTAGACATTGAGTAGATGATCTAGAATAGTGAGCAGGTACTTTGAGCTTGAAAAATTAGTCAGTGCTGCAATGATGACAACATCAAAATCAAAATTACAGACAGTTCACCACTTTTGACTATATCACACACTAAGAGAATGAACTGGTGGCAACAGGCTGCAATAAAAATGCCGGACTCATCAAAAACTGAAAACATGTGTTTATGTGCTCCTGAACCAGCATTTTTCCACCAGTCAACACAGTTGAATGATGCCAAGGCTGACTGTACAACATCCTCCCAATCATCAGCGGGTCCTTTCTGATCAGAAATTAGTTTCATAAAGTTGGTATCAGCTAAACTTACTGCACAAGGTTGAGCACCATTGAGTTGGAATTGGTCAACTTTCACATGATGGAGCTGGTAGTCAGAATGATAAGTCCACAAATCATCTCTTGGAGATGTGCCATGTAGAAATGATGACCATCATTTCAGGCTGTTGTTGCTGTTGATGGTGGCAAGTCACTCAAAAGCCATGTCATCTTCATCCTCTACTTTATAAGAACAACATGGACATGAGTTGAGAAGGTGCCAATCTGGTGTGTCTCGCTTCAGTGCTGCTTTGACGATAGAGTCTACCTGATGCAAGATCTCAAGGTAAATGTCATATGTGTCTGAGAACTGTGTGTTGAGATACAGTTGGTATGGAATCTACAAAGCAACATTGTAATTGATGTATTACAATACAGTTGAATATTGTATGTACATCATGAAGATGACATAAGGTCTTATACTGTGCTTGAATGCTAAACTAGGGGCAAGTCCTGTGAGACTGTTGATAGGCTGCAAGCATGCAGAGTGAAATGGCGACAGTTTGATGCAGTGGAGAACAACCTAGGAAACCACGGTGTAGGACTTGGAGTCCTTGTAGCCTCGTAGAGGCTATTTTTGTGGTATCCCTCAGCACCCTATTACTTTCCTACATGAAGCGCAGCTTTCCCGCGAGTTGCACATAGCGGCCGCTACTTTTCCGCGACGGCTGCAATGTTCCCGCGCATGCACAGCCGCGCTTAGCAGCCGCTTTTCTCGCGCTTCATCAGCCGATGTTCCGCACCCATCCATAGTCCAAAACCAACCCAATGGTACGTTGTTTCATAATTATATTTACATATCAGACCATTTTCGCATCAGACCACCTTTATTACATATAGCTTTACATACATAGCTCGGTAGCACGTCAGCTCGGTTCCGCGTGACAGCGCTTAGTGCAATACTTAAGCACTAGCAGTACATATCATTCAGTACGCTTGTTTTCCGGACGTTCCAGTAGCAAACTCCCATTAGCCTACAGTTGGTAGCTATTGGCAATCAGTATCCATTTACCGTTCACATCGTATCAGTTATCACCTCGCTCTTCATCCTATTTCTATTGTCCTTCATCTCTACTATCATCCAAAACCCTCGCGCATCGGCCGCTTCGCAGCCGCGTCTTTCCCGCACCGACCGCTTTCAGCCAACCGCTACATTCCCGCACTTCGCATCGGCTGACAAGCGGCACCTTCTGTGTCCATTTCTAGACCTTTGCTGCACTAGCTTCCCCTTTAGGGTTGAACGCACTTGCTCCACAAGTATAGCAGATAGGCAGTGCACGACCTACAACATAAAGATATCAGTTTGGAGCCTATAGCACCACTCTGAGTTGTAAACCTACAATGGTATATAAGAGTTTCATTCAGAAACCTGTGAAAGGCAAGGGGTTGCAGTGATGCACATTTTCGGCCTAGAATATTATTGAACAAAATCTTCCAACAGGAAAAAAATATGTTGCTTACTAAATATGTCAACCAGCTCAACATCCAGCAGGGTTAGAGCCTCATCAGTCTTATTATGTAGAACATTATCACTTGAAACACTTGGCATGCCATCACCATTATCTCGGGTGCGAGAGTCCAAGTAAGCCTTTACAAGGCTTTCCATCTGAAGGTTCTAGTTCACATTCTGAATACTGATGTGATCATTGCGAGTGTGTAGGTCAACATAGCAGCTAGCATGTGTAAGCACATATTGGTAGGCACAAAATCAAATGACTTACAATCCAGAGAGGTCTGTCATCTGCTGAGCTAGCCCTTCAAATGCTTCATACTCTCTACCTTTGTGACTAAAGTCTGCTCCCTCCTCACTGGAGGGTGCAGTGTATAGTATAGACTCAGTATCAATGTTGACATCAATGAGCATAGTCTTGACAGCCACATGATCTTCAGCTGACATCTTTGCAGAAATGCGAAGGAAGTTACCTAAGTGCTAAGAAAAATAGTTAACATACCTTATATGGATCTTTGCTGCTTTGCATTCACATGCTCCCTTTGTTGGATTTGTTGCCCTGCCCTAAGTACATTGATTGTTCGAATAGAGCATCAAAAGCCGTTGTGGGTACAACAATTCTGATGGTGATTCAGAACAATGTGCTGGGTCTTGCAGAACCTAGCTGCTATTCAACCCTAAAGGGTTTCTGGACCAAGCTCAAGGCTCATAGGAGAGGAAATATGATAGAAAACTGCTGAAGACTCAGACTCATACTGGTAACTGGTGAAAAGATTACTTGATTATGTAAGCTACAAAAGGGCAAACATAACACTAAGGTAAGAACAGTCTCTACAAGGCTAGCCAGGAATCAGTCCCTACACTGTGTTTCACGGTGGCTTTTAACAGCCCTATGATCCTCTTCACTAAGGGTCATGACATAGGGGGTAGGTAGCACGTTTGAGAGATGATATGAGGGGTGTCTAGAGCAATGTTCAATTATTGACCTTATTGAGGGGTAGAATGAGACAAGAAAAACATATGCAGACGCTGATAGAAGAAGTGGGTGGTGAACAGCTATGCTTGGGAGACAAAGTAGTGTCCAGAACCATTGTAGAGCCATTATACTTGGTCCAGTCAATGGAAACATATAGGATGGCAATGAACGATGCTGTAGGAGGTGCAGAATGCCTGTGTTGATGACTAGAATAGGTGGTGGACAATGTTGGTGGCAGTAGAGAAGAGCAAGAAGTGTAAGAATAAGATCTCACCTAGTTTGGAAGCTTTGGCGCATTGGTAGGGCATGTTGGGATGTCATGTTAGGGTAATACAGGTGGCAGATAGTGCCAAGCTTACCTAGATGGTGTACACTAAAGGATCCTACATTATTTGGGACAGTATTTAATGGTGGTGTTGAGTATTACTGCAAATGAGCCTAATTATAGTGAGCACAACACATAACAAACAACTATAATAAGGCTGACTTATTGGAAAACCCAAGTGGATGAATGGGTCTCACTGTCACAACCCAATAATGAGTAAACGCTATGCAGAGACTAGGACTCAAACTATTGGATAATCACAAAAGAGAAAGGAGCGGGGAAGCAAGTAAGCTAATACACAAGAGGTTTGAACTGAAGAACTACTAACTACTTTTATACATATATGTATATTGAGATGGAAATTGAAACTAAAAATGAACTAACTAGCCAATCAGAATGGTTAAAGGTATTGTATGATTCTATATATAACTATGAGGTCATGATATGTGTCACAGCCACAGTAAGAACATTCCAAGAGTGTCATATGGTATGACATCATTGAGATCACATAATTTAGGCATAGGATACTTCTGGTAATTCTATAATAAACACAATCATGGGAACTTCTTCAATGTTATAGCTCTTTGCATAATTATGCGAAAATGCAAAAGTTGAATTTGTGTGTCAGAAATGCCTGAGGTAAGACCCCATAAGCACCATCTGAGTGAGAACATGCTGCAGACCAATCCAAGGTAGACAGTAGACATACTTCTAGTGATGGCTTCACCTTCCATATCCCCTGAGCCAGAAATACCTCAGTTTGAGACTGTTTTTGTTGTAAATCTTGATATATATATATGAAAACTCAACAGAACACAATGGCAAAACCAAAATCAAGGAGGTGAAATTCACAAAGGTCAAAGAAGTCATTTTTCTTGTCTTAGCACCCAGTTACCTTGACTTCCTCATGACTATGCTTGCAAAGCATGATAAATCACTCTATAAGATTACTGAGAAGAAAAGGTATACCTTCAAATACCTTCCTGGTGCTTCGCGCAGGTATGTTGGTCCTTGGATCATCTGCCAATGCTACAGCAACAATGAGATCCTGCTTATTCAGGTGATTGATTATAGTCACACAGAAGCCATGGATGTTACCAATAAGAATGATTATGTTGAGATGGCAAAGAATATCGAGAAATTGCCTGTTCATACCCATAAGGTAAGTCTTGAAGATTCTGTGATACCTTAGCTAACAAAGACACAATGTTCTTTGGAAAATGCTGCCAGCCATGAGAGTAGAGAATCTGAGGACGAGGAAACCATGCTTGTTACTGAGGTATTTCAACTGTGAAGACTGGTCTCAATATTTTAGCTGTTCAATAATGTTTCTTGCAGACTGGTGCTTCAGAGCTCAAGCGTGAGATTGCTTGTTATCGATGACTCATTATCAAGAAGTAGGGAAATGACTATGACAACTCTGTTATATATGTCCACTTGAGTGGTATGGAGATTCCTTGTACCCCAGTCATGGTAAAGGATTGGGCTCGTGCAATGGTAATTGAATTGTAGCAACTTTATGTCTCTAGTTGAACCTTACATTCTTTCAGTATGATGGTGAAGCTATGACTTCAATGCCACCAAATATTCAATCATTTAATCCTGCAAAACAAGAGCCTGTATTGCACCTAATGTACCATGCTGCATTAACCACACCAATGGTTCCTCCTGTGCCTTCGACTGTAAGTGCTAGTGACATCAGCTCACTTGATTCAATGCTTCTGTTACGGACTATTCAAGATCTTGCCCATAACCAAGACCATGCTGCAATTTCTTCAACACCTTTGCCTACAGTCAATACTTCTGTCCTTGCTTGTTCACCTGTTATCTTGACACCATCAAAACTTACTTGCTTCTTGAAGTATGCTGAGCAGGAACTTGGTGTTACTCATGTAACAGTGTATGAATCCTCCTTGGGTAGTATTGGAGCTGGACCGGACATCCTCGCAGAGATTGCTGACCATGAACTCACTCACATTGGGCTGACCCTAGGTGACATCATTTGTTTGAAGAAAGGAAGTGTCACTTGATGGAGTGGCCCCCTTGCCAAGAGTGAGCCAATGGACAGTACAAAGTGCAAATGTAGTAATACTACTGGTTCTGATATTCCTGAGGACAGGAAGTACCAGTACAAGACAAGATACCATGATGGAGGATGTGCATGAATTAATGGGGGTAGAATGAAACTTGAAGAGTGGCCACCTGGTGAGTTCAATGGCATTATTACGTCATCTCCACTCACAAGATTCAGGGGAGTGTTCCAATCTTGATTATCATCTTTATCACTTTTGCAGCAACAGACAAGAGTGGGTTCCTTTTCCACCAGGGTATATATTTGATGTAGAGGGTAGCCGCGAAGACAAAGATCCTTTTAGGTAGAAGTACATTGAAACTGTCTAGGCAATGTAACCAGAAGCATGAAAATACCCCTCCACTTTGTCAGGTGTAATGTGCTGGCATGCTTGTCTGATAGCTGTCAAGGATATATCAAGAAAGTGACAGCATAAGATAGAAGAAAATGCCTGCTCGATGAGATTATAGTCAGGTGAGTATGGAGGTAGAAACACAAGTTTACACATAGCCTCATCCTCTACAACACGTCAGACCTCTTCACTGTGGTGGATATGACAGTTGTCCAACACAAGAACACTATGAGGGCTAGGGTAGAGGTTAGTCAATGGCAACTATTCATAAAACAATCAGTAAGATCCATGATGTTATTACGAGGCATACCACATGTTCTTGTAAGAACTGCATGAATCTCTCACTCATCACAGACCCTTCAATGATATCATAGGCAATGATGCCATCAAGTGTGAGGATGGGCAAGATTAAGTATCATTTGCCTCATATGAAACACTTTCTCTGAATACACCTAGTATGAATTAGCCAAGACTGATACTGATCTGTAAATGAAGCAAACCTTGTTCCGATTTTCAAATGTCTGAATCTACAAATCAATGTCCTTTCATCTTTTGTAGCTTCATCACCAAACATCAACATTTCAGGGTCTGAAGCTATCTCTGCAATATGGTTCATAAATATGGCATGTCATTCCTCATCTCATTCAAGAGCATGAGCCGAGATAGTCTTGTGGCTGTATTGTAGCCTGCACAGGGTATGAAAGAGTGTATGGATAGATACAAAGACACTGTGGCATGCCTGTAACTCATGCTGTAGTTCATTGAGGTAGATGGTGGGATTTCTACGAAGGGTAGTAATGAGAAAGGTGATGTCATCTATACTGAGGTCTGATGGTTTTGTATACAAATGTCTTCTTGATACCAAGCAAATGACAAATGCTTGTGACTGAATGGCCATGTTGGTGCAAAACAGGAATGTGAGCTTTTAGATCTTGTGAGATGGTGTGCGGTGGCATGCTGGAGTGTGAATGAGCAGCAAGTGCACAATCAGTGTGAGCCAAAGACTTACAGGGTCCTACTTTGGGCATTTCTGAGATGCCACATCAGGAAAACCACCGGTTACTTTTCTAACTTAATTTGTCACTTAATTACACGAAAAGAAGCATTAAGTCATTTGAGCGAAAAAGCGTGAGCCACTTAGTTAAGCCCACTCCATCTCTGAATTTTCAGTTTTTCAACACTTATTTTGCTTAAGAAAGCAGGTAAAGCAGCACAAGTCTTTCATAAAACGGGGCAGTATTACTACACGATAAGCAGAAAATTAAGGAAATGAAAAGTAAGACGACAGCATAGTAGGAAAAATGGGGGACATGCAGGAGCAAATGGAATGGCAGCAGATTAAAAATGACAGCAAAACAACTTGAAGATGATAGCCTGTAGTGACAGCCAGAGTTTGTCGAACGTAGGATAGTGGAAATGGTGCAGACGCAACAAATAGACAAATCCTGAGGTCGCGATGTCAGTGAGATGAAACCTGAATGATAACGACTTACAAAGCATAGCGCGCTCATCATCAAATGAGCCCTGGGGTGTATCCGTCGCATCATTCAATGCAGTACAGGCACGCGCCATCTGTATCATCATCTCTATGTATCCCGCAGGCTTTTTCGAGAGGGACTTGGTGAACGACTTGGTCGCTTTAGTCCAGCGAGCCCTTGAAAATAGGAATGGGGCGTTGGTCATCTTCCCAGTAGCTTTGTTGAGGACTTTTGGTAGCTTGATAGTGAGTTTACCTGAGCCAGCTGCTAAGACCTCCTTGACTTTCAAATGCTTCTTTGCGAACATATTGAGGGCACACTCAATCTGAAACAATAAGCATGAATAAGACTGTCAGAAGATCAAACTTACTGCTGCAGCAGAAAGGGAAATAACGCCTGACATCCCACACGTTGCGAGTGCATGCATGTCGAGTTTGGGAACCTCCACATAGCCATTGATGGCATTGAGATGCGCAGTACCCAACAGCTGCAAAACAAAGGGAGAGCGGTACACTGTGAGGGGATTTGGGTCATCAGGATTTTCAAACAGGAATGCGTAGCCGGTGACCAAAGACTTGGCAAGTTCAACAGGATCACAGTCGGAATTTCGCGTCAAAAAGTCCTAGATGATGACTATGCCCGTAGAGCTGAAATTGCTGCGCCATTTAGATATACGCTGCGCTGTCTAATTACAAATACAGTTAGTCAAGCTTAACAAAAAAAAGACTTACGAGAGAGTGTATCACACCACCATGAACGATAGTGATGTTAAGTTCCTTGTATACCACATTCAAAATGAGCTGGGCGTGAAGGAGAAGGACATCATCTGGGATGGTCCAGATATCCTCATAACTCCCAGCCCACAACATGACGGTAGGTAGATACTTCTTTGTCCAGCGCTGGTCCACCTGCATCATAGCAGGTAAGTCAACGTTACGATAGGCGCTACGAGGCTTCATGCGATCTGGCGCAGTGTCTACATTCAGCAGGCGTTCAATAGCAGGAGTGTTGCGGGCATGTATAAGAGATGATTCGATCTTGGCCTTCTTGAGAGCAGGTGGCTTGCTGTCAGCAGCGGAAGCAACAGATACAGACGTCTATGAGAGTGTCAGAATGAGCACGATTTAACACTTCACACTTACCAATGACGTTGTGCGCTGAACCTTGTTCTTCTTTAGCACCACAGGTTCGGGCTGTGAATCTTCATCAGAAATCATAACCGGGTCCTCAAAAGTGGGGCTGTCAACGTCCATGGACCAGTCAGACACCTCATCATCATCTAAAGTGTCATCAAGCACAGTTTTCTGCTTGAGGGTCCGGGGAGGGTCAACCTGTGTGAATGGAGGTTTGGGCTCCAGTGAGTACTGTTCCTGCTCGGCGGATGAGGCCACTGAATTGCCATCCGAGTCATGTGCTCTTGATAGTACTTGCGTGGAAGTTGCCTTTGCCTCAAAGTCCGAGATATCTTCAAATATTGAGGCTACCTGCAGAACAAACAATGAGCAATACTAACGATCAAATCGCATTCACTTACCTTCAATTTTCCCTTGCCTTGCACAATAGCAGCCTCATGCTCCAGGGCATCATCTGCGCCTAGAATTTCAGCAGGAACTGCAGGCTTCTGAGTTGGGACTTGCGCATCAGAAGTTGCTACCATAGAAGCAGTGCCTTGTGTGAAAATCGAAGTTGGAGGCGCTCGAGTAACACTTGATGCGGGTGCCAGTTTTGGATGTTCTGGTTTTCCCTGCAGCTTGATATCGGACACCCAGTTGGTGACCCGGCCACCCAACACAAATTTCTGACTGGTTGCATTGAGACTAGAGGTAAGATTGAGGAAATATAATGTTGATTCAGTGAGAAGTAACATCAGTGATGGGTAAGAGAAGAAGCCTTACGACGCTGAGTCTTTCCCATCAGATACACATGCCATGCCATCAGTGATATCACCTTCCCCTTTTGACGATGGTTCATTGATCTTTTTTTGCATCAAGTTGCTGATGGCATCCTTTACCAGTGTCTTTCCACCTTTCTTCGTTACCGTCTTCTTCGTCACTCTTGCATTTCCATCATCCATCTGCTCAACAGTCTCTGGAGGTCATCAGCTTCAGCCTCCATCATGCTGTCAGTATGATTGTCACTAGTCCTTACTGCAGGCTTCATTGCCTTACGAGCCCTGGGCTTAGGCTGAATGGGAATCACTTTCATTGTAAGTAATTCCTCCTGTGCTTTCTCCATCTCATTTTGCATACCAGCCAGGCGCTTCAGTCCTTCTTCGACCTGTGCCTCCTTCAATTCTTTTGCTTCCTTGGCGGCAAGGTCATCCGCATTCTTTTGTGCCTTGGTACGTCTCTTGACTTGTGCATTAAGCACAATCTGACCAGGCCGGGCAGTTGCGTTTGATGGACGGGTACGACGAGGGATATCTGTTGTAGACATGACTGAGGAGATGGGGACACTGAGGCGAAGGCTTTTGCTGGAGTGAGATGGCAGGATCGTGAAGGTTGGAAGTTTGAAAATTTTGTAAGTCCCCAAACAAGTATCGACTGTGGTGCACTATATATTGAACTTAGAGTTATGAACAGTATTCAGCAAGGCTCTCGAGGCTCTCATATGGTTTGAGTCTGCCCTTCATGTCTCATTCTGCTCGCAGGGACCACAGCGCCCATCAAATTCCCTGCGGTTACTTGCACTGTGAATGCCACTTCAAGACTCAGGCAGGGCGCACAAAGCACTGGAACGCTTCCCATCCAACATTCACGTCAGCTCCTACCACTAGTGTCTCGTACTCGGCTACTGTTGAAGATGAGCCAGAGGAACCGCACGACACCTTCTTCATAGGGCATGATGACTTCCCTGCAGGCTCGTTTGACGCAGGTCAGACTCTCAATGAGCCTGATAATATGGACACAGAATTTTGGGGACCAGGCGATAGATTATATCGCAACTATCACCCCAAACTAAACAGTACGTTTTTTTGAAAATCTTCTAGTAAATTGCAACTAATACATATACTACTTATGAAGGTCGCCCATGTGATGCAACAGGTCAATTCCTTGCTGACGGAGCAACCCCTGCACCACCACCAAGCAAATCGCGTGATGACTGGACTCCCTACCGAAATTGCATCGAGTTTGAGACTGCAGAATTTCTGTACACACGCAATCAGATGTCAGCAGGGAATATCAATATCTTACTGGATCTTTGGGCCGCAACCCTTTTGAAACACAACAACAAACTGCCATTTGCAGACTGCCGCGATTTATATAAGACCATTGACAGTACGCCGGTAGGCAATGTCAAATGGCAATCTTTCAAGGTCCAGTACACGGGGGAGAAGCCGGCACACGATGTACTACCCTGGATGACCGAATCGCATGACGTCTGGTATCAAGACCCCCACAAGGTCATTTGTAACATGTTAGCAAACCCAGATTATGCAACGGAAATGGACTACCAGCCCTACTGTGAGTTCTCGACTGACAACAATGAACGTCAATGGCAAGATTTCATGTCTGGTGACTGGGCTTGGAATCAAGCTGTATGTTATCTTACCTTATTGTGTCGCTGATGCACTGACAGTGTTTGGTAGGATATCATTTCTCAAGACTCAGATACAGCTGGCTCAACCTTCGTGCCAGTCATTCTCGGAAGCAACAAAACGACAGTTTCAGTCACAACTGGTGCCAACGACTACTATCCACTGTACGCATCAATCGGAAATGTTTGTAATAATGTCCGACGCGCACATCGCAATGCTGTTGCCATCATTGGTTTCCTAGCTATGCCAAAAAGTAATATTCACCATACTATTGTCGTTCTGTGCTAACTATAGTTGAGTAGCTACCAAGGAGCATGCGGCCTGCCCGAAATATCGGAAGTATCGCCGGCAATTGTTTCATTCATCAATATCAAAGATTCTCGAGAACCTCAAGCCAGGCATGATGAAACCAGAAGTTGTGCGTTTCGGTGATGGGCACTATCGGCATGTTATCTATGGGCTTGGACTGTATATCGCAGATTACAAGGAGCAGGTCTTATTGGCATGTATAGTACGCTCTTGGTGTCCAAGGTATATTCCTCAATGTATTTTTTCAATATACACTCTGATTTGACATTTTTAACATACAGGTGCATGTCACACCGCAAAAACTTGGACTCCAAGTCGTTGTGTCGCAATCATGACCATACAGAAGCTCTTATCGATGAAGTAACATCTAGTGATTTGTGGGATGAGTATGGGATCATCGCTGACCTTGTTGTAAGTCGCCTGTCTTGTAGAAACACAGTCAAGACTTAAGTTTTTCTAGCCCTTTACAAATGATTTCCCCCGAGGCGATATTCACGAACTTATTGCACCAGACATTCTACATCAATTGATTAAAGGTACTTTCAAGGACCATTTAGTCAAGTGGGTGGGACAATATCTGCACCATGTGCATGGCAAGAAAAGAGCAGAGAAGATTCTAGATGATATTGATTGAAGGTGTCATATCCCGCGTTCTGGACCCAGACCCGGTGTAGAGACTCATGCCTCTCCTTGTGCAATATTGCAGTTTTCACCAAGGAGTATACAGCACGAACTTGTAGCATCACTCTGTATGCTATCCACAGCTATTCCTACATGAGGCACAGCTTTCCCATGCAACGCGCAACTTGCGCGCGTACCTTTCCCACGCTTCATGATGTATATGCGCGCGCACTTTCCCGCGCTTGAGCGCCCTATAGCGCCAGCCATCCGGAAGCATCCATCCACTGTCCACCAAGTTCCCTAGTGCGTATATTTCCATTTCTCACATTTGCATATCGTTCCATCTTTATTTTTACTATGGACCCTTACTTACATATATCCTTACATACCTTACTCGGTAGCGCTTCGGCTCCGCATGACAGCGCTTAGGCGCCATACTTAAGCGCCAGCAGTACATACTATTACTCACTTACTCACCCACCAAGAACGACAGAGGACTGAACCAGAACAATACCCATTTACTACTCACCAGAGCATAGTTGAAATCTATTTCTTGGCACCTCGCATATAACATCTCTCAGCTTGCATCTCTCACCTCTTGTCTAGTGTCTAATCATCACTTAAGCAAACTCACTCTTACTCTCTCTTGTTTCCACATACACACGCACGCATTCCCGCGCTTCGCGCATTCTTGCACCTCGCGCGCACCTGCGCTTTCCCGCGCTTCGCATTTGCCAACCAGTAGCGCCTTCGGCGCCTACTACTAGATCCTTGCTGCACTTGCTTCCCCTTTAGGGTCGAACACACTTGTCGTCTCAAGTATAGCAGACTAGGCAACGCGCGACCTTACAACATTTATAGATACAGTCAGGAGCATTGTTCATGCCTCGCTGTATCGTTGAACCTTCACCAGACCAATCACACACATCATTTCCGGTGTAGAGACTCGCGCCTCTCAATGCGGAATATACGGCCCTATTACCCACATAATTCCCTACACGTTCCAGCTCTTATCCGAAGGATCAGTCATACGCGCTCTCACGCGCGCGCCCTACATACGCGCCTCGTTCGCGCGCCTTACACGCACTCGCGCCTTTCGCGCGCGCTCGTGCGCCTCCCCTTAGGCCTTCGTACCCTTGTCCGTCCGTCCGTCCTATGTCCTCGCTGATTTACTGGTGCGTTATTCTTATCCCTTTCACTGAATTGACGTACCTTCGGTCCGATCTCCGCGCTTATATACAGAAAGTCTATCATAGGCTTTAGAATATATTTAGAGTTGATATGGTTACTCGGTTCGGTACCACGCTCAGAAGCGCGCCGCATAGCGTAATCTCCCTTCTTAAATAGAGGGAAAGTTCCTTTTAACTTCCTTCCCTTCTCCCTTATCTGAGTATACTGCAAATTGTATAAGTGCACCTTAGTACTTGAAATCCGATTATACTTCACTATTCTACCATCGCTCGCGCATCTGTTATACTTGAACACTCTCCCCCATCGCTCAAAAGCACGCTTCCGTATACGCGCGCGCCCCTCGCATCTTTCGCTCGCGCGCGCCCTTCGCGCGCCTTCGCATTTGCTTACTCGCGCCTACGCGCGCGTTATCTTCTCGCGCCTGTTACCACCCGTCTAGTTGGCAAAGACTCCCTCCATTACATTAAAGAGGAACTTCTCTCAGTAGCTGTCCTTTGGGTCGAGTCGTATTCTCGTATCCTGGTCTTACTGTAGAACCCCCGTTAGCTTTAGCGTTTCACCTATAGTCAAGATTCCTCACCTTCACCGGACTTCCAGATCCGGCCAACTTCTCTCTAACGTCTGGATCCGACCCACGTCTATCTTCCGTGCCTTATCCCTTTGTATGTTCCTCCTCCAGTTAGACTATACTCATTTTCCGTACCTCATTTCATTTCCGCCTTTATTTTCCTATGTCTTCATCTCCGTCTTCATTTACTATTTTCTGATAGACTAGTGTTTGACTTTTCTATACGCTCCGTCCACAGCCTCGCATAGCTTCGGACTGCACAGACTGACTCTCCGTTAAGTCCTCAGTAGTATATAAACCCTGTAGAATCTTTGTACTTCCTCAGTTCGAATATTATCTTAGACTCTGCTCATTCCCTTCTCCGTCCGACTTGAGTTCTCCTCTCGTCGTCCTCCGCTAGTCTTAGGATTGATTCCTATAGACTTCTCACCTCCGCCTCTACCTCCAGTAGTCCTCCGCTGTTTCCTTTCTAGTTCGGACATCGTCCAGATTAGTCTTATCCTTCGTTCCCGAACGTCTGCCGGAATTCCTGCGCATCGGACATCAGACTCTGGACTCGTCCGACAACCTCCAGACATCATCCAACAGCCCTTGGAAGTTAGGGGCACGTACTCAGGTAAGGGGCACAGCGCATGAGCTGAAGCCAAGCCCTTTGGATCCGACCCTTGAGCACGTTCTTAACAGAAGGTATGTCCTTTTGTCTTAATTCAATGTTTCAAAGCTGATGTCATGAAAGAATTGCTGTCGTTGCCTCATTCTCAGGTCTTCAATGTTTCCCTCAAGGCCGAGGGTTCAAACAATGGACCAGCGATGATTCAAAAGCGCTTATGAAGGTAAGTTTAACATTAACATTGTGACCTTCAGACTAACAGTAGTTCAGGTTTATCTTCCCACCATCGAAGGTTACATCCCAACAGACGTGGTGAGCACATTTCGTGCGTTCCTCAAATTCTGCTATCTCATACGGCGTAAAATCATCATGGAATCCACACCCGTTCGCATTCAGGACGCTCTCGACCGATTCCATCATTACAGGAATGTTTTCGAGTCGACAGGTGTCGTATTCACATTCTCTCTCCCTCGGCAACATTCTTGCTCTCATTACGCCCTCCTTATCCGACTATTTGGTGCACCCAATGGCCTATGTTCCTTTATTACCGAGACAAAACACATCAAAGCTGTCAAGGAACCATGGAGGCGTTCAAGTCGCTACCACGCCCTCGGTCAAATGCTGGTAACAAATCAATGCCTTGACAAACTGGCAGCATCATGCATCGATTTCAAAAGCCATGGGATGCTGAACGGCACCTGTCTATCCAAAACTCTTCAAGCGCTAAGTGAGTTTGTATGGTATCATTGTTTGCATTGCTTGCTCAACATCTATACTAGTGCATTTGCGGTTAAATCATGAGCCTGAAGCCAATGAGCTCAATGACAATACCATCACGCCACTGCCTGACCGCAACATAACTATCCAGGGCGACAATGAAGAAGGCGAAATCGTTGATGGACCAACGTCATTGGTCCAGGCCCATGTTCAGTTAGCAAAGACGCACCGTAAGTCAGTTTATATTTGCCAATGAATATCTCATAATTTTCAACATTGTGCAGAACACAAACGTGCACGAACTGTACCTGATTTAAGTACAGAACTTTCTATCCCCCATCTCCACAACCTCCTCCGCCGATTCCTATTCGAACAATTACATCCGGATGACGAACTGTCTGATGTCCCACTCGCATGCTGCCTTCGATTTGATGGGCAAATTCAAGTGTTCAACTCTGCTGCTTCGACATTCTATGCACCTAGCGACCGCAGTGGTATCGGTGGCATGCGCCGAGAGCACATACGTGCTTGTCCTCTTTTAGAAAGGAGGCACCGCGATATGATTGTGTGTTTGTAAACACAGATGCAGCTGTTGAAGGGATGGGGGGGATGGACATAGGCTGTGTCATGTGCTTTTTCTCTTTTACATCTGAGGAAGTTTCATACCCATGTGCCGTAGTGCGCTGGTTTGAGAAGGCCAATGATGGACCTGACAAAGACACCGGCATGTGGATTGTAAAGCCTTTGTATGATACTGATCATTCTCCGCTAGTTGGAATCATCCATATCGATTCCATTTACCAGGCTACACACCTCATTCCAATCTATGGCACGCACACCATCCCAAAGGACCTCAAGCACTACGACTTGTATGATGCCTTCTGCGCATTTTATGTAAACAAATTTGCAGACCATCATGCATTCGAGATCGCATCTTAGGTAAGTCTGTTCTGCTTTGGAAATTGGCATGCAGTGATACTCATTCACTATCCTAGAAGAATATGATGCGCACGGGCGCGGTCTCATTACGATTTCCAGGTTTGTCCCTCCACTTCCTCGCACAATGGCACTCATTCACCATCTAGGAAGAATATGATGCGCACGGGTGCGGTCTTGTTACGATTTCCAGGTCCATCCCTCACACAATAGCACCCATTCACCATCTCGGAAGAATATGATGCGCATGGGTGCGGTCTCGTTACGATGTCCAGGTTCATCCCTCTATTTACTATTCTTCCCCTCCGAAACATGCCGGCCAACACATTTTTGTGGTACTAGTAGTAGTATTATCATTTATGACTTATTATACTTAATACAACTTTTCTGGCTTTTTGGTGATCTGCCTGGGCACGCCCTGAATTTGCTTTTGCGAAAGTCTATTAAGTTGGAAAAGCAGTGTTTTGACTTGCATTTACCAAACATCAAGGGGCAAAAAGTGACATAAGTGGGAAAACCCAGCCGGTGGTTTTCCTGATGCAATTCAACTTTTGTGTTTCCACATAATTATGCAAAGAGCCGTAAATACATTTTTAGGTACAGGCACTGTGACTGGGTGCTTAGAAGACTTCAAATTCAAAAAAGAATAATGATTTGTGTTTGGAACTCATGACACTTAGGGATCTGCACGGGTGAACCCCCGGGTGTCGGCAGGTCAACCCGCACCCCAAGGTAAACCCACACCCGCAGCAAGGGTACGGGTTGCACAGTGGGTAGCGAAGTAAGGACCCGGGGTACAACCCATCAAGGGTGTACCCTGCGGGTCATAGATCCGCCAGTGCTTAGCACATATGTCCAGCACACATCAGCGAATGCTGACGTGACTCGAACATATGTGGATGGCACAAGGAGGAGTGGAGGCACAGCGCGAATGACGGACACATCGAAATAGACGCTGATGTCGTGGCAGGTGGTGTGTCGCGTACGATCGAAGTCGAAGGTGAGCGTGTCGAAATGGGAGATGGTGGTGTGGTGGTGTGAGAGTGTGACGTGTCGGGCGTCGTGTCCTCATTGCAGAAAATGGGGGCAGAGTCAGGACGGCGACTTACTGACAAGATCCTTCCTTCCTCCTCTCGTTCCTCCTCTTTTCCTTCTCACTTCCTTCTCTTTCCCTTCTTTCCTCGTCCTCGTATCCTCCGTATGTGTCCGAGCCACGCCAGCATTCGCTGGCGTGCTCTGGGCGCAGACGCTCGATGCTGGCAGTTGGTAGCACGAGGTGGGAGCTGCTGGTGGCGTCCTGGATGGAGGTGGTTGTTGCTGTGGGAAGGGAGCTGCTAGCGATGGTGGTGGTGGTGCCGGCGTCGAGGAACGTGTGAATGGTGGTGGTGGTTGCTGGCTGAGGGCTGTTACAAGTAACATCAGTCACATGGCCCCCCTATCATTTTCCCTTCATCCTCGCCCTCACCATCTACCGGCTCGTCCTCCTTTACCGACTTTCCGTTGACCAGATCCTCGGGACCGTTCCCATCCCTCGCATCGCCCGCCTCTATGCACGTGCACGCATGTTCCCCCACTGATTCGACCACCAATGTGGTCCCGCACCTATGACTCGGTCTGACTCGTGCCACCAATGTGGCTTTCCTCTTTCTGTTCCTTCTGACTGCGGATTCCCGCACGTTGTATTCTTACCGTTGGTCCGTTCCAACGTTTCTCGGTCTCATTCCACATTCGACCACCCATCACTAATCCGGCTCTGTTGCCAACGCACCTATACCATTCTCGTTTCCCCTTTACCCTTACCTACTGTGCGGTAGCCTTGCCCTTAACCCTCTCCACTTAGTATAAGTAGTCAGTCACCCTGTACTAGATTCTCTAACTTGAATCTACTCAATCTTCCCTGGAACATACTTCTCTCTGAAAGCCCCTTTGGCTTCAGTCTCTAGTATCTTTTCTTAGTTGCTCATCGTGACTAAGTCTACCTCGATCGACCTCATCGTTTGGACAAGACTGTCCTTACCTTGAGCGACTTCAAAGACATCTGTCTTAGAAGTCACGTGACACGCGCGTACTGTGATCACTGCCGACTCGTTGTCGCCAGTCTCACTTGCTATACCGGATCCTTCCGGTTACATCACGAACATTAGCGGACGACGCCCCTCTTAGGGCTCCGCCTAACAGATCTATTTGAGTGCGTAACAAGGGCGTCCGTTGATGTGCTTAGTGGCATTAGAATGGGTGCCGGAAGAATTGGCATGGGGGGTGCAGCGAGTGCTGCCGAACGCGAGGATGCTGGTGGTGGCGTGTTAGCAGGTGAGTGCTTGGTGGTGGTGCCGGTTGTAGCGTGCACGCGGGAAGTATCGCGTTTATGGAAGGCACGGGTATAGCTGGGGTACGGGTAAGAGCGCGGGTCTTAGAATCCCGACCCGTACCCGTACCCCAGTAGTACCCGTACCCGTGACCCGCGCGGGTTACCCGTACCCATGCAGATCCCTAATGACACTCACAATGATTTAGACAGTAGCTTGCATGACGAGGATGTCAACAGTAAGGTTTAACACTAGTCATTTGAGCTACATTGTCATTGCATAGTCTACTATCCAATTGTTTAAGTCTGGCTAAGTCTATCAAAGTTTATGTACATTGTCCAACCCATCCAATATGTCTGATATGTCCAGTGTGTCCAGTGTGTCTGCATTCAATGTGCCTATTTGTACAGATTGTAATACTTTGTGACAGGCTTGTAAAGACTTTGTTGTGGGCTTGTGCCATTTGTACAAGCTTGTACAGTGACCCCCTAGTTTGCTGATGTTTTCCTGATGCAACTAGTACCCCACTGACAGCACAGCTTCTACTAGTAACAACACTGCTCCAAGTCCAATATCATCAGCACCAACGACAAATGCAAAATGCATGCGACCTGGTTCAAACAAAAACAGACGGTAAGTATTTGATTACCTATTTCAGCAAAGCGCTAACATCACATACTACAGCACACTTTGTGCTCACCACTAGTAAAATGGAGTTGCGAAGGATGGGAGAATGGCCAACTTCAAAACCTATTGAACTGGCTTGCCGAAAAACTTGTCTGTTCTGCTTGATCATTATTATGTAGCTCATAGTGTCGACAGACAACATCACTCCATACTACCAACTTGCCCTTGATGCTCTGTTCGACCTCTCGCCTTCAGCTCCGCCTGCCGCTGCTCTACCTCGTCTTGCACGCGTTCAATTGACTTGAAATATTTGACTGTTTTGACATGCAATTCTGAGTTGTAGTTCCGTAGGTTTTGTTTCATTCAGAATGAGGTGACGATGGGTGGGCATGAAAAAGGGTGATATGAAGTGAGGGACGATATGACGGCATCCGTACGTCAACAAAAGGTCGTATTTATCAGAAAACACCACGTACCGGCTGTCGCATCTTCATCGACTACAATCAACGCCCAAGGGTGGAGCTGCAGCGCCGAGAGAGTCCACTACGTCAGGAGTTATGTCAAGGTAAGTTCTTGCGAGGTGCTAGAAACGGCCTACTCACAAGGTGGTTTACGCCATCCTCTGTAGACGGCGGAAAGTTGAAACCAGATAACCCATGAATGAGCCCAAATATAGCCTGAAAGCATGACTCACCGATGGCCTTGCTGAGAGCCAAGCTCTTCCTCTGACCCGTGACTACAACCACGACTTCCCTTGCTTCAAGTACTGTAGCAACACCGACTGTAAGGGCCATACGAGGGACAGCAGCAACATTGTTATTAAAGAAGCGGGCGTTGGCGAGGATGGTGTCGTAAGCGAGTGTCTTGATGCGGGTCCGGGACGCGAGGGACGAGCCTTTGATAGGAACGAGCATTATTCAAGTCAATGAACGTGTCAAGAAGACAGAACAATCATACGGTAGAGAAGCCACGAGGAAAGGGACAACAGGAAGTGAAGAAACGAGACATACCAGGCTCGTTGAATGCGATATGACCATCCTCGCCGATACCACCCAGGAAGAGCTCGATACCACCACACTGCTTGATGCGGGACTCGTATGCGTTGCATTCCGCGACCAAGTCTTCGGCGTTCCCATCCAGTAAATTGACTTGGGAGGGGGGAATATCGACTGCGTTTATGAAATTAGTATAGGATTCTTCAGCGAGGGTGACTGGACTAGACGGACTATGGGAGAAAAACTCGCGGAACATGAATGTGTGGTAGGATTCTGGGTGATCACGAGGAATGCCGACATACTCGTCCATGTTGAAAGTGATGACGTGCTTGAACCTGGAGGCATGAGTGGATAAACGCAACTTCGAGTATACTGGTTCAGCACTCACGATAAACTACCCTCCTTGACTTTATTGATGAGGGCTTTGTAAGTTGGAATAGGAGAGGAGCCAGTTGGGAGACCGAGCACGAAAGGTTTGCTAGCGGTCGGTGCAAAGTCATTAATGCTAGTTGAAAGGAATGAGTCACAGGCAAGGAAATATGGATGAGGATGCCACCGTTTGGCAATGTAGTTGGCGACATAGTCGCCGACAGCGACAGGGTCATCGCGAATGATAAGACCTAGTGACAGAGACGTAAGCACATTGAACATGGATAGAAGGAAGATGGGCGGACGCATAGCGGCAATCTACAGTAAGTACTTGCTAGTGGTACAGAGATGGCGAAGGAAGAGGTAGGATTCAACAAAGTGTCTGTATGAATTCCAACTCCAACCTGAGTGTGTTTTTATCCTGCATTACATGTCCGCGGTGCTCCTGGAATTACTGAGTTCCATTGGTGAATCAGCTGGAATGATAGCTGGCAGTGTCTTGCGATTGGCCATGTGCTCGAACAATAATAACATGCTATCACATGTCATGCGTCCTAATCGCCATTAACTTCCCACCTTGTCAATTCTTAGATAGAACGCTCAACGGAACTTGCAGTCGCGTCTTCTGAACGTTCGTCATTAACCTTGTTAGCAAATGCTCCAAATCAGTGCGCGCACGTTTAATTTGCCGCGGCCGGAGCTGTTGTCTTCTGGTTCAACGTCTACATCGAAGTGGTTCTCGAAGTGAGGAACCTGTAAGGGAGAGTTTGAGAACGCAAACTGTGACCAGCCAGTCTCATCCTTGAGACAATGCCACTCCATACAGAACTTGAACTGACTCGAATACCCCCTACGATTTCTGTCAAGAGAAATATTACATAGTAGCATTCTTGGAGGTATACAGCTGCAATCAGGAAGTTTCTACAGATGAAGCACAGAAAATGATCATGTCTCTGACGTCGAGGCAAATCTTGCGACAACGAGCGCAGTCACTATCGACGAAAGTAGGTTGACCTGTGGGACAGTTAGCATCAAGACAGGGGAGGATAATATTAGATTGCCTGATTGTTTGTCAATAAATTGAGTCCGCTGATAACTTTGACAGTGTCTTTCCGTCCACGTTCAGGTTCCTCCTGGTGGCCAGTGAGAATGATCTTTTTGTCGACCGAATAGCGCGTGCGCTGTAGAGCAGCTCCCAGGAACGAATCCAGCTAGTGTTGTCGCATCAATATAAGGCACAAATGTGATGCAAGTTGAAACCTACCAAGCTCCCGCCAACACCTGCTGCACTGCCCCAAAATACGAGTGACGGAAGAATAGTTATCCAACTGCTCCTGCAGTGTGCATTCTCTACAACGATCGAAATGAACATTGTTACACCCATGGACAAACCGCCAAATAAGCTGGCAAGTGTTCCGCCGACAGAGACACCACCATTTGTACCGGGTGGAACAGTTTTCAGCGTCGTGATAAGGATTGGCGGGCGGGAAGAGAGGATACCGAGTTCTGACGCGAGAGTATCCCCCAGGCAGCAGGCAAAGTGACTGGTAGTGAGGTATTCATAGGCCAATGAAACAAGACGCAAGTGGAAGGGTGGAGCTTACCCAAGCACCACAAATATCAACGCGCGACTCCATCCACTTGATACCGTTGCGTCCAATGGGCACCATTGACCATCTACATATGGCACACTCTCCAACATTGCTGAGCCCGAGCGAATGTAATAGTTGACTAGACTCCACGGCAACATGTCAGGGGAAAAGGCAAGACACCATATTCCACTCGCAAGTAACGCAGTGAACGAGTTGCAGAGAACTTGAGCGCCAGATCGGTAGCCAGCGTCTTGATAGTCATCTTCAAGCTGAGCCTTCCGCTTCTTACCGTCTGACTAGTAGTTACAAGGCATGCCAGTGGGATCGCTCATTGAGTTGACACTTACATTTGGTGGCTCTGGACCCGATCAAGTAGAACACAATGAGAGTGATCCCAATGGTCCGCACAGGCACTGCAAGAATGCTGAAGCCAACCACGAAGGCGGTCACTGCACCGGAGAAAGAAAGCGATCGCGAGCGCAATCCATGCACGCTGAGCAGAACGGCGATAATTAACGGTATCAAGGGAATGGGTGCCATGACGGTCAAGTTTCAACAAGCGAAAACTCGTCCGAGCAGTTCACGAGATCGATGTTCCCATTACATAAAGACCTTACGTTCTGTTTGATTATTATCGATATCTTGTCCGGGTTCCTGGCAGTGATGAAGAATAGATCCAATGTGAATTCTGTGACTCGTTCGCGACTTTTTTGGGTACATAAAAGAGTCCATGATGCATGGATACGCAACATGTTTGGTAAATGCGTACAATTTAGAAGCAAAAGACATAAAAAGGAGATATGAGTGCCAATCTTGATAACTGAACGTATATCATGATATAAAGATGGTAACAGGCTTGAACATGTAACCAGATTTCTGGAAACCAAAATCAGGGTGTTTAGAAAAAATTAGAGCATGCATGCATTCATGAAGGCTTCTGGATCCTAACACCAAGCCAGTAACCAAGCTCGAGTCAGAATTCGATATCACATAACCTAGATTCGGGTTGTGTACTCAGCCAGAGATGTGTCACCTACGCAATTGCAGAGGCAGTGGACACTCCGTTCACCTGGCTGAGCGCAGCGTCCGCCTTTTGAAGATCGTACTCGCTAAGGCTTTTAAATGCCCCACCGCCGGGCGTGCTTGCCCCAGACATCACTGATGACGCGCGCGAGCGGACTTTCATGACAAGAGGGCTGGATATAGGAACACATGAGTAAAACACCAGTTGGTAAGAGAACACCTACAAAGGGTATCCGTCCTCTTCATCTTCCCCTGTACGCGACCAATGGCCCTTGTAATCGCTGGTTTCCAAGCGTTGCATCTATAGCGAAATCGGTACACCCCAACTCGCCTGATGACAAAAGACGCCTACCTCCTCAGTAAGTGTTCCAAGATCGCCTGGTGTTGCGAGTCCCGAAATTCTGAGCTTCGGACTGGCTTGGACAGAAACTGGGAATTCTCCGAAGCCCCACTCTACATCTTCCCCGTTGTCCTCATCGAGGCCAATGAATGCGTCGGGGTACGCCCTCCGAAGCGCAAGCATCCGAGCCTTCTCGTACTCAAGGCCTATATTCTTCCAATCTAGAAGTGGCGAGAGTCGCTCGACGCGGTTTCGCTGGTTGATCCGCTGGCGCCGCGTTTTCTTGACAAAGTCGAACATTGAGTTCGTGAGCGCGGTGACGCTTTCATCGATGGAGGTGGTACGTCGGTCGATGATGTAGATACCCTCGTCAGAGGGATTATGGATCGAATCCTCCATAAAGCACCCGAATCCGGAGAGGTTTGTTGTTACACTAGGGATACCCATCTACTCGAATGAGCTCGAATCGCACGATACAAATGACACCCAACATACCACTGTGCACTCCGCGGGGGTATATCCCCATGGTTCATAGTAACTTGGAAATACACCCAGATGGCAACCTCGTACGAATTCCTCGTAATCGAGACCCAGGATTGGGTTGTTTGAGTTCAAAAATTCGGGATGAAAGATGACCTTGACGCGGTCTCCCGGTGTGTTGAAGAGACGTACGCGACGTAGCTGATTGAGGATGGGGTCATTCGAGTCGTCTGCCATATTGTGTGTAACGATCGGGGGAAGGGTGTGTCGCTTGAGTGCGAAAATGCGACGCTTCAGTAGGACTTGGTCCTCTGCGCTTAGGAGGTCTTCTGGCGCGACCTCTGTGCGACCCTCCCCGTGGAACCGTGCGGCGTGTTCGAACAGTCGTGCACCAACACGGGCCTGTACCTCGGTAACGGTATCGCGCAACTGCTTCATGACCGCCTGGCCCTTGAGGGCCTCGACAGTATAGCTATTGGTAGCAGCAGGCATGATGATGAACGCGACGACTGTCGTCTTGCTCTGACTCTGCTGGAGACGGTGATTGAGACGAGCAAGGGACTCGATGAACATATCGACACCCTTGTTGCGGTACTCATATCGACCAGCTGTAAACATCTGGTGGGCGTGATTAGTTAAAGAGATACAGAAGAGCAATACGACGTACATAAATGGTATTTTCGAGATCGAAATCATAGTGACCATAGAAATGCCCACGAATGAACTCATTGATTTTCTCCTTGGAAGTCGCATGCAGATTCTGGAACTCGTGCATTGCCTGAAACTTGACTACGTTCAAGCCATTTGGAAGGACACCATCCGGTTTTCGCTTCAAAAGATGCTCACTCTCCCATGCTGTAATTCCGCTGACAGTCGTGAAAACATCCGCGCAGTGTGCAGCAGCACGTTCGATGCAGTAGCGGTGATATATCCCACGCTTGCCAGCTTCGTGGTCAACGTCAAAGTAGGAAAGGTTATTGTAAAAGTCGACGCTTCCAGCACAGAGATAGCGACCGAGCAAGGTTGCGTGTGTTGTAAAAACGGTGGTAACATCGATGTGACGTTTTCTGGCGAGGGGGATGGCGAGTCCTGCCTGCCATTCGTGGAAGTGGGCGACTACAGCTGTATGAGCTTTGTGTGCAACATACTGAGCATCGATAAGCAAGGATTGAATCAGTTGGAGTAGACGAACTACGTACCTCACCGAGAAACCACGCTACAAGATAACCAAAAACGATGGTCTCGTTTGTCTCGTGGTCATTGGGGGGAGATGGAATGCCTGCAAGATTCCAAAGATCGGCCTTCCATTCGTCAAGACGATGGTATTGGCTGCCCGTATCAAAGAGTAGGACACGTGGAGCACCCTCTATGAGCCATCGGCCATAAAGACATTTCACGCCCTGTGCTCTCATCGACTGGAGTGTTGCGACTAAAGCAGGATCAGTGGGCTCCTGCGTTTCAACCTCCATAGGTGCTGTCTTGTAAATGAGGGGACCAATGAGGGTGTAACGATCACCGTACGTCTGCATGGTCACGGGGACCTTGGTCTTGATGACTGTGTATATGCCCCCAACTTTGTTGGCAACCTCCCAAGCACACTCGAAAAGGATTGGGTTTTGGACGTCTCGCTTCAAGGTATCGTCATGCATGGCGATGGTGTGCGATTTGGAATCCACGACATTTGCGGGGATGGAGCTGGCCATGTTATTGGATTATGCCAAAGTCGAGGCTACGTCTTATAGGCCTCTGACCTCATACCCACGTGACCCATATCAGTGGAGTCAAAATACAGGTCATAGTGCTAACTGGCCAGGTTTAGATATGATCTTGACAAAAGATTAAGATATTTGACCAAGAGACGTGCCGTGCATCCGTACTAACTAGATCATCTGCTACCATGTCCAGCTCATTCGATCTCCATGTTCAGACAACTATCTCACCTCACAATGGACAGGCATACCATGTAGAAACATATCCTGTCTCTAGTGATCTACTAGACCGCACTCTCGAAACTGCAGCACAGTCTCAGAAAGAGTGGATCAAGAATACACTGAACGAACGTATCGCAAAAGGTCGCAAATTCATTGTCCGTGTGCTCTTGATAAATTGGTACTCGCAGAGATACATCATTACACGTCCTCTAGGAGAAATTTTCTGTTCTTGCAAACCGAGAAGTACCAGCAACATATGATCACGGTCCCCTTGGACATCATAATCTTGCTGAAGAGCTATGTAATCAGATGGGCAGGTGCATACCTTTACGCGTAAAACATCGCCAATGTACTGATTCGGGGCACACATAGGCCTGTTGATCAGTGTTGGGGGGAGTTTAGAGGATTTTTACAGCGCGCAACCTACATGGTCGACATTGCTGAATCGTGTCTCTCAGACACAACCTTTTCAGACAACCAACCTGGCTTTAGTCGCTCAATCAAGCGCGTTCCCCTTGGTGTTATTTTCGTCATCGCTCCATGGAAGTGAGTATATGTAATCTTAAAGATGCTCAAGACTCATCTGTTCTAGCTACCCGTATCTTGTCATGATCAATTCTGTGCTTCCGGCGCTCATTGCCGGAAATGCTGTCATCTTGAAGCCTTCTCCCCAAACGCCTCTCACCGCCGTGCGATTCAAGGAAGCTTTGAATAACGCTGGATTTCCTACTGATCTCATACAAGTCGTGCATCTCTCGCCGCCGCTTACTCGATATGTCGTGCAGCATAAGCTAGTCGATTTTGTCGTGTTCACAGGCAGCGTGGCAGGAGGAAAGGCTATTGAAACGGCAGCCGTTGCTGCTGATGGATTCAAGGGCGTTGGTTTGGAGGTGCCGTATTTAACCATCACAAGTACTAAGCCACTAAGCCAAAGTCCAGCTCGGAGGAAAGGACCCGGCATATGTTCGTGCAGATGCAAACCTGAAAGATGCAGTAGTACAGCTAGTTGATGGTAAGTCAAAAAACGTACAACTGTGCTGCTTTCTCACTGATGTACGTAGGCGCAATGTATAACGCTGGGCAGAGTTGCTGTGCAGTCGAAGTAAGAAACATTACTTTTAACGCCGAAGTATGACTTACCTCATCTGAACAGCGGATCTACGTTCACGAGTCCGTGTATGACAATTTTGTGAATGATTATGTCAACGAAACCAAGGCAAGTCGTGACTCCTGTAGAATATCCTGATGTAGCTTGAACGTAAGTTTAGAAACTCATACTGGGGGATCCTACGAACAAGCAAACCACCATCGGTCCGGTGATTAGCATTGCCAGTGCAGAGAGGATCCGCCAGCAGGTTTCTAGTGCAGGCAAGTGTTCCACAAATCGTACTGCCGCTGGCTGATCATATCATAGTGCAAACGGGCGCAAAAGCACTAATACCCGAAAACCTGTATCCAAAGGCAGAACCGTGAGTCAACGTTTGTATGATAGAAATGGATATTCAGCATCTTCAGAGGCACGGCATTTGTTGCGCCTCAAGTCTTGGTCGATGTGAATCACAGTGAGCTTGTTATATCCGTGTCCTTTGATACTGTTCTGTTCTGAGTTCCGACCAACAGCGATGGACGTCATGAAGGTCAATCCTTTCTCTATCATGCAAAATTGTGTCTGATTTGATGCAGGAAGAGACATTCGGACCCATCATTGGCATCCAGAAGGTGATTTGATCAATGTTGTCTTCAAGGATCGGCAATAAGCTTCAGCAGGTCTCATCTGATGCAGAAGCGATTGAGCTCATGAACGACTCGGAGTACGGTCTTACCGCTTCCATCTGGACCAAGTCATTGGATGACTTCAGCACCCTCGCAGACCAAGTGCAAGCTGGAACAATCTTTCTCAATAGGTGTGAATTCTTTATCCAGATTACTGGTACATCGCACTGATCCCCATGCTTAAAGATGCGATTCGCTCGACCCAGCATTGGCCTGGACAGGGATCAAGAACAGTGGACGTGGCGTCAGTCTGAGCAAATTCGGTGCGTTCCCACCGATACAAAGCCTACGTTGAGGTCACTAATGCAACCACAGGATACGACCAACTGACAAGGGCGAAATCTATCAACATGCGGACAAACACAGCATGATCAAATTGTGAGTATTAACATCGTGGGGTACGTTATTGAGATAGGTCTCCGTACAACGAGAAGTAGAATATGATACAGAAGTCGTGGATATCTCAATTCTTGAATCAACAATGTATTATGGATACCTGTAGACAAGTATTGTCAGTTATGCTCAACGCAACGATCATAGAAGCAAAAAAAATGGTAGATCAGGACCCTCAAGCGTAAATAGAGGGCCAGGGAAATTATCTCCAACGTGCGGACACTCGGTCTGGTGCACAGCAATACAATCATCACAATAGAAAGTCGGCAAAGGGTACAAAATCTCACCTGTGAGCTCAGCCCATCAACCAAGAAGTTTGGGACAAGAAGCAGCCATGATGGTTATCCAACCGACAGCAATTTTTATGCAGCTGCTGATATAAGATATTCGCACGTGCTTGGCAAATTGCGACCAGGTCCATTTGAGGTCCATGGTCCTTTGATCACTCCGAGAGTTCTAATGTTCTATGTACAACCAAGGTGTAGTGGCTCCCAGGTCTAGATTTCATTGAAGGGATCCTTAACTCTGTCGTCCTGATTCGCATTACCATTCAGCACACGGCGACATATAAAATTTAAATGTGGTACACAAGGAACGGGCTTGAACTCGTGATATTAGCCGAGAACTGTCCACCACATCCTCTACTCCCCCAAGGTACCACTCGCACGGCCATGAACGGCAGCCTTGATCAGCTGTCCTCCTACACCCCTGTCATTCCGTCCTGGCCACTGATGGGGCAGGCTCTTAGAATATTAGCTCAGTGGAAAAAAAAAAGACAGTGGTGCTTCAGAGCCGTACGTCACGCAGCTGCGCGATCGCGATATCTGCTCTGCGAGAAACCCGTATGAGTAGTGGTGTTTCCTTTATCAAGCTCCGAGGAGGAGGTCCTCTAGTGTTTCCCGGCACCTTGCGAGCACACCTCATCTCGATGTCTCGGTACACGAGTGAATTTAACTGTGTGGTCCAAAATCAGATGACTTTGGAAATTGGGGCGCGGACATACAGGACCAGGGTGACAGTAGCTCGGTTCCTTGGAGATATGGCAAGCGAGCAGCAGGACCCGGTCATTTGTAGGAATATTGTGTATGGTGTATCGACAGGGGTGAAATCAAAAAAAGCTTATTTACAATACCTGTGGTCGGTACTATGATATATATGCACATCAGATTTGCGTCCAATCATGCCCATACCCAATGCATTTAGTCTCTGCCGTGTCAGTCGAATGATGTAAATGTGCAGCACGTATGATTTAATAGTACAATGTGAATCGTGAATGATGCGGTTGGGATATAGACTGCACAGTGCACATATCAAGACCTAGAATCGGTTGCGCTTTCTTTGTTGCTTTATCATTGCATCGACCGCCATGCCCCTGTTATAGATTTGTGAGTACTCAGTACAAAACACAATAGGTTGGACGGCTTGAGGATACGGAAAGATTGTAGCAGGCAAGAGTGGGGATAAACCGAAAACGAAAAAAATAGAACTCACTTCCGCCCTTTCATTCTCGGTTCTTCGTCTACATCCATTGCATCTGCCAAATCGACACCACCTCGCATGAAATTTCCACTAGCCGTCAACGGTCCTCGCTTTTTTGAGTCCTTGGATACATCTTTGAGAATAGCATTATATGCTCTATCGTGCTCCTCATTATCCATTGCAACTGCTGTGCTGTAAGAAGCGATCTGCGCAAGCTTATTGTCTAACGCGGAAAGGACTGAAGCGGTTGTCGAAGCCCTAGAAAAAGACAATGATTAGTCCAGACAAAAGGAGGTAAAGTGAACAAAACACACCATGCCTTCAGAGCTGCAAGCACTGCCTCTGCCTTTCCAGGCTCGAGGTCTCGTCCCATCGTGTACTCAATCTCGAGTTGCTGCTCCTTCTGGTCGAGCTTCCCGCGGAGGATGTCGAGATATATCGCATCAATTATGAGGTCCTCGAGGTCACGGATCGTGGGCATTTGCAGCTCTTGTAGAAGGAGAGAGTATGGGAGAATCTGTAAGGGTATTGCTGTAGTGTTAGTGACTAAGTATTATGGTAGACCTGGACGTACGCGTCTGGTAGCGGCAAGCGATACGATAGACAGATGCTTGAGCTTTGTTATCTGAGCTTTGTTTAGTTGGGGCAGCGAGTCCTTATTTGCTGTATGACGGTCAGCACGAATCATGATATGAGATGATGATCCACACACCAAGGTAATCCTTGTATGTCCGATACGAGAATACCTGCAGCAAGGAGAAGAAAGGAGCATGGTGCTCGTTGTTTGCCAGCTGTTTCGCGGAATGCAGATAAAGAGCAGTGACCAGATATGCCGCATACGACATACCTCCTGAATATTGGGGAGCTCAAGGAGCTCGGCAAAGACAAACACGCCTTGAGCTGAGGTAGCGTCCTGTATAAGTTTCGCTGCTGCTGCACCCTTGGCCGACTTTGAGATGAGAAGAAATGGCTCGAGCTTTGCAGCAAAGTTCGTTCCTAGCTCCATCTCCAGTGTGCACGTTAAAGCTCAAGCGCTCAAGTGTCTCCTTCATCGATTTACGATTTGGTGTCCTCGTGAGAAAAAAAATGCCAAGTCAGGTTAATCATTGCAATTGGATGCTATCATACAACATGAACATGATGTTTTCTAGATCTGAGCTGCTACTGATAGATACAAATATTGATGTAGAGAAAGCTAGGAGTACTGAATTTCCAGACTCGATTGCTCCAAACTCGATTTATTTCTTGCTATGTCCAATAGGAGGGGCGGACTGAGTGGGCTTCGAATCTTGAATAGGAATGGTTTGGGTCTCCTGCTCCGGAGGCGCTTTCGGGAAGGTGACCTCCAGGACACCCTTCTGCATCTGTGCCTGAACACTGTCAGGCTTGGATTTGACAAGCATACTACATCAGCGACGAGCTCGTTCATCGTTACGTGTGATCGTACCTTAGTTCCCTCAGGGAGCTGCAGGTTTCGAGCAAAGCGTCCGAAAGAACGCTCGTGCACCACAAACCGACCCTCGTCAGTCTGGATTTTCTTCTCGCCTGAGATGGTCAGGCGGTCATTACGAACTTCAACGTTAACGTCCCCCTGATCCATGCCGGGGAGTTCAAACCTCGCCATGACATTGTCTTTTGTTTCAACGAGGTCCATCCTGTGTATTCAAAGATGTTAGAGCATATTATTGTTCCCGTACAGGCAGGTGCCACACACTTAGGGCGGATTGTTGTGGGACGAGACTCGTCAGAGTCGGGTCGGAAGCGCGAGGTGAAAGCTTCGTCAAAAAGACGATCAAATTCAGTGAATGGGTCGTAGAGAAACTGTGTGAGGGCCATATTTAGAAAGGACTTGGTGTGATGGAGTGCGACAACAGCGGTAGTTCGTTGGCTCTAGCCACATCGAAGACCGTATTATATGTCCCCCCTATTGACCTCCGGGCGTTACTCCTGTATCAAGTCAACAGCGCCGTAGTACGCCTAGGTTTGCTATGATGCAATATATACAAATTGTTCGAATACAGGGGCTACGCCCAATATAACGAACTTCCGACCCTAGACTGAAGCTATGATACCCCCAGCTGGTAGACAAGTTCTCAAAACCTTTTAGCGGAAATTTGTCTGAGAACTAAGGTCCAGGTTGGCTTATGATAACCTGCCAAAATCACCTAAGCATTGTACAGGCAAGGGCGACCGCGGGAGACAGAAGAGATTGTGTAGCCGGAGCAGCACAGTCACCGTTTTTGGTTAGCCTGGGGCAGGGGTAATATTTACAGCAGGTCAAGGCTAGCTGAATCGGAGTGCTGTAGCCAGACCGTCTCGGAGGGTGCCGTTGCAATGTGACGGTGGAGAGTCGAGAGCTAGCTAGAAGGTACTTCTCTATAAAAATTGAAGCAAGCCTAGCCCAGGTCCTATAACTGAGGACGTTAACCACGGTCGGTGATTCGTAAATACTCGTCGTCAACATATATGTCCGGCTATTTCCGGAGGCTCGGTGTCAATATTAATCGTGTCCTTACGTCATGTTGTGCTGCAAGCTCTCCATTTTCACTTTCCACGGCTTACATAATGCTCAGTGTTTAGAATACACGAAAATTATGACGCTTTGCCTCACTACAGTGATCGTCAATTTTACCTTTGTCAAGAGCTATCACATGTACAGTGCTCCCGTCGAGACTCAAGGATTCGATGACATACAAGAATATCCGCTGTGCTGCCGCTAATTGTCATCTTTCATCTCCGTCGGCCCCTGCCTTGTTTTCTTATTCACTTGAATCCAGACTGATAAACCGACCTTCTACTCCACTAGCATTGGAAAATAATGGTACGCAATGGATCAAGTTAGTATTGTCGTCCTCATTTGCATTACCCAGATTTGTAGCTCCTATCTCCACCATGTCTGTGTTTCGACAGAAAACAGCTCAAGATGCTCGCTATAAAAGCCTACCGTTTTCTAACCTTTCCTTTGTCAATTCCTCATCTCATTGTCGAATCATCCTACTAGCGACCTACATCTTACACAATGACTTTCCCCTCTGATGGAGTGTATACTATCCGAAACGTTGGCAGAAACCTCATGCTCGATCTGAAGAGCGACAGCACCGCTGAAGGCAATCAGATTCAAGGCTTCACCAACAATGGCACTGTGGCTCAACAGGTATCTATACGCGTTCGCATCCACCTTGCGACCGGTTCTCTCACACATCATGTCTACTAGTGGGTGATCAAGAAACAAAGCGAGCCAGGGTCCGTCAACAAAACTGTCAGCATTCAGTCCAACAACTGCGGCAACAACGGAAATGGATGCTTCGCTACTGCGAAACATGTAAGCTGGATCGGCATTCATTCATTCATTTACTTTGTTGGTTGACGCGTACGCGGACAGGATTCAGACGAACCAGTCGTTTATACCAGGCAGGCGTTTATCGTCGATCTTGTTGCATCCAAGGACAATGCTTTTACGTGAGAATACGACGCAGTACTCAGCAACCTACTTTTGCTTATTCAACCACTCGCATGTACAGTATTAGCTTCACGCTCGGGAACAGTAACCTGGTGCTATCCCTTCCAAGCGCAAGTAACCATGCAGTAAGTGGGTGAATCTTTTTTCAGAGCCATTTGCTCATAACGTCCACAAGGTGAAACTCGAGAATCATGTCAAAGGAACCGGTCACCAGCATTGGGAATTTACCCGGGTTTCCAATCTCCAACCAATCAGCTAGTTGTCGCCACTAGGTACCACCTTGCAGAGGTGTTCAAGGTTGAACGTTGAGCCGTCGAAAGTGTTCCCGCAAATATGTACTACGTCTTCTTGTGTCTACTTCCATCGTGTATGTGTACGTTGATGAATATGCTTGTGCAACTCTCTTCCTAAGTTAAGAGTAGAAGGTGGCCATCGGTGAATCGTTCGTGGAGGGCATGCAGATCTCAAACAAGCAATGCGCAACATATATGTGCACCACCCATTCCATTTACACGTCCTAGTATGACTTCAGACAGTCATTACCACGGTCATTAGTAATAGTAGTCTGCCCGAAGGCAAAGAGAAAGATGATTTCGAATAGAACACCCTGAGTAGATGTCTGGGTCGAATGGATAAGTTGACTGACTTCGTCTGATGTGATGAGGTTTTTACCGTCATCGCGAGCTGTGCATCTAGGCTGCCATCACAGTCCACAAATACGGTGTGGCTATAGCAAGGCAGTTAGTTCAAGGTGGAGAGTTAAATCGATAGATGAAAACAGCTGTGCGAGCACGTCCTGTGAAACTTACTACTTATCTATCACCCAATCATGCACCATTTTCAAACTACTTTGGAGATCTTGCCGAGTTTGGTGTCCGACTAAGTGTAAGATCTACGTATTAGCCAGCAAGTAAAGGATAAGTAGTCGCACAGAAATAATAGAAACCTACATACGCGTGTGCTTCGAATGAGTCGAAACAATAAACCTACTTATCAGTTACTAGCTTGCACGATGAAGAATTCATTTCTATGCGTAGAGGGCCGGGAGTCGCATAGTCAGTCGGCCCCCTGTAGGTTTCTATTAGAAGGACCACACTTGCATGAACCGGAAGGCTATTCTCAGCAAAAAAATCGTGTCAGCACGAGGAACAGGCCAAAAAAACAGGGATTGCATACCCCTAGCAACGAAATTGTGCGCCAGTGCTTTTTAATGCGCAGGCGTCTTTGGGGACATTTTGAAGCCGAAACAAGCAACGAAGTGGTGGTCTCCAAGTCCATCCCCTTCCTGCACTTCAATCTCATCTCGCATGTAGTCCAGCAGGCGTCTCGAGGACATATCCTCGGCTGATGCGTGATGAATTGATTGATGCTCTCTCGGGACGACATCCTTTGGTTCCCAAATTCAACTGCAAAAACAATGCATGGTCATGCATGCAGGATTCAAGATGGAAAAGTTAACAACCGCATATTGGGAAAAGCATTCTTCAAACGCCCAAAGGGCATCTCGATGGTTACCCAACACAGCGCTATGTGTTCCTCGATATCAGGTTGTTACAGGGGTTGGAGAACTCTGCTGCTGGGAAAGCAACGCAGGAGTTAGCAATGGGCGTGACAGAAGAAGGGGCGTAATTGCGAGGAGACAAGATTCAAGAGGAAAAGGCGGTGAACCAATGTTCTTTCCCAAAGACGATTAGCTAACCAATGTCGTCGAGTCCTCGTATTCTGCTTATCGAACTGATATAGTTGGACCAGCAGACCTCACAGTTGGCATAAATTTTGATCGAAGGCGGACGTAGACGATTAAGATCGCGAATAATGGTATGTACACAAGAACAGCGTTAATGAATTATGATCGAGAGATGTTTTGATATTGTAGACTTGAGCTTTCGTACTCTATCAAAAATAGCCGACTGCGGTCGTTCATCATAAACCTTTGCCAGACATCAGCAGACAAGTATAACAGAAGGGTGAAACAACATACATTAGAAGCTCATTGACATAATCCCTCACTAGTCCGACGCTCTCCGCGTCCATCGTAGAACTGGAGACCATCTGTGGTAGACTCACTAAGCCGAGCAACTCATCAGTTGACGCTAAGTACTTCATGTGAATAAGATCGCACCAAGCATCCTAAGCAAGTGCTCTGCTCCGTATATGGCGCTCATATCTTTCTCCTGGCCAACCTGCACCTTGGGACCCGTGACAAACTGCTTGCGAATCTCAGCGTATTGTGGACGTTCAAAGCGGTAGAGAAGGTTTGCGCCGAGCGAGCGATCAAAGTAGACTTGCAACCCTGAAATTATTGTTGGGAGGACGAGTTCAGGCTCGCGAAGGCTAGAAGACAGAATGACGCTTGAGTTAGCAGGATATCGAGTATTCTCAATGGAGGAGCTGACGTTGTGTTTTTCCCGAGCCCTATCACATAATCTTTGAACTGCTGGAGGATCTCAACAACTGTTGGACGTCGTGGTACAGATACCAGCTTTCGGGTTATCAATATCCAACTAAGGCGCCAAAGCAACACGATCCTACCTGACTGTTCTTTGTAATCGCCTCCCAATCATCCACAAGCAGTACTTTCAGCACCTCTGGGACATTGAGTTTCATTTCCGGCTTCTTGCTGCTATCGTCCTTTTATAAAAATATCATCAGTACCACTACAGAGAACACACCACGAGATTTGTCCAAAAACAAACAAACACACCTCCTCTCTCCCTCTCTTCGTTCCTCTACCATCCTTACGCCCAAGCCCGCCACCGCGCGAGGAGCTACTGTCCTTCATCATACCCCCACCATGAGCCTTCCCTTTTGAGGATGACCCCGAGGTAGATGCAGCTGCGCTGGCCTGTGCCATCAGTGCTTTCTGCAGTTGCACATTCGTGTCATTGAACTTGAGCAGCCGTGTGATAGGCACCCATTCATCCCACCTAGCCAGCAGTGAGTAAAAAATAAGTCAAACTCAAACATAAAGGACAACGCACGTCTGCTTCCACCCCTTATAGTGCACGAAGAAATGAGGACCAATTGTGGAGAGCTTAGTATTGGTTTCGTCCCACGTCTCTGCTTTTAGTATCTTAGCCTCGTAGACGAGGGGCCCATGATAGCATAAGATGCGCTCGCCGACTGTGAACGACAAAGACATTCGCTGCGCAGGACTTTCGTATGTTCAGGGTTTGTTGGTTTGAAAGGTCAGGTGTTTATGTAAGATGTTCCTGACCCTATAGGTGCCTATCCTTAGAATTTGCGCATTTTTCGACACAAGTAATCAAAGTAGCGAATGGTAGGGTAATCCAACAGTATGGCATCGCATGAACGACAGCAAGCATAAACGACAGCAAGCAGCAAAGAGACACCCATAGAAACCAAATAACGTAAGAAATGAAGAGGACTTCAAGAACAAAACCCCATCTCTGAATCACCCATGCAACTCCACGCTGTAAAAGCATTGCAGCCTCGAGCTGTGCTTCCGACTTGAAGCAGAGAAGAACGTGCGCAACATCAGCATGAAAGATTCTATGAGGAAACTGTTCAGCACAGGACATCCTGATAACGGCTAGGTCATATCGAAATCAACCTAAGCTCGCTGAACAGTCGCTGTCGGCCACTTAGAAAAACCTGGCCAGTATTTGGCCGGCGTCATAATAAGTGCCTCACAAACGAGGACAACGTAACAGCGGCTGCATGTGATCGAAGGGTTTCGTCATGCTAATTCTTGAGCCGGCACGTGTTCTGCTCGAAGGTCTGATCAACAGACAAATGAACATGTTGATTGACCACTCGGGTTTCATAAAGCGAGAATGTACTCACGGCTAGGATAGAACCTCCCCTTCCTTGTTTCCCGTCATCGTCGCGCATTACACGCTTCACAGAATCTCTTCGTCGTCCGCCTCGAGGGTAGGGTCCAATCGTAAACCTCATTATATTCTATTTTCATTGTTTTTGCCAGCCCCTTGAACAAATCTTGGAGTCCCACGTAGTCTGGGAGGTCTTCAAACTCGAGACCTCTTGCATAGTTGAAAAAAATTTCGAACTCCACAGGAAGACCCACAGTGAGAACCGATGCAGCCTCGAGCTTTTTGTCTCGTATAGCATCCCACGTCTCAGCAACTGTAGCGCCTTTAATTTTCCGCCACGGTAAGGTGCCCCGGAGAAAGTAAACCAGCATGTAAGCAAGAGATTCTAAATCATCACGCCGAGAGCACTCTTTACCAAACCATTAGGTTAATTATGGCCACTTGGACAGCCGACTACTATAACTCACCGATGCCGAGATGCGCGTTGATAGATGCAAAGAGGGATGTACCCACGCCATGATGGTTGTCCTGTCGATATGGAATATGGGCGCTTGTCTTTGGGTCTCGAAATTTTTTGGCAAGCCCAAAATCGATCACATTGACCAAATGTTCTGCACGGTCTGTCCCCATTACGAAGTTGGCAGGTTTGACATCACGGTGGACAAAATCGCGCGAGTGGATAAACTCTAGGCGCGATAGCTGGGTTGTTGGGAAGGCGTCAGCAATGCTGAGGGAAGAAGGCAGAAAAAGGAAAGTCCAACACAGCTTGGAGTCATAGAAGATGCTCTGGGCCACAACGTGTAGATGCAGGACGCGCAACGGTGGATAGGACGTACACCTTGCCTGAGGAAATATCGCACGTAAGAAGACTCACTAATTGATCCGCAAGCTGCAGTACGGTTTTCATCGTGAAGTGACGACTGCACATCTTGAAGAGGTCTTCGAGGGATGGACCCAACAAATCGATCACCATGACATTGTAATCGCCGTGCTTTCCTGACCACATGATCCATGGCACCCCAGGACCGCCCATGAGGGTCTTGTAGACCTTGGACTCCTGCTTGAGGGGACTGTTGCGTGCTATGGCTGGTTCTAATTTAATTGCAACTTCTTTCCCTGCGACTGTATGAACTCCAAGGAACACTGTGCCTATTTGAACATGATATGGAATCAGGGGGACCATCGGTAGATGAGCAAATGGAGCGAGAGTTACCGCATCCTCCAATGGCGATTTCCTCTTCAAGTCTGTACTTTCCACCTAACGTGAAATCCATGATAACTTCCTGCAAGATAGATACTAGGCTCAACGACGTGTAGAACGATGAGTAAGATAGATGGCACCTCAAGATGATAGCTGTCCTCAAGTTACCCTATAAATACGAATGTGGGCTGAGAGACCCGGAAGTGGCGTATTCAATTCAAAGGTTCAACGTTCAGTTTGTGGATGCTTATGTCAGTCGGCATTTCGGCAATGACCTCCACAGTCCTTCCTGAATTGGAAATCACGAGACCGCGTCGCGACGCGTCACGCTCTGTGTTCCAATACTCTCCTCTTCAGACTAAAATCTGCAGAGTACCTACGTGAGGGCACTACTCTGAGACATCATATGATCCTGCATGAATACGCGGCAGTCACTTAATCACCGCCTTCTATGTGAGAATGCACTACTAGTACGTGCGCCTTCTTTTGCTGATGCGTGGTATTATAGTGACGCCATTTTAATCGTCAGAAGAAAGAAGGCCGGCTAAATAATTAAGAGCCTGACTCCACACTCCCGCTCCTGCAGATTATAGTAAGGCTGTACTACAGCCTTAACTTTCCCCACTACCGTGACAGCGCTCTCCGTTCGATACCCTGCTTTTTCCTCGATCGGCCAGTGAACTCCAGCATGACGTACATCGGAGTAGTGGGACTCCATTGTTCCAAAATCTCTCGAGTCATTTACAACACGTTTTCCTTCCTGGTTGACTCCATAGCCTTCCCTTGCATTTCCCTACTAGATTTCCACTCCTCCCAGTGCGCATCGGTGCAGGCCACGAGTCTGGGCTATCTATAAATGCATTCTGGTGGGAGAACATTATCCTATGACCACATTTTCAACTTGCAATTTTTAGTCTCGACCTCACTAACACCCCACTTACTCAGTCCCGTCGCTTTCAAAGTCTGCCTAGCCTACCATCATGCTAGTCACCCTCTAATTGTTGTGTTTAGAGCGCCTCTGTCATTTGGTTTGAAATATTTCATTCCTTCTGCGTGCTTGAAATTGTCTTAATGGTAGTTGCCCTCCCATGCACATTTATTCTTATGACAATTCGCAATACAACACATTTCAAAGATCATGGAACATGCCCTTCTTCGATGCCCTCAAATTTCCCAGGGTGCCACCACGACTTGGAGCACTACCGCACGCACTTTCTCATCTCGAAACCTAAACCAAGTCCCAAACGTTCATGTCATTTTAAAGACTTCTTGACTGCATCCACGCAATCGCTTTCCAAGTCCTGCTACGTCCTGGAGGCAATCTCTACCACCAGCCAGCTACATAAGAAATCGACCCCGAATCTCTCGAACTCGCCATCATGTCCACAACCTGAGATCAAGCAGCAGATGCTCGACTCCTGCACTACCGCTAGTGCTGGTGCCTGCATATCCGTTCCTGGGTCCGTCGCTGTCACCGTTTTGAACCAACAAGCCGTTTTATGTTTAGTGTGTAATTCCTAGACGTGAGTACCCTGGATTCCTTTCAATTCCCCCGACTCTACAGAGGCGGCTAGTGAACTCTAGCATGACTAGCTTGAACAACAGCAATAAGGGTACAGGTCATATTACTTACGTTCAAATCTGAAATATGCTTATTGTTGGTAGGCCGGTACAAGGTTGCAAAGAATCAATGATCGTCCGTTTGGCGGAAGCGAGTATTAATCTCGCGGTGATGCGTGAACTTAGGGCCGTTCTCTCGACATACGATACCGCTTCCCTGCAAGCGTACTCAACATATTCTGCATGCGTATCCTTTAATACAGGACGGACTAGGGGCAGTACGATGATTTGGCACCGTGATCATCGAGAGGGAGAAAAGGCAATATATCGTGAAATGGAGGGATAGGGGTTTATGGGAGTCAGGCTTTATAGATGATGCATTGATGACCCAACTCGTTACAAGTTTAATGATAACAATTCGAGATCGGGCAAGAATATCCACCCAGGTAGTCATAAAAAACCTGCAAGTGGGCCCGGGGGAGCTGCGAGCCTACGAACAATAAAACATTTGCTGGCACAGCATGTATGATTAGTAACACAACCAGTATACTGATCGTACGTGAGCATGTGTTCCAGAAAGCGATATTATCAGTGAGAAGCTATCTGTTAGCATACACGGGTACGACACTCAGTTGCAATGCTGAGATCTGAGACGCTAGAAGGCATAACATCATTATATCAAATCGATAATGGGCGGTACCTCTGGCAGACGGTTACCTCAGGAAAATGCCGGGGCACGTACCCTTTGAATAGCGTGGTCCAAGTCATCCCGTTTAACTTATGATTGCGAACAGAATTACATGAACGGTTTCGCACGAGATAAGTATAGAGAGTCATGCAAGGTGTATTAGCTACTTCTCGAATTGCTCCCTCACGAATTGCTTGATAAGAGTTGTGATTTCCCGTTTCACGGAGAGAGGCACACTTGCTAGGGGATGATGGAAGTGGTCAGTGACACTGGTAGATGATCGAGTGGAAATTAGTACTTTGCGCATGCGATAACAATTCCTGCAGGATCATCTGAAGGGAAAGCGGGTCCATACTTCGACTGTTTTCTATTGGATGTGGGGATTAGGCATCAAGTAACAGCAGGATAGGCATACATACCTTTGGCACGGTGCAGAAGGTCATCTGCCCATCCGCTTTCAGAGAGCTTAGAGGACAGGAGATGCAATATTCTAGGTTGTGATTTTTTTTTCAGTAGTTATGAGAGATATCGGATAAACACCCACCGATCCCACTCTCCATTCTCGATCATTCGACGGTGAACTTCTACATGAAGGACTTCAACTTCGGAGGTCAATTTGGACATGACAGTTCCTCAAAGCCTGATGTGTCAATAGAGTACGGTATCCACCATGAGCACCAAACCCAAATAAGGGTTTTAACGGTCACTAGAGAATTGCGGAACCCGCTTGAAGATTGTAGATTACTGCAGGATGCAAAGTCCTTGGCTACGATTGGAGGATACAAACGCACCAACAAAACAAAGTTAAGAGTCACGTGTGCAAACGCGTGAAGTGTCGTGTCGTGTTCGTGTTCTCGTCTTACAAATTTTTTCAAATCCACTTCTTGCCCACTTCTCGACATGGAAGTAATTGCCCATTGTTTCTCACTATGTAAGATATCAATACAATGAAAATCTATCATATCCTTCTGGGCCGCAAAATAGCATTCCCCAGACTTCACTTGATACACTATCTGATCACAAGACCACCATATAAAATTGAAAATACTGTCCCTGTCATCTTCTCCATCACTAAAAACCTCGCGCATCAGGTTCACAGTGATCTTCATGGGCCCAGGATCCCGGATGATTTCTGAAGATTCGTTGGCCTCATCTGTAATTGCAGCCTCGCTGTGATGAATAAAACCTGCCTCGCACACATCTCGACATGGGAGGTGATGATTGCCGGATGGAATATCTTGAGGTGGATTCACGACGTCAACCACAGGGCGAAGTCACCGACTGTCCGAGACCAATCATCTTCGATGCCATCAAGGACGCGCTTCGTAGAACTGTTTGAAGATTCTGGAATCATGAATGCAAGGTTCGCCTTGCCTGCCGTCTTGCAGTCCGCTATATCGATATGGAAATCCATCCGGCCCTCAACACCTGGTGACTATTGTAACTGTCGCTCATCAAACTTCCGTTTGGATGAATGTCGACGCCTTACGTACAGTGGCATTTCCCAGGTCGCTTTATTCGCCTTGCGGATGCCAATAAAAGCTCATTTGCGCTTTGGACTGGATTATCCACGCTCATATTCGTTGTATGCTTCGCTGTGCAAATGCTGGCGAGCATGATGCGCATAGAGAGATTCGAACTCTAGCACTATTGATTGCCGAGAAAGGCTTGGCGAAGCAAACCTACACCAGAAGGCGATGCGGCACTGAATGTGTCTCATTCTGTCCTTGAGTGTCTGAAAATGTGCGTTGTGTGGGCGTGGCCTCAAAGAACGCTTTGATCTCGGTCTTGGAAGATAGCAAGACTGATTGGAGATGACAGCTGAGAATCCATGACATCTCCAGCACATGCACTGAAAGGAATTTAGCCTTTGACTCGGACGACCAGCTTAGTTTGGTATAATGATAATTGGTGAGGCAAGGCTCGGAGCCGCCGAAAGTACGATTTGCGGTACATCGCAAACAGGACGCTGCTCCCTGAGTGACATCAATGAAACCAGGGAGGGAAACGGACTGGAGGTTGGTAGGTGTCAAATTGTCCGCCCATACCATGACTGAAGTCAACTTCTTGCTTAGTTTGAGCTCTTGCCACTTTGCGTCGTAGAGCTGGAAAAAAGCAACGATATCCGCTTGAGCTTTATTGCGACGTAGTTCTTCTTGGCGCTGCCTCTCTTGTCGTTGAGCTTCTTCACGAAGGTTTTGTAACACGGTCAGACCGCCGCCGCGCATAACCGTTACACCAAAAGGTGAAATACTGAAAGCTTATGTTTCAGTATCAGCGACGGTATATGTACTGATTATGAGAACTCAGGTAAGCCAGCGTGCTTACAGGTTTACACTTAGCCAGCTACTCAAGGCTGTATACAAAAGCCACGCGGATCTGTAGCAAGCAGATTCTCTACGTAGTATTGGTAATGATGCAATGATAAGTATGTTAATCTTACGTCGAGTGCTTGGAACGCAACCGTCTTAGGTATAGAGGCCAATATCAAGACTTGCAACTATAAGTAAGAGAAATTCAACGCTGGCCATAGCAAACAAAAGATTCAGTAGGGACAAATAGCAAACATCCCATAAAAGCAGACAATTTCAAGAGTCGGGGAACAAAGAAACAATAGGCGCACCGTGGCACATTGACATTGTCCTGTCGAAACGCATCGCTGGACGCCATATAGGCTTTCCAAATTCTCACAGCTAAATGAGATTGTACCAGTGCGTAGGATAGAAAAGATGGTTGATAGTAGAATGGTCGATTAGCGAAATATTAATGGTGGTCAGTTTCGGGGTTCCCCTACGCAGGCATAAATCCATGGCTCAAGCGAAAGACAAACGACTGGAGAGATGTATCGATGAAACTGTTACAGAAGAGTATCTGGTGAGGGTATGTGTCGAAGACCAAGACCATAGAACGATAGAATGAATATCAATTATTCACGGCTCCGCCAAGACAAAAGATGATGTCACACATCGGTGACATCGCGCAGTGGTAATGACCAAAAAATGCATGCAAATTAGCTTGTCAGCAACAATACTGTAACCACTACAAGCCATAACAAAATACAGCACGTGTGTACGATGATGTCCACATAGCAATCGCGATATACATACAGTTGAAAGTCCAGCGTGGTCCATATTCCAGAACAAGAAGAGAATGGTGATAATGTTAGAGTCCGAGTTCTTCCAAGCAGCGGAACACATCGTCTTGTTCATAGAAGTCGTCGTCCCCTGGAACCTGGGATCCTTGGTGGCAGGTCGCAGCATGTTTCCACCTAGAAGCAGAAGTGAGTCCATCGTTCACCATGCCGCGCATGTGCCCTACCAAAACAGTTCCTTAACCTAATGGCGATCATCGGAAATGTCACAAGAGATCGTACTGATTTCATACCTTCACCTCGCAATCTTTGATACTTTCGACTGGGACCCACTTCTTGCATTTATGACACCTTCCTTCAAGAATCTCCGATCGCTCCAGTTTGAGCGCGTGGCGGCGATTACGTGTCCTGTACGATAGTGGAGGTGAGAACGGACGTCCGGTTGTCGCTGACACTCCTTGAAATGCGAGAAAAATCAGTGGGTGAGTAGTCATTCAAATGTCCCTTACCGTGCGCAAACTGCATATGATAGCTGAAAAATACGTCAAATGAAATCATCAAAGATTGAAATTCTCTGCACAAAAATATTAGCATAAACGTGTATACTGTGAGGGAAAAGTAAGTGACCACTTAAACGCAGAGAATTTTGTTGATAACCATAATTTTTGTCCCCGTCCACCGCGCAAAGGGCTTTCGATACAGATCGGACACAGTCCTATCTTGGACCTACCTTTACCTTTGACAAAGCGGGGAGTATACAGATCTCGTGGATCTCGTGGAGGGTTACAGATACCGCCAGGGTGTTTCAAACGATTGAAAAGCGAAGCTCTGCGCATGGTGAGCGCCAGGTAGCAAGCAAGAAATAACTTACTCTTCGGCATCAAGTTGCAGAAACGAGCTTATAGGATAACGCCGATAGAATAAAGGAAAATCGGGGTGACGAGAAACCTCCGAGGGAAGGCGACGCTGTGACGGTATGCCGAGATGATCGAGCTCCCGAGTCTGAGAGGTAAGGTCTACAGCAGCGGGGCTGCCAGAGGTACGTGCGCGTTTTGTCTGGTATGAAGGCTGTTTCTCATCATGATCGTCCGGACGAGGGTGCTTGGGACTCCGCATGAGAACCGCACGACTAGTAGTACGAAGCGAGCGTCGAGAAGTAGAATATAGCCCGTGGTTTCCTTTTGAATGTGGCACAGCAGTCGAGTCCTGTCCAAAAATGGGCAAGCACAGTGAAGAAGCGTAAGACAAACCACCAGAAACATTATTGCTAAGGGGGCGCTCGGGAGACGAGAGGGGGGTGAGCGCAGAGAGAGAAGACACTGGAGACCAAGACCGTTCGCTAACATGCATGACTGGACTCGAAGTGAAACCTAGAGAAAAGGTAGGATGGCCGAAGGAATGTAACGAAGGAAGTTTCTCCATCAGCGACCACGGAGTTGGAACACCAGATCCTCCAGAAGACTGATTAGATGGCTGTCCGCTTTCATGTGAAGACGCAGTGGTATTGTCCTCGGACATCCTTCTAGCTATGGGAGACATATCTGGATCGGAGCTGTGCCACGATTGCGATAAGTTAAAATGTCGATCAAATGGCGTTCCTTCAGCATTAAGAGTTGACGGCGACAGGCCGCAGCCAGCTAGAGAAGGAACATTCGGAAGGGGACTCGGCGAAGAGGACAACTGTTGTTCTATCCAGGATTCAGTGTAAGGTGCAGAATACACACGAGACAGTTGCTGAAAGGCTGGCGAAGAAGCTGACATGCCATACCGGCGTAAAGGAGTAGATGGCATTGACATGGATCGAAAGAAATTTTCCACTTGAGGAAATTGAAAAATATCTTGTCCTGAACTAGGAGGGATAGAATCCAAGGTGGAGTGTCGCATCGCGGTGGATACGGGGGGAGCATCGGAGCATAAGGTCATAGCGTATGTGCATTTGTCGCACTGGAATTGGAGTCGTGCTGGACTTGTAGGAGGATTATAAGAGGGCAACTCGAGGTAATCGGAGGAATGAGATCCATGGACTTCGCATAACATTTCTGAAATAAGATTCAAGTCAAATCCAAGTAAGTATGGATATTTATCAGTGAATTCATTTTGACAAAACCACTGAATAGGTCAAATTAACGCATTATAATGGTACGCACCGGGCGGCCAGGTTACAACAACACTTGATCTCTATAGTTGGGAAAGACAAAGCAATATATGAATCTTAGTGCACGAAGTTAAAACCAAGTCAAAGCACCCTCAGTGAGCAATTTAGGCTCTAATACCTACAACGACTCGGAGTTCGCGGAGTCCATAATTCAATGCCGGCATACCGGCAAGGTCGCCACCCTAAGCACGCAAGCAATGGTAACTGATACTTACATGCTTTCCAACAATGATTCTCTTACTTCTTCTGTGTAACTGTTTTCTCTTCCTATCACTTCTTCCTTCAGCAAGAAGCTCGGCGTTGACTACTGCCATTGCAGCAAATGAGCGTTTATGTTTCTATGTTGATGCAGACAAAGCAGGGGAAAAAATTGGGGTGAGCACGAATGGTCATGTTTGTCGAGCTAGACTGACGTCCCGCTTGAAGTTTTACTTTGCAGTATGTCATGGGGCATTGTCCCAGCTCATATACTTATTGTCCCACGAACTAGGTTCAATCTGGAGGATCGTTCGACATAGACTTCGACGTTAAGGATCCCAATGAGAAGGTCATACTTGACGGTAAAAGCGAAAGGCAAGGCGACTACGTTTTGACTGCCAACACCGTTGGAGAGTACTCGTTCTGCTTCGAGAATGACATGTCAACTCTCACGGTGAAGCTGGTTGACTTCGACATCATGGTGGAGAGCGAGCCTCGCAGGGAAGCACCTGCCAAGCCAGGACAGGTGGCGGATCACACCAGTGCACTGGAGGAGAGCACATTCCGGTTGAACTCACTGCTTTTGAACATCAAACGTACTCAAAAATAGTACGTTTTAACTATTGTCTCGAGTTATCATCATGCATACTGACCTCTTTCTTCAAGTTTCCATACACGAGAGAACAGAGGGTTCTCCTTGGTCAGGTCGACACAAAAGTTTGTGGATATTCTCACGTATATGACTAGGTGAACTCACAAGCAATGTAGTCGCCTGTTCTGGTATATGGTTCTGGAGAGTCTGGGCATTGTGGGCATGGCTGTGTAAGTACAACCCAGGCGTAATTAGACCACAGCTGACTGTTGTTTAGCCTTCAGGTGTACATCCTTCAAACCTTCTTTACGAAAACAGGTCGTCGGTACAAAGTATAGTTTCGTGTGCCGGCATCTGCGTTTATATACCTCTATCATTTTCCGCCGCAATTCCACATTGGCCCTCAAGCAGCATCACATTTTGGTCACCCGACCTGGTAAATATGGTTGCTATGACCAGTGCGCAGTGTTAACATCTAATCAAATCCCACTGAGCTCTCTGATCCAAAGGGTGTAAGTAATTACGTTCTTATGATCTGTATTGCATCGATGGATGCACGCAGTAATGTATGCGCATCAGCTTTAGAGCTGGGTGCTAGGACATGGTCGCGTCCTTACCCGTACGCGTGGATCCCGAGATCATTATAAGCCGCAACCTGCCACCTACGCCTCTCATGTTTAGGGCAAGCGGAGTCCGCTCGAGGGACTTAGTCACGTTTTATGACAATCAGAGTCACAGAATGCGAAGCTCTGAGTAAGTCATTTAAAGCCTGCTGAAAGCTTGTTGGCTTGCTCACTTGTTTCGCAAGTCATCAATCAACATTAGCGTGAAATTCCAATCAAAATTGCTTGAACTCACGTGACCGAGTCTCTAACAGAAAGAATCTCCTTGGTTTTGGATTTGAACGGAAGACCCTTAGACTACTTAGGAAACTAGCGGACAAGCTAGCTGCAGCCTGCCAGCCAGAGTATACACCATCGCATTAACTTCTAGTGTCCCAACGTCTCCTTAGCTTTCCTTCATCTATCTCATCTGTACCGATCATCATGGCTTCCGTTCTCACAGACGTCGCACAGGCTGCGCACTCTGCCACTGCCCTGATCGAGGCAGTAAGCCAATCCCCCAGAAGCCCATCAAAGAAGAAGATCCTGAACATTTCATTCCGCTCGATCTCTCTGGAAAGAATATCATTATACGTGACCCCACATTAATTTTGTGCCAGGCGCTCATGTTATTGCACTAACAACTTGATGTCCCTGGGGCGTTCACGCTGCCGTGCAGCTCCCAGGTCCTGCAGTACATCAGACTACAACGAGTTCGAAGCCAAGGGCGTCAGAGGGACCCATGTTGTTGCTGTGAATGACGTCTTTGTAGGGCATGTCCTAGCGCATATACTCAGCCGTCCTATTCGCAGGGCTTGGAAAGAAAAACTTGCTCCACAAGGTACAGGTAGGAGTTTGATGCATCTCCATCACATGATCATTTTTCATCGCATTATGATGTGGCTCAGTCGTCCGCTTCATTGTGGATGATAAAGGGGAGTTTACCTCTAGCGTGGGACTCCTCTTGGATACTTCTGGCCTTTTAAGCACCTGAATCCAAGGTTAATTTTCTTTAGCGCTACGTCATTGTGACTCAAGACGGAAAGGTCAACTTCATCACAGTGGAAGAGCAGTCTGCGAATATCACTTCCACCGCTGAGAACGTTGTGATCACTCAACTCTAAGCTGTACCATGGAGATGCAGCGAAGTACTTTGAATCACTACATGTTTGATATCTCGCAATCACGGTGACTCATTCACCACTTGATAGGTCGGAGACAAGCAAGTCCCATCCAAACGGTGTCCCAGAAAAATTACTAGCAGATCTGATACTCTCATGCCAACCAATACGTGTACACGGTGGATACGAATGACTCGGAGAATCCATTCGTACCCTTGCGACACCTTGTTCTAAATATTCAATCATGTTACTAGTACTGGTAGCCACTCAACTCTCCACAGACGATGCTTCTGAACCATGTAGTCCTCAACTGCGCCGGTCAGTGCCATGGTAGCTAGTGTTACCGTGACTCGCGGGACGATTCTGTGTATAGCTTAAAGTTCAAAATGAAATGTGATATATTTAATCATCTACGCGCTATTTATAGATCAGGCTTGTCGCGAGGCTTGACTGAATTTGAACCGCAAAGGCAGTCATGGGACGCAATTGCAACCATATTGTATGAACAGCGGGATATTATAACATCAGTGCTTCAGGTTGGCACTTATAAATGATGCGCATGTCATGTCTGTGGAGGTACCAGGAACGACATCACGCACGTCGTACTACTAGGTATGAGCGCTCAGCTCACTCTCCGCCCTGCTCGCTCGCCTCTCGAGATATCACGAGACCTATAGAAGTATGAGTCAGTCACGTGGTTGTACTATGTGCTGCCTGCAGCAGTGGATCGCAACATAAGGAATGACTATCTTTCCTCGTATATGAAGGGCTGTCTAGGGGAGAGTATCTGCGGTGCATTTGGTCCATATGCTCGAGTTTGTCACGGTGTACCGCCCACCGGGCTGTGCAAGGTGCATGACGCTCAGTACTTGCGAGTTAGCACTGCTCTATTCGAATCGAACCGAGTGTTCCGAAAGTTCTAAGAATTGCTCGCATCCTACCAGGAACTGCCAACGGTCTAGACAAGTCGTGAGCCCATTTGACCCGAAGTTATACTGCCTTAATGATCTACTTACGCAGTCTACGCCAATGAGAATCGCTCGATTATTGCCTACAATCACCTCAGCCGATCAGAGGGGCGGTGAATTTTGCGCAAGGTCACTTGTCAAGACACCTGTGCTAGGCGCTACAACGGCATTGCTCCAAGGCTCCAGCCACAATTGGTCGGTGCATGGCATCAGTTTTTTCGGAACGTCTCGGTGATCAGGTATTTATCGCGTGGCAATTACCGAGATACTTATGAAACTTCTCGGTAAAATGTTCCTGTTTCCTTTCCTTACCAAAGTTCTAATTAGAAGACGCGGGCGTCTCTTGATTAGTACCCTTGAGCGGAGCTGGAGTCCTCTCAGGCTGGTCCCTGGAGCTTGTTATCTCCTAAAAGTCATGGTCTTGCTGCTTCCTCAAGGCCTAGCTATATGTGTTTTCTTTTATGCACTTCTAGGCCTTGCGGAGGATAGCCGAAGTTTCTCCTGGGATCTAACCAATCACGTAAGTCGTGGTTGTTCTTCCTAGTATGTCAGTTTTTTATCACTTCGGTCAGGAATTTGAGCGAGTACGCAGTCTGACCGTCTGCGATGGCCTACACATCTCGCTTTCTTCATTTTCTGGAAACAATTACAATATTGGACGTTCTCCATACACCCTTCTTGCCTTTGAAGCTGGTGGAGCACTGAGTGCTACTCAAATTCACGAAGATGGTCTGTGGCAGGTGAAACACCCACCAGGTTCGTGCAACTGGTCCTATGTTGGAATAAATAACAGAGCAGTGTTTCACAGGATCTCAGCTGCTTCTCGCTCTCGTTGACTCTTTTGGAAATTCAGGTGGGGTAATCCCCACAATCTTCACGGTTGCATGTAGGCCCTTTCTCCTGCAAGTCCACAGAAACACGCTGAGATATTTTTGCAGCAGGATCCCCAGACTGTCTTCCCGTACTTCCCATAATTGCAGTTACTCCGACGATTACAACAAATGTCACCCGTGTCGAGCCTTGCGACTCCTGGCAAATGTCCATCTCAGGCGGAGTCCCACCATACACCATCATGCTCGCATCTCCCGGAGCCCCATCCCTGCAGAATATTGCTGCGCCACGAGAGTCTAGCCTGATTTCATTTATAAATAGTGACATCGCACTAAGAGGACCTACTATAGGTGCGTCGCAGTCCTCGGCAATCTGAGATTGTTGACTGAGGGTAAGCCTGTGTTTTTTGTTCCTATTAAAGCTGCCGTGCGTGATTCGTGAGTGGCCTTCTCCACCTTCATTGGATGCTGCAAGAAAACCTATATTAATCTTGGCTCTTTCCGTAGGTCTGGTGTATTTGGACGTACGACCGAATTTGTAGAAGTCATTGATGCTAGGGGAGTATCCTGTGAGGCTGTGAATCGGGGGAGACAGGCCACTCTTTCCGCACGCTCGAATGGCGGTGTGACGATAAACCATCAAGACACGGCCATCATTGCTGTGTGCGCATCACTTGGTGGGACTGTGATCCTCGCTGTTCTGTGCTATGCTGTGGTAAAGTTCCGAAGCAGGCAGCGAGGGTTGATTGCAGGTCAAGATGCGCGACCTCGGCCATTTGAGACCGCTGACCCTGCACCAAGCACTAACATATCTGTGCCGCGGGTGAATGTTTCGGTCCCTTTGTCCGTCATTGACATCTCTTGGCGGAATAATTGGATGGCGTCTCCAACGGAAGCATCCTCCACACACTCGCCCCTCAGTCCAAAGCCCTCCCCTTCACGCACCCATATACGCCCGTTGCCGGTCCCAGCTGCTTCCCGTCAGCCATCTAATACATCTTTGCGTTCTCCTGAAGATCCCCCTCCACGACCACCACGCAACCCATCTAGCTCGCACGTTGCCCAATCTCCACAAGCTGGGCCCTCGCGAATTTCCCGCCAGCAGCAGTCAATCTCGTCCATGCGCTCCGCTAATAACAGCCACCCTCCCACGAATTCACCGCTGTCCCCGCAGCGCTCCGCACTCACACAAGAAGCCAAACGATCGACTCCCCGCTCTCACACCGAGAGGCACAAACGCACACTCCATCTTTCACGCTCGACAGGGGACATTCCGACTAGTGACAATATAGCACCACCTTCCCATCGACAGAACACAACCGTACCCCGCTCGACATCAGATACCCGCCATACGAACAACCTGCGGCATTACTACTCTGCATCAAATGTCACGCGTACAGATCGTGGGGTGGTTGATCCAGTCTACCAGCACCGTGATAAAGGGGATCCACCGCCGCCATACTATAAGCACTGACCGGGACCACTTGACATGTAGCTTACGTATGAGCATGACAATAGAAACACTTTGATTTCATCATTGGTGATGGGCGTCGTAAGTCCACACGTAAGTAGAGTGTTCCGTGCAGGTAACGTGATAATAAAACTTTTGTTTTAAATTTTCATTTTCGCTTTCCGTTGGTAGTTACCTAACACTTTCGGTGTCTCTTCATTCCATGTAATATGTTCTACGATTACTAATATGCAAAAAGTTCATCACAATTCAACGTCGTGCTCAACTAGTGTTGAGAAAATTCAGGCATATGCAGAGTACCTAAAAACATGTTTCGTATCAATAGAATGAAATAGCGCCAATTTGCAACCTTTGTGCAACATAAATCACCCAGACCCCATAGATCCTGCAAAGGTACTTATAGAAATCTACCTGGAGCACGATGAACACCTTATAGGGATGTCAGAAAACCACTGCGATAATGGATACTCTGGTGTTACAGTGGTAGAATCGATCACAAGCACAAAACCGTGACACCAGACAGGGCAGCACAACCAACTCCTTTTTGGCACACACGGCACCGAATCTAGAACCCTCACCCTACATGGCAGTATGAATGATTATAACAACGGGAACGATTGCGGTTTTTTCTGCGGACCGGAATTTCTAATTATATCATTCACCTGCTGTAAAGTGGTTGCTGATGGGAACTTGAATGATTTCCGGTGTGGAAACTGAGTGAGCCTGCCCTTCCTTGCTGTCTTTGAGTCCGAGCGTTGATGTTGCTCGCTTGGCAGGTTGTGCGCAAGAGCGCATGCACAAGGAGCGCTGTGACGCAACTTGAGTGTCAATGTGCATATGGAATGCATTGAAATTCTGTAGCCATGATGATGATCATTATGTCAATTCATGCGCTCGACTCGTGCTTGGCGACTCGGGAGCAACCGCCTCACAACTGGATATCAAAATGTCCTGGAAGCGTACCCACTGACCTGCGAAGAAACTAAGTTAGGCTGCCCTACTCGAGTCGCATTCTTGGTGTACATTGTGAATGCATAATTCTGACTCTTGTAAAGCGAGTCTCGTGCATGGTCCATGGGTCCAGCGTAAAAATTTACAGCCTTCTTCGATTGTTATAACGTTAATAACTTAAACTGCTTTGTTCGCCGACGGTCTAACGCTCGTTCACTTGAAAAGGCATGCAATCGTTCATGTTGCACCTGCTGTTGTTGATTTCCTTTCACTCTCGGAACTGAGGTCACGCTGCGGCTAATGGCTCATGAATCATACAGTCTCCGTCCTATCTATTGGGTATGGGAAGTCTATGGTGAGAGTACAGTAAGAAGCAGACCCGAATACGAGCGGGCACATATCTAAGTTAAATCATCTTCATAACACCACCTCATCCGTCGGTTAACCCGGAAGCCCAAGCTTTATCCCACGAGCAAAACGCTTGTGTCAAGTGGGTCTTGTCACGTGAAACCTCGAAGGACAGACCATCCGATTCTGTCCTCTTCGTTCCAGGATCCGTCACAGGAAATGGTGGTGTCACCCACGGGAAGGATTCAGGGCCCTGCTTGTAAAGGGCAGCAGACACCGTGAGTCGCTCCACATGCAAGTCTAGTCCCCTTGTGACATATGACTGGAAATCGTAGGGGGCAGGCAGATGCGGGTAGACCACTGAAAAGGTTTCAAGGCTCTTCATATGAGCCCACGGAAGGTCGCGCATCCAAAGAGACAGCGGATTTTTTGGCGAGTCTACGCCACTGCTGATGCCGCGAAAAATGCATGAGTCCTCAGCCAAATCGGTTAGATAAGTGAGACGCTGGATTGATGCAAGGAAAACAGATCCTTTGGAAATGTTCCGGAATACGTTCAGGACATGGTTGATGCTTTGACGTATTATCGTCAAACTTTTGGTTTTCCCAGAAAAAGTGGATTGTCCGCTGATATTGTGATCGGTGCGGGAAGACCAAGCGTTCTCCGCGCCCTCAAGCTCAAGGACAAGCTTTAAATGGCGGCGGTCAATCACAAGTGCTGGCGCAGCAAGGATCACAGGAAGAAGCACGCTCATGTTGCGCTTGAGCTCAATCTCTTTTAAGTGAGATTCGACCATCACGTCCATCCATGAGTCCCAGGACTGGGCTTGTGCATTGAGGGAATAGTCAAATGCGTCACAAATCCACATCCTCTGTACAACGGAGGTATAGTCGAAGAAAAGATCGCTTTGCTTCTCAGCGTACGCTTTCTGCATAAGCAGAGCATTTGCGAACTTCTCCACGCTGCGACGTCGGCGGAGCAAGATCGTGTGCAGGAAATCGGGGAGGATGGTACGTCTGACAAGTCGAGAGACGAGACATAGGGATAGGGCGGTTGAGTAAGGATTTTTATTATCATATTTCTCCCTTTGGGAAAACGTCGGCTGGGCTGCTTCTTTGAAGATGATCAAGAGAATCTCGATAGGAAGGTCGCTGAGTGGAGAGTGAGAGCGGATAACAGGCTTCATGATGGAAGAGTAAGATACTTAGCCCGGTAGCAAGGGCTCTGCCTTTAATACTTTCCGCGCGTCACATCCACAGCAAGAGATGCACATTGTGTCTGGGACCACAAGGACCAAAAAAATTATGGTGGTCCATAACACAGTCATTGTTTCTTCTAGGTCGCACAATGTACTCTTGTCCTGCGAAAATCTCTATTCGTAATTCCCAAAGACCATCATAGCAATTATGCGAATGTGACACGAACCGTAGAATCTACCTTCCGACAGTCGATGACACGCACACGGACTCGTTCAAGTTTCGTCATGGCACAACTCTTATAGTGCATGGCTGGCCACTGGGTTAAGTCGTTCCTGGGAAAGTGAATTGCATCGGTTTGTCATTGGACACAAAGTGGAGAAATACTTTGCCATGCGTGTGCATAACGGTTCCTTTGGGGTTGACTGGCAACTTGAGCCCGATACTTACCTAGGCAAGCAACGTAGTTGGGGAAGTACACTTGTTCTTGGACTGGAATGCTCGGGAGTACCCTATGGTGAGTACTGTCCTCTGGAAATTCATCCGTTTTTTTTGATAGGATGTCAGCGATGCACTCTGGAAAGTGGATGGTATCAAACGTGACAGGACTGCTGAAAAACCTTCAAACATCCAGTTTATGTGACAAGGGAGAGGCAACAGCGTAACCTTAGGTTAGCGCTGCAGGACATTAATAGACTTTGCATGTCTCATAGATTTAGAACATGATGAATAAGACTTCAGAATACACGCATACAAGCTACTGTGTCTGGGCACCGTAACCCCGGATGTTTTCTGCGAATGACCAAGCAGTATCGAGTTGCATCGAATCACTGATAGATACGCCTGCGCTAGAGATTGCAGCAATTTGAAACTGAAGGAGAAGTCAGTTAATCAATCAGGTGAACATAATAGTCACTGCGAGGGTGTACCTTATTCAAACTTCGGGCATCTCTGTAGAATAGCACGCGCAGGCTATCCTCTAGGATCTTTCGTGCCTCCTCTTCAGTGATGACATCCTCCCTCCCTTCGACGGCCTTACGCAACAGCGGTTGAGCAATGAAAGCGCCGTACCCAGTAGCAAGTGTCGAAGCAGAATACGTCGTACCCAACAGGTCAACGTACGACAAAAATCTTGAATGATAGTTCAATCCTGCTCGAGAACGACATAGCACGTCCTTACCTCTTGCCGTCCTTGAATCCACCAATAAGCAGAGAATTCCAGAGCGGATCCATCTTGGACCGACGCGCATACATGAGCTGCGACATGTATTCATGGATCTCGACAGGACCGAGTTCATGTCCATCTTGTGCAGATATTTCATCGATGGATAGTTCCTCAAGGATATACTGAATGTACTGGAAGTCCGACATATCGCCTCCCGCACCAATCACAGTATAGTTGCCGACTTGGTGCAGACGCTGTACATCCTTGAATCGAGCGAGGGACCCGTATGAAGCTATTGGAAAACACATGAACCGATGAATGGGATGACTTCGAAGTGAAATTACCGAGGTTGTCAGCGGCCATCATGACACCATCCTTGTACTTGATCGCCAGCACGCTCGTTCCAGTTACAATTGGTTGTCTACATATCAAGTCAAGTCTCATTGATGGCAGTAATTGAACAGACTTACTGTGTTCGCTGTACGCCATCAGCGAAAGAATCCTTTGGACCATTATATGGTCGCTGGTGAATGGGGTAGGTAGCATATGCATCAAAAGCGTCGTTTCTCTGCAAGATCTGAATTAGTGCTGTACTCTAGCTCCAGTCCACGGTACTTACTGGACGACCCCAGTTAGTTGGAAAGTGGTCCATGGTAGAGTTGGTAGAACAGGTTAATCGACGCGCAAGCCAGACGCGACATCATTATGTCAGCAGTTCTGCAGCCTGAGCGCTACTACGGTCACTGCGTAAGCAACGCGTCTACCCAACATAAGAACAGAACGTTAACTCTTGGAGCCAAGTTGGTAGGCTCGTGGTGAATGGACCGTCACAGAGCCCACTGGAATTCAAGCGATGCCAGTGTATGATGATATCTTTGCTAGAGCTCAGTCAACTCAGGCGCATAGAATCTTTTACTGAGTTCTCATTGCTACTTCCCTGACTGACAAACAATATATACACTCTTAGGTCCTTGGGGAATAAAAATAATTATTTCGGCCCAACGTGACAAGTTGCTATAGGGTATAGGCGGCATCGAACTCGATAATTTATCTCTTTATGATGAAGATGTGGAGAGCATTTGGCCAGCTGATGAACTTCGAACTCATATTCCGTACCGCTCTCGACATGTTACAAACGCTGGCTTATTATATGCGTAGGATGTCTTAGTATTTGCTGGTGCCAGCAGTTGTGATCCGGATTACTTATGATAGACGTATCTGCTACTAGCATGAGTCACACCGAGCTCAAAGCTTAAATTGTTGGTTCATGTCGCGCAAGTGTTAATTGCACGACAACCTTCGCACCGCCGTCCTGAAGAGCCCATCGTTGTCGGCGGTCGTGCGACAAGGTGCGTCATGATACGCTAGTACTTTTTTGTTTGATATTTCGACAACCTTCGAATTGCTAGAATGAGAATCCCATCTTTTACGTCTCGGCTCTGAGACTCATCACGTACTTATTGAGTAGTACAAATCCTTTGATCAAGCCAGCTATCGTCCATATAGTGCAAAAACTGGCCCTGCCCATCGCCTCACAGTACCTCAATGGGTGCTTTGCACGAAAGTTGAGGCTCACGTCAGGTCCGACTCAACTGGCGCTCAACCACCACCTCCACGACATTTAACCGATCGGTCAAGCAAGTTACGAACATACGTTTGACATACGTGATTCGGAATCCGCGCTGATCATACTAGTTCTTGTTTTCTATAGGGTTGTGTCACCAACAACCACCGTACCGAACATTATGCAAGCATATAAAACTTCACCATGATCTGGTGCACACCCCAGTTGAACTTCGTTCGTCTTTGTTACAACCCCATATCACGACCCACCCACACTCGTTTATCATGTTCAACAAGTCCACTCTTTTGATCATCATCGGTGCTGCCTTCGCAGTTGCTATTCCCACCGGGTCCATCCCCAAGGGTCCTAGTACCCTAGATAACGTCCGCGTTCTCGACAACAGCGTCAGCATCCCCGGCGTCTCTAACGTCAAAACACCATCCACAAACTACGTTGGCATCGCTGATGTAGACAAGGAGGTATCCAATCTTTCCGTCCAGCTTCCCCAAGTAGAGAAGGAGAAGGCGCCCACAGTTCCTAAGGACACTAGCAGCGCCCCTGTCTCTCTGGACGAGTCTCTTGTCACAGACGAACTCCCCAAGGTTGATGCGTCCACTGTCCAATTACCATCGCTGCCGAGTCAGGGCAACGACAAGTCGGAGAAGACACCTGATGCCTCCACACTCACGCCCCCCAGTGGTTCAGCATCCATTGCCTGGTATGCTCGGACTCTGCCCAACAACACAACACCCCAAAACCCCGATGCATCTCGCATGCAGTCTGCAGTCGGGGAAGTTAGCAAGGTAGTCATGATTAAAGGTAATTTGCCGCGAGAACGTCACATTCCAGGCGTTCACATGCTTTCCTTGCCCTCCACACCCGAGCTCACTCAGTCTTCACCCCCCAAAGAATCGAGTTCGCCTGCAACCAATGCCGCCAAGGCTCAGAAGAGGGCCTCATCTCCCAACGTCGAGCCATCATCGCTGGCTCGCCGCGCTGAGTCGTGTAACTCTGACTACACCTTGACCTACTGCAAGATGGTCTTGCAGTCGGACGACAGTCGCACTCCGAAGCTGCTCCAGTACCTAAATGTGGACACCTCTGTCACTGGCCCAGTGGGCTTGTCCTGCTCGGATACACAGACGACTGACTAGTGAGTTTCTCATCTCATCTTCTTTTACAGTCGGTTAATATTGTTCGTTAGCGTCTACCCCCTTTGCGCCAAAATGATGACGGAAGTGACGGATCTGGGGACCGTGGCCCTTGACGTTCTTGAGGTCGTTTACAGCGACGTTTCCAGTGTGGTTACCGTTGCCTAAGCTGCACATGTATACTTTTGTCCTTTGATTTGAACTTGAAGTCGATACAAGTGGAACCGTTTTTGGGCGTAGCATAGTGTTTGAATGTTTCTTACGAGTAGTACATATTGTTTACACTGATTACTACCTCGATTATCGATTATATACCCATACTTATGTAATGTTTGCCCATACATGTAATTCAAATCTATCATCAGTCTCATCCAACCGGCCCTAAACCGACCGTATATGTAAATTTGACATCCAGTCTTCAACTCTTTCAACTCATTCCGGACTCGCACTATTGTCCCCCTGCGATGCGACCTTAAAGGTTCTGGTTGCAGGAGTCTACCGCAGGTCCCAGACTATCGAGCAGCTCAGCTGGAGTGCACCTTCGTACGTGGTACGGTCGCAAGACCTTGAGGATGCTTTCCTTACCAGAGCTGCTACACTTACTTTGATACTTGCAATTAGTTCAAATTTGGGCGTGTTATGGGGGTCATCGTTGGTATGCAATAATGACATTATGACATTAATGATTGATCGTACCAATGTTGTCCACGGATGAATTCATTCCAAGAGAAAGAACAAAATCGAAGGCATGTCTAATACGTGTGTATATGCATCAATGGTGTACTCGGTATAGCTCGAATCTAATACTAACGGTAGCGCAACATGTCACGAGATGGAAAAGATGGCGAGCAGGGAGCTCGGAGTAGGAAATGTGAAATGACCACCTCTATTCTATTCTAATCATTGACGAAAGACTGCACCCAAACTTCAAGGTACGTCTATAGACATGGGTTGTAGTAGTCAACAACGCATATCATAGACGTACCTTGGATCCGCCAGGTGAGCTCGAAAAAATGTAATGTCAACACAAAAGCAAGAAGATGAGATGAAAAGAAGATGCGGAGGTCTGAAATGGGAGTGGGAACGATGACCAGAATGAGTGAGCGTGCAGGGTGGGTGCAGTAATGACGGGCGTAGTGGGCGGTGACGGAACTGCGCGTAAGTGGGAGCGACTGAGGCATGGTCCTTCGAGCATAGAACCGCAGAAGAGTACTTGATCGAGGCGCGAAGCGAACAAATCGATTGGGCGAAGGGATGAAGCGGCACACGAGCAAGACGAAGACAGGGAACAAACAAGCAGGTAAAAACTTGCTCACCTTGCAGCCCAAGCAACTAACCACCCCATCACGAACGACAGTCTCAGGCTCACACCTGCTGCATATGCATATGCCCACGGCAAACGCACGCTGTACCATGCATCAGGCGCACTCCTGCGGCCACCGCACACGTCAACCACTCAGCCAAAAAAGAACGCACCAACCATAGCGAAATAGTGGTCAACCACAATAAAGAGGAGATAAGGCATCTTTATTTGCCAGCCGGAATCTAAGGGAATGTCAGCGGGCAATATCCACTTTGAAGGCGTACCACATAGCCAGGCTCCTTGAGAGTGAATGATAGAGGCTCGATGACGCTGCGAAAAGCTAATAATTTCGCGGGCGGGTAGTCAATAGAAATGCACCGAAAAGTCCAGCGACGGAGTCGGACTGACATATATCCAATGGCAACCTTGTCGTAATGATGTAAAGGGGGGAAAATGATCATATGGTGAAAAAGGGAAACGGTAACTACTAAGAATGTGGTGGAATAGGGAAGAGAGCGAGATGACGGGAAGGTAGAGAAGACGGAATACTTATACACTCGCACCCAAGAGGCTGACGCGGATGTCGATGCTTACAACGCGCATCCAAATGACGCAATGACACCTACCAGCCAGCCGCATTCCGATCCAATCCAGCGGTGAGCAACATATTTGGTACTCCCGCGCATAAATCGTACCCCAAATTCGAGCGCAACTTGGTCATGGGGGCTCGGGAGGCAGTGACTCTAACTGGCTGCATCTATTGAAAATGTTCAGTCCGTGCTATGGAGCCTTGGAGGTACAGCTCCAGGTCATTCGAATCCATGCCGAGATTGCTTGACATGTTATATCTTAGTTCTGAGCCTGCGGCCCCGCACAACTCACAAAGGACTTTAGCTAGGATGGCCAAGGTTTTTTGTCTTGATCGAGGCTCGAAGGATTGATGATCTAAATCAAAGATTTAACAGGTGGCTGGTATATATTGAGGCCTTGAGGCATGATCAAGTGAAATGCGTTCGATAGTAGCATAATTTTATCCTATGTTCAATTGCTCGGTGACGCGGACGTTTGAGAGGTACACAATTACTTTGTACGATCTCGGAGAGGCAAATTTTAAACTCCGCACTTTGCCTCTCCGAAATCGACCTTAACATATAGTAAAGACTGGTTACGAGTCTAACTTGTATCACGACTGTTCACCATGAGTACGTGTTATTGAATATTTCAAAGGAATATCTCCTGCTTATCGGTAAATATTTAGTGGTATCTAGTGTCTAGCTCGGCGAGAGTGTAAAACCAACACTGAGGCTAGGCTAGCGCTGAGCGCTGAGACCCCAGGCCTCGAAGTGTAACTACAAGATACCTGCAATAAGCTTTATCGTAAGGTCACAAGACGCCGATCAAGAATTCGAACCTTGTGACACACATGTCAAGAAGGCAATGCATATGCATAGTGCGCAAGAAGTCAGCACATACGTACATACGGCAATAGCCTTCTGTACTAGGCGCTCACTTAATTTCTTGATTCCTGTCAGTACAGTCTCACTATTTCATCTTTGCACTCTTCTGGTCACCTAGGATGCGATCGAGCAGCGACAACCAATATCTGGACAGCCTTCATTCGAATACGACCTTGGCGATGGTGGCCAGTCAATACTTGAAGTTTAGTAGGCTCTCGTCTTTCGAATTAAAGGTGCCACACATCCACTTTTGGTTAGGGCTACAGTTTTCCAGTCTTATTATCTTAGCTGAGACTCGTGATTCAAGTGTTTATTTATATTAGCTGATACGTTTGACCGTCAGTTCGGCCGACACACTAAAAAGGATGCACATCTCCTGATTGCTGGGTGAATTGTCATTCGCCATCTAGTGCGGGGCAGTGCTACAGCATAGAACGTGGTTTTGAAGTGGTCTCATCACAAGCAGGTACTAATAGTGGAGATGGGCCGTGTCCTTCGCTCCAAGCGTTCGTCCGTTCCTACTTTATTTCACCGTGTAGCATCAGCGTCACATATTCTATTGCTACCTATTCGTACACAATGTCGCATGCAGACGCGCGGAACAAGTTTCTCGCAGTCTTTGAGGGCATCCGGGAAGAACTTATTGCGCATATGAAGTCCGAGAAGATGCCTGAAGATGCCATTGCGTGGTTCAATGAGGTGACTAGTTATATGCTTTCCACTGAATATTGATATTCACGTCTTCGTCGGGACTGTGCCACATAACGGATCTTCAACTTACTGGTTGCACCGTGACATTCGACTCCTATCTTATTAGAACTTAATCTACAATGTCCCTGGAGGTAAACTCAATCGTGGCATATCCGTCGTTGACAGCGTCACAATTCTCCTAAACCGCCTTCCAACCGACGACGAATACTTCAAAGCCGCCCTCCTCGGATGGTGTATCGAACTTGTACGTTCTCCGTTCTTCATTTCGAAATATTCTTAGTCACTCCCTGATAGCTTCAAGCATTCTTCCTCGTCTCCGATGACATCATGGACCGTTCCATTTCACGCCGTGGCCAGCCGTGCTGGTACCTCGTCTCTGATGTCAAGGGGCTTGGAAAGGTACACAATATTGCTGTCAACGACTCATGCATGCTCGAGGGCGCTATTTACCACATCCTCAAGAACCACTTCAGACGTGAGAGCTATTATGTTGATTTATTGGAGTTGTTCCAGGAGGTGCATACTACACCCTTTCATTGCATCTCACTTACGCTCGTCGCCCAGGTAACTTACAAGACCGAGATGGGTCAGCTCGTCGACCAAATCACTGCTCCCGAAGACAACATTAACATAGACAAATATACCCTCCTAAAACATACCTTCGTTGTGCGGTACAAAACAGCCTACTACTCTTTCTACCTCAGTGTTGCGCTTGCCATGCGCATGTGTGGTGTCCCGGATGCGTACGAGCTCAACGGAAAGACCGTCGAGCCATACAAAGAAGCCGACCGCATTCTCATTCCAATGGGCGAATTCTTTCAGGTTCAAGACGACTACCTGGACTACCACGGCACTGAGGCGCAGATTGGGAAGATTGGTACGGACATCATTGACGGCAAGTGCTCCTGGTGCGTATGCACGGCACTCACGCACGGCACCGACACGCAAAAAAAGTTCCTCTTCGAGAACTACGGCAAGAAGGGTCCCGAACAGACTATGAGGGAGCAAGCTGTGAAAGACATGTACAATGACGAGGAGGGGTTGAACATTCCCAAGCGCTATGAAGAGTCTTCGAAGAATGCAGTGGAGGAGATTAATGCGATGATCGAGCTGCTACCAGAGCCTGGTGCGCAGGACGAGTTGAGGGGTGATAGGTTGAGGCGGGACGTGTTCCGGGTTTTCCTAAGCAAGATTACTGATCGTACGGCGTAGTAGACGAGTCTCAGATGTGTAAGAAGAGACCTTTAATTGGCAATTGCGAGATAAACAATAATTAATAAACGATAAATGATCTTTTATTGGCTGACTACGTTACTAGTCAGGTTCAGCGGGTGTTCTGTTGAATTATGTAATGTTAGTTTCACCGTCTGTCCAACGACATCACTTCGACACTTTGACTAGTTCAAGTTTCTTGCGCACTGATCTTCGACTCTGCGGCTGAAAGCTGTTAAACGATCATATGGCCTAACCTGATTATGATATCGATTCATCATCAGTCCTAAGTATAGAGCCAATATCAAAATTCGGACAAGCCTCCTTCCAACCGCATAGAGTCACTATAACGTTACACCCGCGTATTCTTCCGCAGCAATGGAGCTCATGATCAAATATCAGAAAATACTCCATCACCAATCACGTTGAGACGTTGATACTGAGTATTACTGACCACTTGCGATGTCCAACTCAAAGGAAGCAGATCCGCATCCGTCTCGATGGCGCAGGTTCCTGCAGTACATTGAGGTACCCATTGATCCTGGAGTGCCCAATACACCATGGCTCAACCGCGACCTCATTCCCATGCCCAAAGAGCGCCGCACCTATAAGATATGGTCCTACTTCATTTTCTGGTGCATCGGTGGTCTCTCCATTTCATCGTATACTGCCGGCAGCACATTACTCGCGTATGGCCTAGATGCGACACAGGCCATCGTCACTCTCGTCATCTGCGGTCTTATCGTTGGAGTGCTTTGTGTCACCTGCGGGTGGATGGGAGAGAGGTGGGGATGCTGTGGTCACGGGATGGGTTCCATTGAAATGCTGACAGCTTAAGTAAAGACACCACATAGGTTTTACTGTGGCGTGCAGGTTCTGCTGGGGCATGCGGCGAGTATGCAACAATTGACCGCGGCACATATGTTGATTCCTCTAGCAGAGGCGCCTATTTTCCTGTTATCGTTCGTGCTTTTGTGTGAGTGATGCACTAAACGTATGGAAGTACACTGCTTGATTTCACAATTCAAGGGGCATCTTGTAAGTTCTGAGTTTCTTTTTCAAGTGCTGAAAGCTGTATGCGCATTTAGCTGGGATGGCCTCCAGGCCTACTGGGGTGGACAAGGTAACTTGTTTTTTTACTTCTGTTCTCTGTTATGTTGCTGATAAACTTTCGTGCAGCTGTTGCGGTACGTCTCCAAGTCCTCGTGCATCTTACTTCATTCCACGCATCTGAATAGGTTACAATCGGCGCCATCATTCCTGGTGCGCAACCTTTCTTTTAGATTTTTAATGCTTATTTTATCTTGTTTTAGGATTTGCCCACATGTGAGCACACCCAACTTGTTAATTCTTCCAGCTACTTACACACAATGACTTAGGAAACAGACGTTAGCAGGAGGAATCTTGCTGACGAAGGACTTCATAGGCACAATGTTCGATACATCCTCTTTCCACGAATCCATTCAATTTGACTGTCGTATGCAGCATCTACTACATATTTTTCATGACAATCATGCGCATCCCTCCTGAGGGACTCCAGAAACCCTTCATCGTCTCGTGTGTCATGTTTAGCGCCACGTAAGCACCGTCACCATTCTAACTTCACGCATGCGCTGCACTTAATCTATAATCCAGCCTGATCGGACTTCTTGTTTGGGCGGTCTCGAACACACATTCTGGCGGTCCCTTGTTTCAGGAGAAAGCGAGTCCCGTTCGTGGAACAGGATGGTGAGATCAAGACCTGAGATAAAATCAGATATCTTGTTAAATAATACGATAGGGCCATGTTATTCGGTATGACTGCGATTATTGGCGCGTGGTGCGAGACTGTCCTTTTGTTGCTTGCACGCCCACCTGATATATGTTATGGCTATGGTGAATAGGAGTGGTGGAACCATCGGTCAGAGCGACTGGACGCGCTATGCTAACCGGCCATGTCTGCCCAACGTCATCACATTCTTGTTTGTCACACTAACACGTCCATTCAGATGCGCCTACGCTATCTCAGTTAATCGCTGTGTAGGTCTACAACCCATATTCACTATAGTTTAACTGACTCATTACTCCCAGTCCATTTTTCATCATTGTGTGTGCCACGATTGGTATCATCGTCACGTCATGCGCCCAAGAAATTGTAGGGAGTTTGATTTGGGAGCCTTTCCTGCTTCTCGCAGCTCTGCAGAATTACTAGTAAGTTAGGGGGAGGGGGAGTTCGTCCGCTGGGCATAGCTTAACTCCTTTTTTCAGTAATGACTCCCCGAGAGGTAAGGACAATCTCACGGTAAGTGTGGGTGCTCACTTCTCCATCGGACAGTTCGCGCTGCGATGTATGTAACACGTTAATCTACTCTAGCTTCTTCTCTGACTGCGCTTCAGTTTCTTTGCTGGACTCAGCTGTGTATGCGCCCAGCTCGGCATGAGCATTGTTCTCAACTCTGTGAGCGTCGGAATGGATCTCTCGTACGTCCTTACTCTCGTATCCCAACATCTACCTAATACACGAGCAGGGGTGTTGTACCGTCCGTATTTTATGTTTATTGTACCCCAAATGCACAAATCAACGAATGTTCTTCCGCAGACGCTATATCAACATCAGGAGGGGTGCTTACCTGCTCGCCTTCCTGGGTCTAGCTTCAAACCCTTGGCAATACCTGTCTAGTGCTTCAATTTTCTTGACCGTACTATCTAGCTTCGGAATATTCTGTACGTGTTAAAGAAGTGTGATTAATCACGATAAACTGATCCTCCCCAGTCGCCTCCTTTTCTGGGATTCTTCTCGCAGACTACTTCGTGGTAAGGGGATGCATGATCAAGCTCGAGGACTGCTACATCGGAGACAAACGCTCTATTTACTGGTACGCAAACATTATAAGGCATATTCTTCCCCTCACTTCTGTCAAGGTACCACAATGGCGTCAATTGGCGTGCCCCGCTCGCCTGGGTGCTTGGGGTTTTCCCAGCCATGCCTGGGTTTATTATGACAACCCGCGACGCGACTGCGTGGAATGTATGGGTGCGCATTTTCCACATTGCGTTCTTCGTCGGTAGGTTTGCTGCTATTAAACGGTGTCTTAAATATTCATTAAAATTTGGCAACTCTGCAGGCCTTTTGATATCATTCGTCGCGTTCTCGGTGATTTGTTGGGTCTCACCCCCGGGAAATGTGGGTATTGGAGTGCTGTATCACGAGGACAATAGTTTCGAAGTGGAGGGTGAACTGGAGACCGAGGAGAAGGAAAAGGGACCAGTGTAGGATTGGCATAGATGGTGGTTTGTTCTGCAAGACCTCCTATCTGTAAGGATTCCCCATTCTCTATGCGCCGACCATGCTTCAAAAATGAAGACGCTCGAACCACGCGGTCGACGTCATCCACGTGATTCATTGATACGAAGAGCGCAACTCTTCGCATCCGAATTACGTGGATAGATTCCTTTCATTTCTCCTTTTCTCTCTTTCGTTATCTTACCTTGTGTTCAGACTTCACGATTCCCGTTTCTTCACCGATATCTTTGAACTCGCCATATGCTCCTTATTTTCGTTCCAGCCCAGTCAAGTACTCGAAAACGTATATATACTGCTCATGTAGACTCATACCAGCAGCAGAATCACATGTTGGTTCCCTGCTCCAAGCAAATGTAGCGCTACAGAAAGTCTCAGCCTCTCGAGACGCTCTGTTCTTTTAACTCGCATCTTCCGCCTCACATCTGCATCAGGAAAACCCTCCGCTACAAATTTAGGCTAAGTATGTAAAACTTTCTCTAATTTATGATAATTTCAATAAAATAGACAACTTAGCGGTGTAGAGAGACTTTTTTACTGCCCCACAAGGAATTCTTTATGCATGATAAATTAGTGATAATTATGTTCAACATCAGGCAAACTTACAACCAAGAATGCTTGCAATTGACTATCAGTACGAACACTTATGCAGGAATTTGAGTTGTACAAGAACAAATTAGAGTTTGAACTTTGATTAAACGGGGTATACAAACATATTTATAGTAACAGATAAATGAGAAGGGAGCATATTTATAGCAATACCAATAAACAAATTGTAAAGGTAATCAATGCGAGATCATGACTAGGATGTCCAGAACTACTTGTCGTCATCCATGCCATCAAGGTTGAGGAAAGCCATAGCATCTTTGTGTGACACTATGGCAGCAGCACCATTGGAGCTAGGGATTAGCATGGGTACCGGTGTAGGGATTCATTTCTGGCTGGGCTTGTAGAGACTGTTTTTACCTTACCTTATGTTGGCACTTTGTAGCTTACATAATCAAGTTACCTTTTCACCAGTTACCAGTATGAGTCTGAGTACTCAGCAAGTTTCTATCATATTTCCTCTTCTCTGAGCCTTGAGCCTGGTCCAGAAACCCTTTAGGGTCGAATAGCAGCTAGGTTCTGCAAGACCCAACATTGTTCAGACTCACCATCTGAATTGTTGTACCTTCACTGGTGTGTGTGAGGAATGATAGCTAGATGAGAAGGGGAGAAAGGGGGAGAAAGGGTGAAGTGGGGTAAAACTAGGGATCTGCACAGGTACGGGTAACCTGCGCGGGTCACGGGTACGGGTACTATTGGGGTACGGGTATGGGTCGGGATTCTAAGACCCGCACTCTTACCTGTACCCCAGCTATACCCGTGCCTTCCATAAACGCAATACTTCCCACGTGCACGCTACAACCGGCACCACCACCAAGCACTCACCTGCTAACACGCCACCACCAGTATCCTCGCATTTGGCAGCACTCGCTGCACCCCCCATGCCAATTCTTCCGGCACCCGTTCTAACGCCACTAAGCACGTCAACGGATGCCCTCAGCCAGCAACCACCACCACCATTCACATGTTCCTCGACGCCGGCACCACCACCACCATCGCTAGCAGCTCCCTTCCCACAGCAACAACCACCTCCATCCAGGATGCCACCAGCAGCTCCCACCTCGTGCTACCAACTGCCAGCATCGAGCGTCTGCGCCCAGAGCACACCAGCGAATGCTGGCGTGGCTCGGACACATACGGAGGATATGAGGACGAGGAAAGAAGGGAAAGAGAAGGAAGTGAGAAGGAAAAGAGGAGGAACGAGAGGAGGAAGGAAGGATCTTGTCAGTAAGTCGCCGTCCTGACTCTGCCCCCATTTTCTGCAACGAGGACACGACGCCCGACACGTCACACTCTCATGCCACCACACCACCATCTCCCATTTCGACACACTCACCTTCGACTTTGATCGTACGCGACACACCACCTGCCACGACATCAGCGTCTATTTCGACGCATCCGTAATTCGTGCTGTGCCTCCACTCCTCCTTGTGCCATCCACATATGTTCGAGTCACGTCAGCATTCGCTGACGTGTGCTGGACATATGTGCTAAGCACTGGCGGATCTATGACTCGCGGGTACACCCTTGATGGGTTGTACCCCGGGTCCTTACTTTGCTACCCACTGTGCAACCCGTACCCTTGCTGCGGGTGTGGGTTTACCTCGGGGTGCGGGTGCGGGTTGACCTGCCGACACCCGGGGGTTCACCCGTGCAGATCCCTAGGTAAAACTCAAATAGACCTCTGGACGCGAGCACGAGTGAACCACTGAAGGTGCAATATGATATGCGACCGAGCGGCTGAAAGTTTGACGGAGTGTGAAGGTGTGGAGAAAAGCCAAAGGATATATGAGCACACCTTTAGCAGATATGTGAAGGGGGATGCGACACAATGATAGAGCGGGAGAAGAGCCTGATGGTATGCGCGATGAGCGAAGTTAGAACATTTAGTGCGTGTTACGACACACGGTCGTGTGCGACTAGGATGATCTAAACAGCGACAACCACGACAGTGGTACCAAGTGCTGAGAGTCGTCGGCCTTTACAGACAAGCAAAGGTTGCGTACTCGAACGTAGCTCGTGGTGGTTAACAAGGGGTTACGCTGAGATGATAGTGGTTTACAGACAGTGAGAGGCGTCACTGAAGGTACGAGTCGATGTCGAGCAGGTAGCTTTAGCGGGACAAGGAGTTCAAGGGTAAACCTAGTAAGATTAAAGTAAGGAACGTCTACTGTTAATCTTCGACCTTATATAAGGCTACTCTTCGTATCTAAGCTCAGCCTAAAGCTGGGTTCTAATCTGCTTATCTACATGAGTCAGAGATAGCGTCCATGAGGCGGGCTTCTATCGTAGATAGGATCCATGAGGCATCCTTCTATCAGTACATGAGGCAGCACGAGGCTTGCCTTCTATCTTGATAACATAAATAGGTCTTCTAGACCTATGTCGTCATGTGTCGTCACGTGCGGTCCAGACCGCTTATCTAAGCCGGCAGTTGCCGCTTATCATCTGTCATCATCTATCATCATGATCGTCATGGAGCTGGTGAGACTCCGGTATCGTCTATAGCCGTGCGGTGGCAGAGGGCTGTCTGCTGGCGGGGGACTCGTGCCATGTTACTGTAACAGTGCGACTGTTAATACAGCGTGCGATGTAGTCGGCTGAAGGTTTTTTTAGCTTTGGAGTCAGAGTATTGCGTGCAAACAGATGATAATTTCGATAGCGGGAAAAAGAAGATACTTGAAAAATCATAAGTCTAAGGTATATATGATAGTGCGCATAGCGCTGTTTGGAACTGAGAAGATAGCAGTAATATGTATCAAGGGTCCATAACGCAAGTAACGAAACATAAGCAATATCACTTTCGGAAATATAATCAGTCTAACGTGAATGAGATAAAACATGCACCAATGGACAAGCGGAGGACATGGATAGAATGGAGGAAGGATGCGCGACGGAACCGACGAAAAGTGGATGTGAACCAAAGCGCACACATGAGCCGTGGCCATTGGCTGATGATAGGAAGGATGCACGCCATGGTAGTGATAGCACGTGCTGCGCTAGGACCTAAGGGACACTGCAAAAATAGCCTCTACAAGGCTACAAGGACTCCAAGTCCTACACCAGTAACCCACGCAGGTCCTGGTGGAGTAGGGGACCCCTAGGCAGAGGGTGTGAGTAGAGAGGTGTTTGGTGGTGTTTAGGTTGGGTTTAGCCGAGAGAGCATTGTTAGAGCAGCCAGGAGCAGTAGTCAGGTTCAGGTCTTCATTGTCAGTTGATAGCAAGGCATGAAGGTTGCATATTTCAAATGGTGCTGTGTTACTCCCGAGTTCCTCTGTAAAAATGTCATATTTTGGGCATTCCATTACCTTCACTCCAGTAGCAAGTAATTGCTCAGGATAGTCACCCACAAAGCATGCAAACAGAGGATGACAATGATGTTCCACGCCATCACCACTACTCATTACCAGCCCATCAGTACCAGCAGTCTTAAGCGGAGCCAGTATGTGACTCATATAGGCATGATAAAGGTTTGAAATAGTACAGTGTCTTGAAGCTTTATTTGCAATGTGCTCAAGGCAGGTAGTGGGCAAGTATGCCAAGAAGATATGGGTGCGACGGGATGGCTTTTGCGAGAATTGTTGAGATTGAATCTGATACAGAGTTGGGAGTTGTTAGAACATCTGCAGAGGTTTCCATCTGTATATTTCATGAAATTTTGTGCTCCTTTTGGCAAAGTCTCCTCAGTGCATGCTGAGAAACAATGGCTGGTGCGTCCACAGATGATGCACATGGGATCAGTGGATTTAGCGGACTTGGAGTCACAAAAGGAAGAAGGTTCTCCTTCATTCTTCTTGAATGGATGCTTGGAGGATGAGTCCTTATCATAAGGCTCAAAGCGAGAAGAAGAGCTGGTGTTAATGGAATGGTCAACAAAAGATGAGCAAAGCTGCTGTGAATGACAAAAGAGCTCATCTTGCAATGTAGCATATTTCTTCTTATGTAGACGATGGCTCCATTCAGCCTTGTCGTGTTGGTGTGGGTGTAAAGCATAATTTTGTCTGGTCTTGATATTGAATTCCAGTATGGCACAAAAATTCTTATGAATGGCTTTGTCCTTGGCAAGAGTAGTAAAGTGCATTGTCCATTGTTTGATGGATGGTGTGTCTCCAACATCAGTGATCCATGAGAGATAACACTGGAAGGCCTCCTGCCAAGTAAGAGGGTCAAGATTGTGTTCACTCTTAAACTGTGATAAATCTAAGAGGTGATGAGAGACTCTGTTGACATGGACTTTGGTACATTTGAGAGAGTGTCCTTCACGATGGAGGTGCTCTGTATTCCTGTTAGAGAACAGATTCAGCGGACAATATTCACCAGTGTTGGTGAGATCCTGGATGAAATGATGAATGCCAAAATTATAAGTAGAATCAAGCCCACTAGAAGTAGCGATCTCCTTAGAGCTGTCAAAGAGAGTTCTAGAAATGGAAGTGGTATTTGGTCTACTTGTGACATTTTTAGAGCTGCTAGCTATGCCCTCAAGAACTGAAGCTCCTTGAGCTTGAGAATTAGGAGAGAGGTTGATGAATGCAGAGATCCACTGCTGCAAATGATTTTCAGTAGAAGGAGAAGGGGGAAGAGGGATTAGAAGTTCGTCTGGTGCGACATTAGGATTACCACTGTCCCTGAGTAATTGTAAAGCAGTGTTGCTTGTTACTCAGTGTGTATACTTGGCCAGAACTTAATCATAAGCCATTTGCATGACTAAAGAAATGGAAGTGGCCGAAGAATTAGTAGTACTGGTTCCTAAAGGAATTGAAGAAGATGCGGCCACAGAGCTGCCTGATGCGACTGAAGGAGTGACAGCAGAGGTCATGATTGATGCATCAGAAAAAGTGAGCTAAAATGTAAGACATCACACAAATGGGGAGGACAAAGAAGAAGAGAGAGAACTCAAGGCGCAAATCTTCGAAGCTGAGGACTATTTGAGAGTGCACGCACAGACCAGACCCATTCTCATATAGAAGTACGAGAATGCAAATCTCTACATGGATTCTTATAAAGGCCCTTTTCACATGTGTCAATGTTTGCAGGCTCATGATCCACTCAGAACGTACACTTGGCTAAGACCAGTTAGATGCACTCCCAATAAATACATTCAGAAGCAAATCCTCAAGGCACATTTATCTGTATTTTGTCAGTTCTTTTAATAGCATGATCACCATTGATTTTTTTATCCTGCTCAAACCTGCCAATTGCAACATTTATTGAATGTATGCAAGCAGATTGCCCAAATTCTTGTGGGGCAAGGCCATCATACATGTGACATGGCTGAAAAATAGAACTGCCACTTGGGCACTGAACAGCATGATGCCCTATGAAGTGCTGTGGAGAAGTAATATTGACTGGCGAGCAAGAAAGCTAGAGCACTAATAAATCCTACTGAGTGCGAGTGATGTGTGTCGAACACTATAAAGCACTTCCTTCAAGTATAGTGCAAAGGGAGCAGATGCAAAATGGAAAAGAACTAAGGCAATCCTGCAATGAAAATATGTCAATGAGAGCGAGACTGAAACCATGGGTCTGATGAGTGCATGATGGGGAATAAATGAATATGAGAGGAAACTAGGTAAAGTGCAGTTCCACAAAGTAGTGGCTAGGTATAGATGAGGTTTGAGGCCAAGGTATAACTAGGTATGGAGTGCTAAATCAAAACCTGAGAGCGGTTTGAATCCATACAAAGCTATAATATTGGTTCATCTGAGAAAGTACTAGTTAGCAACACAGTATGAAGCAATGATGTTGATTCAACACTTACCAGTCAACCACCAGCCCAAGACCCCAATCCACCACCACCTACTGAGTACATAGGCCTACAATTTGAAGGTGCACCAGCACTGTGCCAATCTGGGAGAATGAAAGTCAAATCAGCCAACATAAAGAGTTTGAGAGACAGGACTAGTACTACTAATAGACATAGTGGAGACTTACCTTGGGGAATACAACCTGCAAGGGAGTATAGCAACCTAGCCATTGAGCCCAGAATGGCTGATGAGTGGGGAGAGATGGACTACGATGGTGAAGAGGTTTTTGCAATAGTGGCCAGAGTTGCTGAAGTAGAGACAATGGACCCTACAATGCTGCAAAGAGCCTGCAAGAGAACTGATTGGTCAAAATGAAATGAAGCCACCAATAAAGAACTTACCATGCTGAGAGATGCTAACATGTAATTAATAGTTGAGAAACCAGAGGGAGCAAACATCATAGGGTGCAAATGGGTGTGTCGCATTAAGAGAAATACAGATGGGGAGATTGATAAATATAAAGCCAGACTAGTTGCAAAAGACTATTCTCAGGTGTACAACATTGACTATTATGATACATATGCACTGGTCACAAAATGCATGCATGTTCCTTCCTTATGACTTGACCACCAATGTGGATTTCATAGAAAACAAATGTTGCAATTGGCAGGTTTGAGCAGGATACAAAAAATCAATGATGATCATGCTATTAAAAGAACTGACAAAATACAGATAAATGTGCTTTAAGGATTTGCTTCTGAATGTATTTATTGGGAGTGCATCTAACTGATCTTAGCCAAGCAGTTAATGCAACAGAATTGAAATCTGTCTGTGTGGGTTCAAAATCTGCTGAAGATCAATTTGCCAAGTGATCACCAGAGTCAATCTGTTTCTCTTGGACTGCACAGGTTTGAAACGTGCTGGTGGTACAATTCATTTTCTATGAAAACACACCTTGAAATTTGCTCATAGTTGGTTTGCTTGCAAGCTGATCACAGTTGTGTTCAGCCAAGCAGCTGTGATCACAGGATCAAAATCTGTTTCCATTGGAATACAATGAATTTGAAACTTGTGGGATGTCACATTTTTTCTGTAAGAACATGTCTTGAATGTTTGCTCATAAACAGTATCTCAGACATTGATTTTCATTGATCTTAGTCAAGTTGTCACTAGACTCAAAATCTGTTTCTCTTGAACTATGTAGGTTTGAAACCTGCCAATAACAACATTTTTGTTCTATGATATAAGCCTTGTATAACCAGTCTTAGCCAAGTAGTTGTTGCAACAGAATTAAAGTCTATTTCTCTTGAACTGTGCATGCTTGAAATATGCTGAGTGATCCATGTTTTTGACCTGCTCAGTCTAGGAAAATCAGATTTTGACTTTGATAACTCCTGAACTAGCAACAATGAAGATCAAAGTATGAAAAAACATTCAATTAAGCATATTGCAACATGAAAAAGAAATGCATCATTTGACTGATTGCAAACCTGTAGGCTTTGATTGAAACATATTTTGAATCTACTGTGGCAATGATATGGAAAAGAGTATTTATGATGAGTTTTGGAGAAAACTATCCATGAGAAAATATCAGAGTGTAATTGCATAGAATAAAAATATAATCATTGGTAGGTTTCAAATCTGCAAAGTCCAAGAGACTGTTAAGACCATGCACAAAGGGTAGGACTGATTCTGAGGGGCTTGGCTTTAGCTTGTGCGCTGCGCCCCTTACCCGAGTACGTGCCCTTAATCTTAGATGACATCCGGAGGAAGTCCAAGGAAGTCTGTAGGATTTCCGAAGGAGCATGGGAAAGTCTGGAAGGACTGTCCAGATCCGGATGAGTGCGAGAAAATTCCAGAGGGGTGCAGGAATGTTCTGGAGGAACTTCCAGAAATTACTATGAGGTTTTGTTCTGGTACAGATATGTATAATGGCCACTCAGGATGAATCCTGAGTAGAATGGAGACAGATGAAAGGCTGCAGGAACAAAGTCTGAAGCAGAATAGTTCTGGAGGAGTGTAGGATCAGAGGAGCAGAGCTCCGGCCTAGGGAATTCCTCCCTAGGCCTGAGATGGATATCAACTAAGTTGGAGGACTAGAACTAGTATGAGGACTTAGTGTGAGATCTAGTGCGAGGACTAATATATGTAATATTTAGACTAAGGAAATACAGGAGTTTCTACAAGAGTTTATATACTGGAGGAAAGTCTGTGCAGATCAGTAAGCAGAGGGGTAAGGATATGTACAAGCATGTGTAAATGTAGTAGTAAGTGAAATGGAACATAAGGAAATGAACTCAGAGATGAAACTCATACAGGGATCAATAAGCAAACCAAAAACAGAGATAACCAAAGACCAGTGACAGGTGATTACCATAAGGGGATGGGCACTGATTTAAGGTTTGGCTTCGGATATGAAACATAGGTCGGATCCAGAGATCCTGACAAGTGGATATCAGATTGGGTGTCCATGTTTCGGATCCGGATGTGTGGATATGCAAAGGTACAGGGATCTGGACAGATAAAGGACATGGATAGGGGGTCCGGACGTCCAGATGAGGCATGAGAACATTGTCAGATGTAGGGTTTGGAATATGGGATATGACAGAGACACAGATTTTCACTCTGGTGACAACTTGACTAAGACCAATGAAGATTGATGTCTGAGATACTGTCTATGAGAAAATGTTCAAGACATGTTTTCATAAAAAAAATGTGACATTCAACAGGTTTCAAACCTGTTGCATTCCAATAGAAACAGATTTTGATTCTGTCATGACAACCATTTGGCCAAACACAACTTTGATCAGCTTGCAAGCAAACCAACCATCAGCATATTTCAAGGTGTGATTTCATATAAACAAATGTCACAACTGGTAGGTTTCAAACCTACATGGTCCAAGAGAAACAGATTTTGACTCTGGTGATCACTTGACAATAACATCTTTAGTAGGTTTTGAACCCATGCAGACATATTAAGATTCTGTTGTATTAACTGCTCAGCTAAGACCAGTTAGATGCAACCTCAATGAACCCATTCACAAGTGAATCCTTAAGACATATTTATTTGCATTCTGTCAGTTCTTTGAATAATATGGTTGCTGCGATTGATTTTTTTTAAATTCTACTCTTATTGCAAAAGACATCAGACTTCTTCTGGGCCTCTACTTCAAGACCTATTTATCTGACAATTGCTCCAAAAATGTGGTGATGGCAGACTACCATGGTGGGCTAATGATGTAATGTGAGAACTGACAAAATGCAGATAAATGTACCTTGAGGATTTACTTCCGAATGGGCTCATTGGGAGTGCATCCAACTGGTCTTACAGCTAAGCAGTTAATACAACAGAATCTAAATCTGTTTGTGTGGGTTCAAAACCTGCTAAAAATAAAATCTGCAAGTGAACATCAGAGTCAAAATCTGTTTCTCTTGGACTGCGCAGGTTTGCAACCTGCCAATGATAATATTTTTATTTTATGAAATCAGACATTGACATTTCCTCATGAATGACATATGTGTTTTTTCCTGGGTGAACACACCTTGACATTGACTCATGTGTACTTTCATGTTGTAGCTTGCGCTCCCAAACATCTGCTGTATATGGTGTTTGTGAATGTACTTTTCTGTGTCCAAGAACATCTCTGGGCTCCATGTGACATGGCTCTGCATCCTGAGCACAAATGCCTCAAATCATGCTTTGGGGTTTCTATAGCTTTCATCCTGCTGCCATGTGGTATAAATGTATGTTCCATATTTGATTCACAAGGCTTTGTTGATGCATGTCGATGAGCGTCTTGATGATCAATTGCATCAAGATCAGATCTTATGGCTG